CTCCCTCACTGTGTGTGAGACTCTCTCAATCTGTGTGTGACTCTCTCACTGTGTGTGTGACTCTCTCTCACAGTGTGTGTGTCCCTCACAGTGTGTGTGACTCTCTCTCCCTCAGTGTGTGTGACTCTCTCTCACAGTGTGTGTGACTCTCTCTCCCTCAGTGTGTGTGACTCTCTCTCTCACACAGTGTGTGTGACTCTCTCTCTCACAATGTGTGTGACTCTCTCTCTCTCACAGTGTGTGTGACTCTCTCTCACAGTGTGTGTGTGTGAGACTCTTTCTCTCAGTGTTTTTGTGTGTGTCCCTCACAGTGTGCGTGACTCTCTTTCACACAGTGTGTGTGACTCTCTCTCCCTCAGTGTGTGTGACTCTCTCACAGTGTGTGTGAGAGACTCTCTTTCTCTCGGTGTGTTTGTGTGTGTCCCTCACAGTGTGTGTGTGTGACTCTCTCTCTCTCAGTGTGTGTGTGTGTGAGACTCTCTTTCTCTCAGTGTGTTTGTGTGTGTCCCTCACAGTGTGTGTGTGTGACTCTCTTTCCCTCAGTGTGTGTGACTCTCTCAGTGTGTGTATGACTCTCTCTCACAGTGTGTGACTCTCACAGTGTGTGTGTGTGTGAGACTCTCTCTTTCAGTGTGTGTGACTCTCTCTCTCACAGTGTGTGTGACTCTCTCTCTCAGTGTGTGTGACTCTCTCTCTCTCTCAGTGTGTGTGACTCTCTCTCTCACAGTGTGTGTGACTCTCTGTGTGTGTGTGTGTGTGTGACTCTCTCTCTCTCACTGTGTGTGTGACTCTCTCTCTCACTGTGTGTGTGACTCTCTCTCTACAGTGTGTGTGAGACTCTCTCTCACAGTGTGTGTGTGACTCTCTCTCACAGTGTGTGTGTCTCTCTCTCACAGTGTGTGTGACTCTCTCACAGTGTGTGTGTGTGTGTGAGACTCTCTTTCTCTCACAGTGTGTTTGTGTGTGTCCCTCACAGTGTGTGTGACTCTCTCTCACAGTGTGTGTGACTCTCTCTCACAGTGTGTGTGTGTGTGACTCTCTCTCTCACAGTGTGTGTGTGACTCTCTCTCCCTCACAGTGTGTGTGATTTTCTCAGTGTGTGTATGACTCTCTCTCTCACAGTGTGTGACTCTGTGTGTGTGTGTGTGTGTGTGTGAGAGACTCTCTCTCTCTCTGTCTGTGTGTGACTCTCTCTCTCTCTCTGTGTGTGACTCTCTCTCTCTCTGTGTGTGTGACTCTCTCTCTCACTGTGTGTGTGACTCTCTCTCTCACTGTGTGTGTGACTCTCTCTCTCTGTGTGTGTGACTCTCTCTCTCTCACTGTGTGTGACTCTCTCTCTACTGTGTGTGTGACTCTCTCTGTGTGTGTGACTCTCTCTAGTGTGTGTGTGACTCTCTCTCTCACAGTGTGTGTGTGACTCTCTCTCTCAGTGTGTGTGACTCTCTCTCACAGTGTGTGTGACTCTCTCTCACAGTGTGTGTGACTCTCTCTCAGTGTGTGTGACTCTCTCTCTCACAGTGTGTGTGTGACTCTCTCTCTCACTGTGTGTGTGACTCTCTCTCTCACTGTGTGTGTGACTCTCTCTCTCACACTGTGTGTGTGACTCTCTCTCTCACTGTGTGTGTGTGACTCTCTCTCTCACTGTGTGTGTGACTCTCTCTCACTGTGTGTGTGACTCTCTCTCTCACTGTGTGTGTGACTCTCTCTCTCACAGTGTGTGTGTGACTCTCTCTCACAGTGTGTGTGTGACTCTCTCTCTCACAGTGTGTGTGACTCTCTCTCTCACAGTGTGTGTGTGACTCTCTCTCTCACAGTGTGTGTGTGTGTGTTTGTGGGGAAACGATTCAGGACCTGAAATTAACGCTGAAAAAGTGAACCCTTCGCTCCTTCCCTTTGGTCGGCGATAGATCGGGGGCCGCGGCCAGGATCGGGGGGCGTTTTGAGACCGTTTTGTTTTTCGCCTCCACAAAAGGCTATTGGAATTTATAAATGATGTCGGATCGGGACAGGAATAAAAAAGAGTTATTGGAGTTATTGAAACAACACGGAAACAGCCAGTGCGCCGACTGCGGAATCCCAGGTCAGTGAATACCTCTCACCCCAGTGTGTGGCTGCACTCCACCTCCTTCATTTAACCATGAAACAAATATAATGTTTTTATGTAATAAATTAGCCTCTCACCGAGAAAGCCCTTTAGTTAACGTTCATTTGTTTAGTGAGTTATTCCAGCCCTGGAATAATAAGTTATGGTAAATATAAGTTTCCCACAATCCTGGCAGCGATTTAACACAATAATATAAGCCTTATATTTGGCGCAGAGCCTCCTGGATAGGTGTGGCAATAGGTGTGAGGTGTAGTGACTGTGTTTGTTTTTGCCCAGAAGGTGTCTGACCCACACGGAAACCCATCGCCATACTTAAAGAGTCTCCAAACCAAGCTGAGAATTCCCCACATCCCACTTGCACATGGAAATCCCATGGATAGATTGTTGGAATGGAATGGACGCGCTCTCTCTCACTCTCTCTCTTTGGAGGGATGAGTCCTGCTTACCTAATTCTGGAGAGTATTAGGCACAGGTTGGCAAGAGCCAAGGCTAGGGGACCCCGGAGTGTGCGTTGGGGTAACTGCTGAGTCTAACCAGCTAAACCAGCTCAGTCTTGGTACTTTGGCACCAAACAACCTTGAAATGAACGCCCAGTTTCTATGTCAACCTAATTGAAGGGTTGTCATTACGTGCAAGGTTTTGCCTTTCACATTATCCAGGTATTTAGCTCCTGCACCCTGAAGGCAGCCACTCCCAGACTTTCAGTAAAGACTATACTTCTTCCCTCCTAATCTTCGCTGTGGCCAGGAGCCTCGGGGATTCCCTGCCTCCAGATGCCTGGAATGGATGTGGATCTCTGCCAATCCTTCTATGCTTTAATTAGAACAGTTCAATCAATTCACCCATAGACTGAATCAACTGGGAAAGTGTTTCAAACCTCTCCACCAAAGCAAACTACGAGCTCTCGCTACCCCCTCCCCGCTGCACTGCCCACAGCCAGAGGGACGGTCCCCAAGGGAGGGGTGGGGTTATTTCTTTACACTAATTAGCTCCCTCCACTCCCTCACCCAGGGTCATCAAGGCCAATGGCAGTGCTATCTGCTGCCTCCCTGGCTGCAGTAAATAGACCATCATCAATTCTTGGACCTTATCTTGCATAAAATGGTGACTATTCTAAGTGATTAACCCATGACCAAGAATAATCTATTTTTGTCTTTCCACTGTGACTGTGTACAGTCTTTTATTTCAGTGAAAGATTCCAGTGTTGAACTGGGGATAGTTCTGCCATGAACGGCCAACTTCTGCTTTTCTACTGTACTTCCCATGGTTACCCTTTCTATTAATAAGCCAGTTGCAACGTGAAACTGCTGAACACAGATTTCTCCTCCAAATGGAACTGAATGATGGCCTGAATTTTCATGAACTGCACATCCATGGTTAGGATCAAAATCAAAAGAACATTTTGATTTGCTAGAAATAATAATTCCAAAAAATTAGATTGGTTACTCAACCCATGATTTTTTGTGGAACACTGCTATGTGTAATTGGCTGCATTGTTTCCCCCAAGAGTACAGCCTATATACAACAACAAGATTCCATTTATTGAGCGCCTTTCACGTCGGGAGGACGTCCCAAAGCGCTGTACAGTTGGGTCAGGACCCGAGCAGGGGAGGGAAATGGTCAGGGTGAGGGGAGGGAAGGGAGGGAGCGAGGAGGGGGTAGAGAGTCGAGAGGGGAGCTGAAGGCTGAAGGTCAAAGAGAAAGGTCTTGAGACCGGCCTTGAAGGAGGAAAGGGAGGAAGCGGCGAAGGCACTGGGGGATAGAGTTCCAGAGCCTCGGGGCTGAGAGGCTGAAGGCCCGGCCACCAATGGTAGGGCGGTTGGGGCGGGGGATGTGGAGCAGACCGGTCATGGAGTTGAGGGTAGAGGAGGAAAGGTAGAGTTGGGTGTCATCTGCATACATGTGGAAGTTAACCCCATGTCTGTGGATGATGTCACCACAGGGGGAGCATATAGAGGGTGAAGAGGAGGGGACCGAGGACAGAGCCCTGAGGGACACCACACGAGACAGTGCGGGGGCCGGAGGAAAAAACAATTGTGGAGACAAAGTGGAGACGTTGGGAGAGGTACGACCTAAACCACTCAAGGACAGGGCCTTGAAGGTTTAGGTGGGAGGACAGGCAGTGGAGGAGGATAGCATGGTCGACCGTATCGAATGCTGCCGATAGGTCGAGGAGGACGAGGAGGCAGAGGGAGCCCTGGTCACAGATGGTCAGGATGTCATTGGTGACCTTGACCAGGGCAGTTTCTGTGCTATGGGCAGCACGGAAACCTGACTGAAGGGGTTCGAATAGTGAATGGTTGGAGAGGAAAGAGCGCAGCTGGGAGGCGACAACTCGTTCCAGGACCTTGGACAGGAAGGGGAGGTTGGAGATGGGCCGGTAGCTTGATAGCTGTGACGCATGAAGGGAGGGTATTTTTAAGGTGGGAGTGATGGTGGCAGTTTTTAAGGGAATGGGAATAGAGCCAGAGGAGGGGACAGGTTGACGATGTCTGTGATATGTGGGGCAAGGAGGTGGAGCTGGGAGATAAGGAGTGGAGGGGGGATGGGGTCAAGGGAGCAGGTGGTGGGTTTCAGGGATAGGATGAGTTTGGTGACAGAGGGTGGGGAAACGGGAACGAAGGTGTGTAGGAGAGGATCGGTAGGAGTCGGAGTGTGTGAGGGAAGGGCTGGGTGGTGTGTGGATGTTGGAGTGGAAGTGACCGCGCAGCGAATTCCCGTGATCTTGGTTTCAAGGAAATCCAGCATCTCCTCGCAGTGAAGGTTGGAGGAGATGACCTGCGCGGGGTGGCGGGGGGGACGGAGGAGTTGGGATGTGGTAGAGAACAGTAGCCTGGGGTTGTCCTTCGCCTCCAGGATTATCCTGGAGTAGGAGGACGACTTGGCCGAGGCTAGAGTGGAGCGGTAGATTTTGAGGAGGTCCAGCCAGATTTGTCGGTGGACCGTTAGGCCAGATTTGACGCAGGTGCGTTCAGCGGCCCACACCTGGCTCTTCAGTGAGCAGAGGTGGGTGGTGAACCAGGGGGAGGAGTGAGAGTAGGAGACAGTATAGAAGAGGATGCAGCCAATGCCACAGTATCAGAGGAGACTGTAGAGAAATTGGATAAGATAAGAATAAACTGAGAGAAGGTATTAAAAAGGTTGTCGGTCTCAAGGGAGATAAGTCACCTGGTCCGGATGGGATGCATTCTAGGTTACTGAGGGAAGTAAGGGTGGAAATAACGGAGGCTCTTTCCATCCTCTTTGGACTCCGGGGTTGGTGCCAGAGGACTGGAGGGTTGCAAATGTTTCTCCCCTGTACAAAAAGAGGCAGAAGGATAAACCCGGGATCTACAGGGTCAGTCAGCCTGACGTCAGTAGTGGGGAAACTTCTAGAGACTAATCCGGGACAAAATAAATTTTCATTGAAAAATATGGGTTAATAAAGGACAGTCAACACAGATTTGTTAAAGGCAAATCGTGTCTAACAAACCTGATAAGAGTTTTTTGATGAAGTAACGGAGAGGGTGGGTGAAGGTGGTGCAGTTGATGTAGTTTATATGGATTTTCAAAAGGCGTTTGATAAAGTGCCACATAAGAGACTTGTAGCAAAATAGAAGCCCACAGTATTAAAGGGACAGTGGCAGCGGATACAGAACTGTCAGGGAGACAGAGAGCAGAGAGTGGTGAACGGTTGTTTTTCTAACTGGAGGGAAGTGCAGTGGTGTCCCCCGGGGTCGGTATTGGGACCACTGCTGTTTGTGATCTATATAAATGACCTGGACTTGGGTATAGGGAGTACAATTTCCAAGTTTGCAGATGATACTAAGCTATGAAAAGTAGTAAACAGTGTGGAGGACAGTAACAGACTGTAAGAGGACACAGACAGACTGGTAACGTGGGCCGACACGCGGCAGATGAAGTTTAATGTGGAGAAATGCAAAGTGATGCATTTTGAGAGGAAGAATGAGGAGAGGCAATATAGCTGATGGGACAATCTTACAGGGGGTGAAGGACAGAGAGACCTGGGGGTCATATAGTAAATGTTTGAAGATGGCCGGACAGGCAGATAGAGCTGTTAAAAAAGCATCCGGGACACTGGGCTTTATGAATAGGGCATAGAATACACAAGTCAGGAGGTTATGATGAACCTTTATATAAAACACTGGTTAGACCTCAGTGAGAGATTGGGTTCAGTTCTGGGCCCCACACTTTAGGAAGGATGTCAAGGCATTGGAGAGGGCGCAAAGGAGATTTACCAGCCTCTCAGCCCCGAGGCTCTGGTACTCTACCCCCAGTGCCTTCGCCGCTTCCTCCCTTTCCTCCTTCAAGGCCGGTCTCAAAACCTTTCTCTTCAACCGTGCCTTCAGCTCCCCTCTCGACTCTCTACCCCCTCCTCGCTCCCTCCCTTCCCTCCCCTCACCATTTCCCCCCAATGCTCGGGTCCCGACCCAATTGTCCAGCACTTTGGGACGTCCTCCCAACGTGAAAGGCGCTCTATAAATGAAATCTTGTTGTTGTTTAAGAGAGAAGCAGATAATTATTTGGGAGGAGAGGTTTGCAGGGCTATGGGGAGAGTGGGGGAGTGAGGGTTGATTTGGAAGCTCTTTTCGAAGAGCCGGCACAGAAACGATGGACCAAATGGCCTCCTTCTGTGCTGTATGATTCTATATTATTCTGTGAAGCGCTTTGAGACTTCTCAATGATGTGATAAGGCATTATATCAAATCCAAGGATTATTATAATTGAACATGCATTCCCGTGCGCTGTTCCCTAGAAATATTTTACTTTGATTTTATTTTTCTCATATAATGATAATAATCCTTGCATTTGATGGAGCGCCTTATCAGGTCTTCGAGACGTCTCAAAGCGCTTCGCAGAATAAACTAAAGTGAATTGACTGTATATTTTGTGGGCGAAAATTTTCTTCCACGTGAAAAGTACTGTACGTGTATGTGTAAGTACTTTGGACTCTGCTGTCCCAGGAGCTGAGCTCCAACTGTTGGAGGTGTCCTGGGCTTTACCTGCTTCTGTCCTGACGAAGGAACGGTCATGGACTCACTCTCTCTCCATAGATGCTGCCTGACCTGTCAGGGAGTTGTTTTCGTGCTGCAGTGCTGGTTTCTGACACCAGAGGTCCTCACTGAGCTGTGGGTGTGCGGTAGCGCCCTCGTGTGGCAGCAAAAGGAACTGCAGTTTACAGCACTCGTTTGTCACTCTCTCTCTCTCTCTCTCTCTCTCGTCTTTATTTTTTTCTACAGTGCACTGACCTGCAATTGAAACATGTGGAAGATGATACTGTTTGTATTTGGAAGTACTTAATTGTATTCAGTTCGAGGGTTAACTGTATTTATACAATACAGAGGTATAAGAGGGTGTGTGTGAGCGCCATCATTTTCATGGCAGGTAATGACCCGTTATGTTCGGTGCCCCATCTCCTGAGTCAGTGAGGAGGAAGTTACTGGTGTTACTTTTCTTGCTCATCTGCAATAACAGAGAATAACAATTAATTGGAAGAAAAAAAAACAGGACTTTGCGAACACCTTGTACGTAAGTCTGACCTTTGCACAGATATAAAACATAAAGGTTTTGACCAGCTCTGTATTTGGCACTTTGTATTTGGGATTTCTTTGCTGCTCGCAGTGGTTTCAGTCGTTCTTCACATTTATTCATAATATTAGATGTTGAAAATGGAAATTCTTGGATCTGTCGTCAGCGTTTCACACTGTATTTTCTGCCTCTTTTCACCGCAGAACCGGAGTGGGCCTCCTACACCCTAGGGATATTTGTCTGCCTGAATTGTTCAGGAATGCATCGCAACCTTTCAGGCATCAGCAAAGTCAAATCCATCCGGCTGGATTTCTGGGAAGATGATTTGGTTGAGGTAGTTACTGATTCTATTCCAGCCCAGGACAATATGTGGGGAGGTGGGAGGGGTTGGGTGAAAGAGCCACATAGTGAGAAATAATGGAGGGGGGTGGGCGGGGGGTTAAGTGTGAGACAGGTAGACAGCCACACAGGCGGACAGACAGATACTGAGGACAAAGTATAAGGAATATGGTGAAAAGGAAATGGGATCAACCGATATGCCATGTTGATGGGCTAAATGGCTCCCTCCTTATCGCATGTTAATTGAATCATAGAATTATATAGTACTGAAGGAGGCCATTTGGCCCATCATGCCCGTGATGGCTCTTTGAAAAACCTATCCAAATTAATCTCACTCCCCCAAAGTCCTGCAAATTTGTCTTCCCCAAATATCTATCTACTTCTCTCTTGAAAGTTATCACCAAATCAGCTTCCATCAGCCTTCCAGGCAACGCATTCCAGATCCCAACACCTCGCTGTGTGAAAATAATGTTACCAATAAAAGGTCTCCACATGGAAAAGAACTTGGTTCTCCATTGAGGAGAACACAAATGAACAAATCATTTCACACAAATGAACCAGATTGAAGAGGTGAGGGTGATGGGCCACGTTCTAACACCTGCTGCCCTGCCCTGATTCCACCCTAATTAGGTAAAACATGACAGGTTGTTGTGGCTGAGGCAAGGCCTCAGGATTGGGGTGGAAAAACTCAGGCGATGAAGAAATTACAAAAGAGATAAATATATAAAAGAACAAAAACTGATTTTAAAAAATCTTTCCTATTTTGTGCAGCGCATGAAAACCCAAGGAAACCTTGTTGCCAAGAATCACTTTGAGGCAGATGTTCCTCTTTTCTACTACAGACCACAAGCCTCTGACTGCATGTAAGGAGCAAATAAACACCAGTTCCTGACACGAGAAACAGGAGTATCTGTGGCTGAAAGACGACAACCCTGAAGCCAGGCAGACACGGAGCGGTCCATACTAACATGAATAGCACATGAGCACCTCTCATATAGCATCACATATACAAGTGCTTTACTAAGATGGTGTGGGTTACTGAGTAAGATGGGCAGATGGGGGAGAGGAGGAAGGTGACAGAAACTCTGCCAAACAGAGGTTTCTAAGAAACATTTTGATAGTAAGAGCGTTGGGTGGAGGGGCTTTGGGCGAACGGGGCTGTAGTGGGTTTACGTTTATGTGTGTACATTGTTTGTTTATCATTTAAGGTCAGGCCCCTGATGGTGAGGTGGGAGTGGGTGTGGGTTTGCCAGGCAACCTCAGGTAAGTGGGGAAAACCCATCCCCCCATCACCAGTCATCGAGGGGTTAATTTTGACTGAATGTTGTGCCGGGCGTGGGCTGCCACAGGAGGGCAATTAGGGAGGAAATGATCCCACCACAAACAGTACCCTGTGCGCACGGCTGGGCAGCGAGAAAGACCCTGGCATTGATTCTGGGCCTAATGGACAGATGTTTAGGGGCCGTTTTAGTGCAGTTCAAACACAGAGCCATGTTTAAAGGGATATGGTCGCCATAGTAACCCCCCAAAGTGCTGGCTAATCATCATCCTGTTCATGAGCCCGGATTACATCCTCACTCAGGGAAACCTGCCAACGCTGGACTTTAACCGGAGGAAATGAATCCTAAAGAAGATCTCATTTATCTGGAGAGCAGATAGCAGGCTGTGGTGGGGTAGATACACTGAGTGATTAGAGAGAGAGAGAGAGTGAGATGCACTGACTTTATCTGACCTTGTTCTTACCTCCCTGGCTGTTGTCTGAGATAACTTTTTTGCTTACTTCAGGGTTCTGAAAGATCAGTGGATCAGAGCCAAGTACGAGCGTGAGGAGTTCACAGGTGTTGACTCTCAGAGACAAGCAGCCTACACATCAGGTAATACTCGCCCCTCCCTGGGTACAGACGTACACATGGGGTACTGTACGGGTTGGGGGGGGAGCATTAGGAATTCACCTAGAACTATCTCTNCCCCCTGCCACTCCCTTGATCAGTCAATTTTCATTCTTTGCCACTTGTGTCCTTTCCTCTGTAGGTAAACGAGTTGGGGAACTCTGGAAACGTGGGAGGGACAACGGAACATTTCTGAAGAGAAACTTTATCCTGTCACAGAAAGAGGGAACTTTACAGTATTACGTCAAGGAGGTAAAGCCCACCCGCCAGGCTAGGAGTTTCCACCCTTCTCGCTTCCCATCGCTTTCAAACAGCTGTTTGCCGGACAAGCTGTGTACAAGGTGGCTGCCCTCCTTGCCCAAAAAACACTAAATACAACAGCTTGCCTTTATCTAGCGTCCCTCACGCTATCTAGCGTCCCCATGGCGCTTGTCAGTGGTGGGTGGAGTCCTGTGAAACACTTTGAGACATGAGCCCCACAAACCCAATGTATCAGATGCAAGGATTGCTCTTGTTAGTGTCTCGTATGAAACGTTACAAGATCCAAACCCGCACGAAGGGCACTATATAAAGGCAAGTTGTTGTTATCAAATAGCCACTTCACTAAAACAAGAATATTAATTCACACTCACTGGACGTATTGACGATATAAGAGTTGATATCCAACGTGAAGATGTTTTTGTTGAACGAGGAATGATGGTATATGTGACAGGCTAAGGGACCGAAGGCTGTGATTCGAGTGGCTGATCTGAATGCCACCTTACAGCCTGAAAAGGTTGGGAACCCCAATGGGATGCAGATCTCTTACCTGAAGGACGGACGCACGAGAAACATGTTTGTGTATCATTCAAAAGGAAAGGTAAGGCCCCTCCGCCCCCTGCCCCGCCCCATCCCTCTCTCCACAGCCTCCCAAGCTCTGCAGCCCACACCCTCTCCCGCGCTCACTACCGTGAGCCCATCTACATCAGACTCACCTGGCTCCGTGTCCTCAGCAAACTGACTGCAATCTTTCAATCTCTCTCTGCAATCTCCTCCAGTCCTGCTCTCCCATCTACTCCCTCTGCCCAGCATACCCACTAGCAGACGAGCGAGTTTTCAGCCCATTATCTCTTCCCTAAACCTCTCGGTCATCCTCAATACTTTTGCCTGTACCGCCTCCTACTCACACACTGGTACACCAGCCACCGCCGAATGCACCTGGCACAAATTCAATTTAACCATCAGATCTGGCAGGATTGCACCAAGACCTACCGCTCGGTCCTCGCCTCAGCTAAGTCATCCTTTTATTCCCAAATCATCTTGAAAGCGAAGGACAATCCCAGACTCCTCTTTTCTACTATTAACCAACTCCCCCACCGCCCTCCCATGCTTCTGGCCTCCTCTCCTCCAACCCCAGATGCGAGTTGATGGATTTCCTCGAGTCCAATGTCGAAGTGATCTGGTTTGCCGCCTCTACTGCCACCCACTCCCCTTCCAGCCCCCACCCATCCCTCCCTCCACACTTTTGACCCTGTCTCCCTCCCTTCGCTCAACTCCACCATTTGCCGTATGAAACCCACCACCTGGTCCCTTGACCCCTCTCCTCATCTCCACCTTGCCCCTCTACTAACAGACTTCCCTGTCCACAGGCACTGTACCCATCCCCCTAAAGACAGCCGTCATACCCCCACACTCAAAAAATCTTCCCTTGACCCATCTCTGCTCTCCCAACTATCGCCCCATTTCAAACCTTCCTTTTCTTTCCAAGGTCATGGAATGAATCATCGCTTCCCAGCTTTTTCCTTCCCTCTCCCAGCATTTCTTTGATGGACTCCCCCAATCTGGGTTTTGTGCTGCTCACAGCACAGAGCTGTGTCAAGGTGATAAATCACATTCTGTCCACCTGCGATCAGGGCCATCTCTGTCTCCTCGTCCTTCTCGACCTCTCTTGATACCGTCGACTACTCAAATCTTCTCCACCACCTCTCCTCTCGCCTCCACCTCAACGGTTCTGTTGTTGCCTGTTTCCAATCTTACCTTTCCCAACATCTGTGCTTTGTGTGCACAAACAGCTTCTCCTCTATCCCCCACATTGTCACGTGTGGCGTCCCTCAGGGTTCTGTCCTCTGTACCCTCCTCTTCAATCTATCATTGGCGGTTAGGCATTCAGCATCTCTGTCCCCACACTCTGGAACTCTATCCTGTAATCCCCCGCCTCACCCCCTCTCTTGTCTCCTTGAAGTCCCGTCTAAAGATCTTCCTCTTCAATTGTGCCTTCTACCCCCTCTACCCTCCACCTATCCTGACACCAACTCCCAGTTTGGTTCCAAAACCCGACTGTCCAGTGGCTTGGGACGCCGTTCCGACGTGAAGGGCGCTATACGAGTGTAATTTATTGTTGTTTCTTACCTCCTGTTCTCTGGTACTCCCTCCCACAACCTCTCCGCTTTGCGCCCTCTCGTTTTTATATCCCCTCTCTGATAGCGGGTGTAGACTCCATGGAGTAAACATTAAGTTTCTTTGATTCCTACAAACCAGTGCCCCCCCCACACCCCTCTATTCAGTGAACCAGAACCACACCTGAAAGGTGATTCCAGACATCTTTGTCTGGGGGGGGGGATGGTGGTGGGGGGATGGTGGGGGATGGTGGGGGTGGTGGGGGATGGTGGGGGTGGTGGGGGATGGTGGGGAGTGGGGGTGGGGGGATGGTGGGGATGGTGGGGGTGGTGGGGGATGGTGGGGATGGTGGGGGGGTGGGGGGATGGTGGGGGATGGTGGGGGATGGGGGGTGGGGGATGGTGGGGGATGGTGGGGGGGTGGGGGATGGTGGGGGATGGTGGGGGATGGTGGGGGATGGTGGGGGTGGTGGGGGATGGTGGGGGTGGGGTGGGGATGGAGGGGGTGAAGGGGGTGGAGGAGGGGTGGGGGGTGGAGGGGGGGGATGGAAGGGGGTGGGGGGGTGGAGGAGGGGGTGGGGGGATGGAGGGGATGGAAGGGGGTGGGGGGTGAGAGGGGGATGGTGGGGGGTGAGGGGGGGATGGTGGGGGGGTGAGGGGGTGAGTGGGGGGTGAGAGGGGATGGTGGGGGTGAGGGGGGGTGGAGGAGTGGGGGGTGAGGGGTGGGGGGGTGGAGGAGGGGGGTGGGGGGATGGAGGAGTGGGGGGTGAGGGGGGATGGTGGGGGGTGAGGTGGAGGGGGGTGAGGAGGTGGTGGGGGGGTGAGGGGGGTGGGGGGGGGGTGGAGGGGCTGCGAATCTCTGACACGTGTCGTCTCCCCTGAACGTGTCTTTGCTCTACAGGAAATCGTGGACTGGTTGAACGCCATCAGAGGAGCGCGTCTCCAGTATCTGAAGGAGGCGTTTCCAACACTGAGCGACAGTAATGTAAATACAGCGGTGACCCGACTGTGGGGGGGACTGGGGGGGGACTGGGGGTGGGGGACTGGGAGGGGGGACTGGGGGGGGGTGACTGGGGGGGACTGGGGGTGACTGGGGAGGGGCGCGCGTGTGAGGTGTTTGTTTGTGTGTTTGTGATGGGGGTGTGTGTGAGAGCTGTTTGTCTGTATGTGAGGGTATCTGAGCTGTGTGTGGGTGTGTGTGTGAGGGGTGTGTGGGTGTGTGTGTGAGGGGTGTGTGTGTGAGGGGTGTGTGGGTGTGTGTGTGAGGGTGTGGGTGTGAGGGGTGTGTGTGTGATGGGGTGTGTGTGGGTGTGTGTGTGTGTGTGTGTGTGTGTGAGGGGGTGTGTGTGTGTGTGAGGGGTGTGGGTGTGAGGGGTGTGTGGGTGTGTGTGTGAGGGTGTGGGTGTGTGTGTGAGGGGTGTGTGTGTGTGTGTGAGGGTGTGTGTGTGGGGTGGGGTGTGTGTGTGAGGGGTGTGTGTGGGTGGGTGTGTGTGAGGGGTGTGTGTGTGGGTGTGTGTGTGTGTGTGAGGGGGTGTGTGTGGGTGTGTGTTTGTGGGTGTGTGTGTGTGTGTGTGAGGGTGTGTGTGTGTGTGGGTGTGTGTGTGGGTGTGTGTGTGTGTGTGAGGGGGGGGGTGTGTGTGGGTGTGTGTGTGTGGGTGTGTGGGTGTGTGTGTGTGGGGGTGTGTGTGTGGGTGTGTGTGTGAGGGGGTGTGTGAGGGTGTGTGTGTGTGAGGGGTGTGTGTGTGTGTGAGAGCTGAAATGACATATTTCAAGACCCCAATATTGGGATCTATTATGTCTTTTGCAAATTGTGTGTAGAACCTCTGCAAAACCATTTGCAGATGGTGTGCAAACACATGGCCACAAAGGGAATTCTCAATGAATAAAACGTATTGGTTGTTAATTACACAACTGCAGAGATTATTCTGGGACTTGGGAGGTGACTCAGTCACATGCGGGTGTTGTATTTCAGCTGTTGCCAAGATTAACCAGGAATTACGCGATGGAGGGCTACATGGAGAAGACTGGCCCCACGGTATGTGTAACAAACCCTAACTAATCACAAACTAGTGTTAGTCGTGTGGTTCATAGCTCTGAGCCTAGTGGCTCAGCTGCTCACGCTCACACCTCAAGCTCAGAAGCTTGTGGGTTCCTGATGCTCCAGCACAGGGCTGGGGCGGTTATAGGTTCTGTATCTTGAAATGATCTTGGGTCAGAGAACAAAGTACTAACAGACGGTCTTTGCTGCAGCAACGCGAGCCTTTTAAGAAGAGATGGTTCACTCTGGACGCACTCGATCGCAGACTGATGTATCTCAAGGATCCGCTGGTGAGTTATATTTCTGAGCGTTGACCGTGTCAAGTGTTCATGGGGGAGGAGAGGCTCTCACTCACATCCCATCAAATAGGCAAATACGCGCAGACGCAGGCACATAGCACTCACACACACTTAAGTTCGGGTTTTGTTGGATAGTGATCAACAATGGCCACTGTGGTCCATTATGTTAAGCCCGACTTTCAAATTAAAATCTAATTTAATAATTTTCCAGAATTCTGCACCATCTCAAACTTTAAGATAAAACAGTCTTTAACGTCCGCTGAACAAACGGGACATGAAAGAACCCGCGACAATATTCAAAAACAAAAGTGAGTTTCTCCTGCCGAGTCCCAACAAGTTATGTAGTCACTCAACAACAAGTAAATTACATTTGTAAAAGCACCTCACATTGGGAGGACATCTCAAGGCGCTGGACAGAGTTTTGGACCCGAGGTCGGGAGTGTGGAGGGCTGGGGGGGGGGAAGCGGGAGATCGAAAGCACAGTCAGAGGGTCGACACGGATCTTGAAGGAGGTGAGGGAGGGGGCAAGACGGAGGCCCTGTGGGATGGAGTTCCAGAGGGTGGGGGCAGAATGGCGGAAGGCCCGCCCGCCAATGGTGACGAAGCAGGCCGGAGCCCACTGAGCGGAGTGAGCGAGCAGGATGGTAGGGGGAGCAAGATCATGGAGGGCTTTGAAGGCGAGGACCCGGATCTTGAACTGTATCCTGTGTGATGGGAAGGCAGTGGAGTCAGGTGACGAAGGGGGTAATGGGGTCACAGAGCCTGGTGAGGGAGAGGACACGGGCCGCAGAGGTTTGAATGATCTACAGCCAATGGAGGGAGGAGTTGGGGAGGCCGACGAGCAGGGAGTTTGCAGTCAAGCCTTGATGTAATGAAAGCGGGTGAGAGTTTTGGCGGCATGCGATATGAGACAGTGGCAGAGCCGGGTGACGTTGCGGAGGTGGGGGAAGGCAGAGCGGGTCATGGCACAGATGTGGGGTAGAAAGGATAGTTGAGGGTCAAATAAGACCCCAAGGTTCCTGACTGGCTCAGCGAGGTGGAGTGAGCCCCATGGATGGTGATGCTGTCCGTGCCTGAGGTGAGGATGGGAGCCAATCAGTCTGTGTCGGTCTTGTTGATGTTCAACTGAAGAAAATTAGCTCTCATCCGCAATAAAACGCAAAATTAGAAAAGGGTTTGATAAGATTAACATAAATAGGCTGTTTCCACAGGTTGGGGAATATGCAAGGATTATTATTATAGTATTATGTTTCAGAGCAGTTTATGGTGAGTTGCAGTTTTTTTAAAAAATTGTAAATCTGGGGGACTGCAGAAAAGAGTAATGATCTGAAAGGAAAAATCCTAAAAATAAAATAAAAGAGCAAGAGAAGAAAGACTGAGAAAGAGGTCTGATCATGGGAGACAGTAAAAGGAGTATAGTTAGATTATGTAAGAAATGTGCAGGAGTACTGTATAATAAACAGACAACACATTGCAAAAGGAGAACATTCTGCCAGAATAAAGACAGTCAAAGATTAGGAATTCACAGAAATGAATTGCTGAAGTGGAAGTGAAAGTGCTACATTTGAACTTCAGAAAGAGTTTACCAGAGCTCCAATTTAAAAGCAAATGGAGTCTATAATGACTAGAAGATGAGCAAAGTGGTAAGAACCAAACGGGCAGTGCTTAGACAATGAGTAGCTCCAAGACGACTGAGAGTTGGGAGAATGGTTTGAGTGAGGCGGACTTACCAGCCAGGAGAGAATAACTGAGAATTGATAAGGAAGAAAGTCTTGAAGAATCAAGCAGACTTAGAGAGACTACTCACAACAATCATTCAAGATCATACAACCTAAGGAGGTTTTGTTGGAAGAAATACAGTTGACATGTGTTGCAAGAAGGTGTTGTTTCAGTGTTGGCATCGAGCGCAATTAGAATCAGAATCTAAACTTGTCTTACATGTGTTTGCCTTTACCTTCTATACCATACTGAACTAGACTAAAATCAGGAAATACTATATGAAACCCATATAACAAAGCAATAATCAGAGGCCTGAGACTGATTTGAGTTTTTATTAATAACCTTTTGCCTTTTACAAAGAAAGTGTAATATAAAGCATCTGTTCAATAAAATATTGTACACAAGGCCTGAACCTTTGCTAGTGTGTATGTGTGATGGGGAGCAGAATCTGTAATCTGCAGCTATGCTATGAGGCAAGTTATTTAATTAAAAATAGGACTTACTTTTTAATGAAGTCTCACTTACTATGTTATTGTCTGAGGGGTTTGCATGTGTCACACAAGGCAACAGGAACAAGCCTGTTGCATTCATCTGATCCAAGGTGTCGGTAAACATTCTGCGTTGGTCTAGATTTTCTTTATGAATGAACATTTTAGCCTGTGCAGAATTTGGCCAATAATAATAATCCTTGCATTTGGTGCAGCGCTCTTCATGTCGGGAGGAGGTGCCGGAGTGCTTCACAGGATTTCCTGTGATGTAGAGTGACTGTATATTTGTAGGAAAAATAGTTCTGTTCAATTTTGAACCCCACTCTCTGAAGTTCTGAAAAGAACGTACAGAAAGTTGACTTCAAAATCCAGGACTAAATTTAATAAATTATGCAAGAATGGTATACTAATAAAATAAATCTAGATACAGGTTGAATTTTATCCAAAGCCTAACTGAAGGATTAAAGCTTCAAAAACATCAACAAGTCATAGGATTTAATATCCAATGAATCATTGAGAAATAGTATTGCTTTACACATTACTAGCTGTACCTATTGCAGCTACGCTTGCAACCAGTTTCATTTAATTGGCCCTCTCTTATCTGGCGTTTTTATTTGTCCTTGAAAGGCTTGATCTTTGCTTCTTAGGCATCTTTATTCCTTAAGATTAAGAAAATGTTCTATTGAACTTGTTTACACCCCTTGTTCACATATTTGCACACATATCCTTTTGGGAGGATTCCTGGTTGGGAGGACTCCTGTTGGTGTCGGTTAGATAGGCATTTCGTCTTTATCAGTATAGATTACATTTGTAGAGTGCCCTTCACATCAGGAGGACATCCCAAGGCGCTGGACAGTCAGGGATTTGGATGCAAATAGGGGCTTAGAATCAAGAGGGGTGGAGGATAGTGCCTTGGGACGTCCTCCCGACGTGAAAGACACTATACAAATGTAATTTTTGTTTGTGTTTGATAGGGTAGCCAAAGGCACAGTTGAAAGGGAGGGTTTTGTGACATGTCTTGAAGGAGGGAAGGTAAAGGGATTGAGGATGGAGTTCCAAAAGTTCAGCAGAGCGGCTGAAGGCCCAACCGCCGATGGTTGGGTGGGGGATGTGGAGCAAGCCACGGCCTGCTGAACAGAGGGAGCAGACAGGTTGATAAGGGATTAGCAGGTCAGAGTTCTATCCTGTGGGGCATGGGGAGGCAGTAGAGCTGGGTGAGGGTGGGGGTGATGGGGTTACAGAGCCTGGCAAGGGTGGGGGTGATGAGGTCATGGAGCTTGGCACTCACTTCAAGGTTGTACGTGGGCCTTTATCCAAAATTGGCTATGACATTCCTACAAAAACATTCACTACAATTAACAACAATTCCTGGTAAAATGCTTCCAAGACAGTTTGATGTTATAGGTATCATTGATTACTGTGCTTTTCCCCAGGATGCCTTTGCACAGGGAGAAGTGTTCATCGGTAACTCTGAGTGCCACTATAGCGTGAAGGAGGGGTTGCAATCCAGGTCCAGAGGCAACAGGTGGTCTCATGGATTCACACTTGTGACTCCAGAGAGGGCTTTCCTCCTGACGTGTGAGAACGAACAGGATTTCAAACAATGGATGGCAGCCTTCAGAGAGATTATCCTTCGGCCCATGTCTGCCCAGGATTACACAAGTAAGGAATCCTATCAATCACATACAGGGGCAAGCTTGGGAGCAAGTAGGTGTCAGAATCCTACCGACTGCTCAGAGTTGCCAAACCCTGGGTCTGGGTCTCAACGTAGACCTGAGCCACACAGAGCAAGGAGCACCCAGGCTCTCTCCCAGTCTGGGGAGAGAATGCGAAGCCTCAGTACCACTAAGCTAAAGAGAGTGGGGAGAATATCATCCATGGTTCCTGCTCCCAAGACACCGTGGGGCAGCCTCCACTGGATTGGGGTAGAGAGTAAATTGGGGATCATGGAGTGACATCAGATTGGAGAGGTGGGAGTGACGAAGTTTCTGTTTTTATCCCTAGTTGAGGCAACTTTCAGACGCAGGCAGAGGTGACTCCAGGAGAGAGTGTCTCTCGGTCAGACCATACTCGAGCAGCGAGGTATCGAGGACTGCCCAGAAGTTGAAGGAAAAAGTTACCGTTTGGTGCTCGGTTCTGCCAAATACAGTGTGAGACAGTGACAGATAGAATCACAGAAGAGCCATGCTGCACTGTGTGGCACACAGCCCTGGGTCCATGACCTGGATGAGCTTTCTTCACAAAACAGATGACTAATTAAAACTGACTTTACATTTTGAAACCCTTTAAAACACTTCACAGAATATATTGCAAAGTGGAGTGACTGTATATTTTGTGGGTGAGACACAGTAGCCAATTACAGTTGTGGATCAAGTGACCAAATTTTGGTTAGAAGAAAATGTTAAGAATCCTGCTTTTCCCATAAAACCTGTTAATACTTACTGTATTTCAATGATCTAATTCATTTAATATAATTTATAGATACCGCTTTAACAGTGGTTTGTGGCAGACTTGCACATTCACACCACCCGCCCTGGAAAGATTTTGCTCTAACCTCTCCTTTGTTTATTATTGACTAACTTTTTGCTCTCTCATCGCTGACTCACCCAGATTTGATTCTTTATCCTAGTTGAAAGTTTTTGTAAATAACTCAAACCAGTTCTTGTATCATTCAATCTGTTGACTGTTCAGTGCCTGCCGATATTTGGTTGTTGGGAATTCTGTTGAATACAAAAACAAGACCGACCACTACATATAAACACACACTACTCAGCACAGATTTGCCCAAAAAATGTTTAATAAGACACTAAAGCATCTGGATACTCTCCGGTGAAGCAGAGCGCGCAGATGAGTGAAAGGAGGAAGAAAAAATATCAATGTATGAAGACCAGACAATACACAATGACTGAAGAACTCACACATCTTTCGTTCTACATTGGTGTATTTTCTAGTTATCCAAGATTGAACTATATTACCCAAATATCTAACTTGGTAATAGCGTGCTGAAGCAAACCTTTTTTGGGGAAGTGTTGACCTGACATGAAAATCCTGTTCAAATGAGGAGTCAACCCGTGCACCCAACAGTACGCATCTCCTCTGCAAAGGACATCTTTCCAGGCACTATCTCCATAGCTCAACTTTCCCCCCCCCATCCGTTTCATTTTCGACAATACTGGAGTGCATTAGAACAAACAGTGAAAAGACAAGAGAACGTCACGGCAGGACAGACCAAGGAGAGAGGGAGGTAGTTATTTCCAAAATGTTGCACCCAAACACGAGATAAGCTGTAAGTTTTAAATGTTAGATTATTCCAGGCCAAGCCAATTGCACCATCTATCCTCTCCCCGCACACTCCACCCACTTTAAAAGTGATCAAGATTGAACAGGATTTGTACATGACCCATTGTCACTGCTTGTATAGAGATGTAATCTCTGTACAGCCAGCTCCTCAGCTGACAGTAAAACCTGTATTAAACATTACACCTCACCACCCTTTAGGTAGCTTGGGTGTGGATCCTGGATAATCCAGCGCCTTGGGAAGTCCTCCTGATGTGAAAGCCGCTATGTAAATGTAATAAATTTTTTGTTTAGCCAAATAACCTTTGCCTCCAGCCCTCTCGCCCCATTGGTTATGTATTCAGTACTAGAGAGAATCAGAAGTGAAGGATGAAAGGCGATAAATGGATGCAGCTCAAACCTGATGAAATAGAGAAACCGCATGTCCTGCCGCTGTAAACAGGATTTCAGTAGTGCAGACATCATGTAACCAATACACCTTCAGGCAGGGCATCACCACATTAGTTATTCATGTTGTTGCTTCCACCGCAGAAGAGAAGAATGTTTATTAATGTTCCATATATACACATTTACAGTCAGCAGCTGGCACCAGTGTGTTTACAGGACTCTGTGTGGATGCACATGAGTCGGGTGTTAGCGGATTGTTCCACTTCGTTACCCTGTAACACGCCCCTGGCAATCGGTCATCAAACACTTTTACAACAGACAAGCCCAGGTCTCACGACTGGTAAAATCTCCAGGAACAACCACAGCTGGAGCTTGTGCCAGTCTTTCCTGGAGTATTGGTCACTTCACTGCACAGCTCTCGCTCACCCTGGCAATTTCTCCATTTCAGCTTCAAAGGAGAGGTGCACTGCCCTCCAACATCAAGTGGACATCGCTGATCCTTTGCTCTGGAAGGAGGATGGTACAGAATGGGGGGGAGGGGGGGAGATAGCCTCCCACCAGAGGCAAGCACACAGGCCAGGATATTTACTTCAATTACCACTTCACTGGTTACCTGCCTACGTGGCAAAATATTAAATGTTTAGAAACAAATCCCTTATGATTTCAAGACACCCCTCCCTTCCGCAAGCTGGTCCGGATTCTGACCAGCTCAGTAACACTACATAAGAAGTGGTTTTCGGATCAGTGAGCAAGTACCATCCAATATAGGTTTTACTGTCAACTCACTGGAATATATTGTTAAATAGCTCCTTTCTGTACATTACTTCTAACGTCTCTATACTTTGAAGGAACACTTTCACCACTATTAACCACACTGTTCAGAGAAGCAGATACTTACAGATTAAACTAACCTGTACTGCCAGCGCTCTTGGCAATTCCTTTCCTACACGTTAAAAAGCAAGTGACGAAACGCTGCTGAATATAGTTTAACTGAAACAAAAATTATGTTGAAGAAAATCTCAGTTTTGAGTCCAGGGAATCGTCCAACGTTAAATATGATGAACATTTTTGTGAACCACGATTATTAAAAAAAATCAGTTTTACAAGTCAATGAAACAAATGAAAAAAATCAGGTCAATTTTATTGTTGGGAAAAACATTCAGTGTTTTTGTGAAAATTTAAACCCTCAAAGCAACCACACCTAGTCTTTCTCCCGACCCTCTGTTCCGCACAGGACACCAGTGAAAATGCATGTACTTAGGTCTAATATGAAATATGCTGGATGAAGGCACCAACTCAATTAATCTACGATATCTCATAAACACCAAAAGGATGAATAGATCCCTTCAACAATCAACGTTCTAATCCCAGAAGCCAAAACGCTTATTTCCTCACCCCTTTCAAAATTGTTTAAATTCTGCAAAATAAAGTTAAGGTCTAGCTGGGGGAATCCTAAACATACACGAGGTGCCACAGAGACTAGGTTGGAAGGCTTTACCACATCCATCCATCCTCATGCTGTGCAGGACATGGATTTAGGCTGAAAGGAACGAATAAACCACCCACCCTGCCACATACACTGCCTTCCATTGCTCCCTGCCTGTGCTAAGGGAGTGATAACTGATACATCCACAAGTAACGTAACTTACTCCTCACCATTACATTGCTAGCCTGGTTTCAGATGTTTGCTATTTAAATTGTAGACTTCACTGCTATCAACATTTAATGCACAAATGATTTGACTCTGAAGGCATCTTCATACTATAATGGTTCATGTGTTTGCTGGAAATATGTAAAGCAGTGATGACTTTTTATAGGGTAGAGCTGTAGAAATTTAAGCTTTTAACAGACCACTCCAATTGACTACTGACCAATACGTTGCACATCAATGGCAATAATAATAATAATGGGTTTGCAGAGTTCACAGGTGGAAGCATGGGGGGGGGGGTGAGATATAATCCAATTCATATATCTGAATAATTTATCAATGTCAAAAGATGTCTGTGTGGCCAAGGAATCACTGGTCCCAATACACTACAAGAAAAAGTACATTTAAGTCCCATTATGGTTTAATGTGGTCCCAATCTGTTTCTAGTGCCTTCAATGAAGTCTGCCACCTCACTTATACTTAAATACTTAATCCCAATGATGAATGTTCTCTTAACAGATTTGGTAGAACAAAATCTATAATTCTACAGGTGGAGAGCCTCAGTACCCAGTTCAGTCTCACCCTCATACTTCACTGAAAGACTTAAAATATTGCACTTTGTTTTAAAATTAACTTTCTTACCTTTTGATTTTACTGCTCTTCTGGACCTGAAGGCCTTTTTGACCTACCTCAGACGCATTAGGTAATGGTAGTTTACAAAAGCGCCCCCTCTCCCGGTGAACAAGAAACAAGAAACCCAATAACAAGAGATTCTTTAGTCAAGTAGGACGTGAATTGCCAACACAGCTCTTTCATGCCTGACCCTCATGCCCTAGTGAGGGGTAATTACAAACTACTTTACCATTGTGTTTGGCTCAGAGAAAGGTTGCGGTAGGAGGGAAGACCAAATGGAACCAATGAGAGGCAATAAATGGGCAGGTGCGTCTCCTTTGATTTCAGCTGCCAACACCGAAGTGGGAGGCAAGCACACTACCCAACTTCAATCAAGGTCTGCTGAGAGATAGAGCCAACGTGTCCAATTCAGGTTAGGGACCAGCAGTATAAAGAACATAGCTCTATGTTAGATCCAGGTGTACTCTAGTTCCTCAGAGCTCATTCTGATTATGGGAGAATCTCAAATATCATCCTAGTAATAACACTTTCTGTATAACTATGGGTTTCAGCACTAAACAACCAGAACAGTTTTAACTTTCAATTGTACTTTGTTAGCTGGTATATTGTGGGTACAAAAACCTACCTTACCTGCAAATGACTTAATTTCCATTATAATTAAAGCCCCCAAAAATAATGAACTAGGAAATAAGTACACAGAATTAATTAGACGTCATTAACATCTGATCAAGGTGCACAAATGTTGCTGTAACCCAAGCAATGTCCCACTTGCCAGATACAAGGCCCACAACCAGGTCAACAGGAATTTAGAACATCGTTTTGTTTTTAAAACAAGGTACCATAAGCAAACAGCAAGTCATTAAAGTCAGTCATTGCCATACAGCTTGGGGAGGGTCCCAGCCTGTGCAGAATTAATTATTGGTGAGGCAGCACTTGAGTAATAAGCCCTATATCGGGGTGGGGGGGGGGGAAGAGAGGGGAAATCAGAGAAGAAAGAGGGATGGGAGATAAGAAAGCAAGACAGGGTTCTCACTCATGACTGCTAACTAGAGAACACTGCTCGGAAGGTCAGACGCATGGATGGGATTGGAGCTTGGCTGCACGGTTAAACAGCTCTCCTCGGAGGCTCCCATAATGATCATAAATCATCTTGGTAGCAGAAGGAGAAGTAAAAACCAAACATCTTTGGGAAAGGAGGGGGAGTTTAAAAAAAAATTAATCCCGGAATGTTTAAAAAATAAATACAGAATTTAAAATGGTAATTCAATCGGGTTTCCTTTTTTAAAAAAAAGGTGCATTCCAGCTGCAGATTTTACGGGGACAAAAATAAGCTCAATATTTTACAAGCTAAAATGGGCAATATTCTATGTTTCAACACCCATATCCAGCAAATAGCACTTTGCTATGAAGTTAATATAATCACATTACATGAATACTAACAATAGATTTAAGAAGGGCCTTCACCAAACTTGCTACAAGTTTGGGGACAGAGAAATCCAACAGCAGTAAAAAAGCTGTGAAAGCCCTTGGAAATGAATAAAATGAAATCTGACTTGCCTCAGACTGAGAGGGCAATAAGATTCAGCCTCAGCCTGTCCCAAAGCAGGGCTACAGGAAGGAAGAGATAAATTCCAGTTTTAGCAACATATTAGGGTGATCGATCATTGCACATCCATAAACCATGCATCCACTCCACTTTATAAATAGATATCTAGCTTTGTCGTTGGGTGATTTTTACTGACCTAAACTCACCACAAATGCAAACAATGAATATAGTTACTTAGCATGCAGGTAGAACGCTGGTTCATTCTGAAAGCATACCAAAAGAAACCCCTCCAATAATAGGTTTACATTTTATTTTTGCATGAACTAACAGCACATGCAGTCGTACAAACCTTGAGGCAGTGGTCCACAGCTGGTCATGAATAAAGCAACATTAAAGTTTCCATCAAGTTTTATTACAATGAACTTTACAACGGTACAGAAATTAAGAAATCAAGTACGACCTATTTAGGTTCAAAATTGGTGTTAAACCCTGCGATGTGTTGGGAACGAAGTACATTAAACAAGTTACATAATCAAAAACTCAACTGAACAGGTAGTTGGGCTGCAGCACACAAGACATCAGAAGCCCTCACCAAACTATGTTGGGGACAGTGAAGTCCAACAGCACCTAAAGTGCTGCGAAGGCCTCGCTTTTTCTTTAAACAGAAGCAATTTTAATTTACAGAACTTGCCTTTAAGATGGTACTGCATGGTCATGTAACTCCAGCGCCTTCACAATTTTTTAACGAACCATATTTACTATACTTCAGTTCTAAAAACCTAGATGAAACACGAGAAAAGAAGCTATACAACATGAATTGCAATTACAGGGGGGGGGGGGGGGGGGGGAGGGAGGGGGGAAGAAAAAAAAGGCTCCTGCTTTTGTTTATTGTGTATGTACGTGCGAAGAGTACATTTTCCTTTTCTACTCAGATAAAACATGAACAGCATAGCCCGGGCGCGGCCAGCTATTTTTTTTGTGGTCATCATTAGCAGGTTTATCGTGTTTTTGTTAAAGTCACTTAAATTCACTGAAGCTTGTCTAGTTAACAGCAAGTTGAGAAAAGGTTGAATCTCCAAACCTATTGACGTAGGTAACAGCAGCTTCAGTAACGGCTCCCCTGCGACATGACAGGAGGCCTCAATCCTGACATTCCCATCGGGGGCCGAGGAGGTCCTCCCTGGTAAGGAGGCACCATCGGAGGTCCCTGTCCGTAAGGAGGCATGCCACCCGGTAGGTAGCCTGGCATGCCTTGTGGAGGGCCCACATACTGGCCTGAAAGAGAAGACCAGCAACTTAAGATACAAATTAAGTGACACAGCTCTGCTCATTGCTTGTACAGGTGAGGCTCGATCGGAGTAAATGTTTATCAGTGAATGCTGCCATATCTCTCACGTCGGAACAGATCCCACCTAACACTACTGACTTTGTTTATAGACTAATGCTCATTACGTTGATAAGTTGTCTCCATTTCTGTTCTAAATAAATCCGCAACTGCCAGTCTCCCCCTCCACCTCACAAGATACAAGACAAAAGGCATTTGCAATGGATATGTAATTGATTGACCGGAAGAACCCAGAGGGTGATGGTACAGGAAACGTCATCAGACGGGAAAATGTTACCAGATTAAATAGTTCTCTTTCAGGAAATAACATTATGGGATATAGCACATAGGTAGTTTAGGACGTATCTGCATGCGGCTGCCAGGAGGGTGGAAGGCGAACTAGATGGACCTTGGTCCTTTCCACAAGGGTCTGTCTGGGACCTTTTTATTTAAATATTTTTATAAATGAGCTGGAATTAGGAGTGGCAAGCACAGTGGCTAAGTTTTCAGATGGCACCAAGCTAATGAAGGTGGTAGATTGCGAAGCTGAACAAGATAGGTTATATGAGGATTTGAACATACTCGGGAACTGGGCAGATAAAATTCATTGTGGAGAAAAGTTCTTCAAAAAATCCTGGAAGGAACTATTAATTGAATGGAAGGAAAATAATATGTATGGAAAATGAAAAGGACCTGGGGGCTCTGACTGACAATAAACTGAAGCTCTCCCAAAAATGCTGTGTCAGTGAGTAAAACAAACCCAATGCATCAAAAAATCAATAGCAAGCCGAAATAATCCTGCCACTGTATAGATCATTGGTGAGACGGTTGAAGCAATAAGTGTTGATTCTTTGAATCATAGATTAAATGATTTCCTCTTTTAGGAACTAACATTATGGAATATAGTACAGAGGTAGTTTGGGATATATCTGCATGCGACTGCCAGGAAGGTGGAAGGCGAACCAGATGTATCTTGGTCCTTTTTTGTCTAGCATTTCTTATGTTATTTACCTGGCGGAGGCATGGGAGGTCTCATCGCTGGTTGCTGGGGGGGCATCCCCTGTTGTGGTGGCATCATGCCACTCATCGGCCCAACCGGTGGTGGCCCCAAAGGAGCCTGGCCTTGCCGGGGGATGTTACGCTGGTATTTGGGAAACTGGGCTCGTCGTTCCTCCTGAACACAGGGAGGGGAAGAAGAGAGGTGTTACACACGCACTCAGATTAAACTACAGGAGAGCTTACCAAAGAATTTTCTGTGCAGTTTATAATAAATTATAATCCTTGAAGTTTAAATTCAGACACAGAGAAAGTAAGCATTTATTTTAATATTCGAAAAAACAAGAGGGAGACTTACCAGCGAGATATCCTCGTCGGGATGGATCAACTTACTGGTTGCACTAGTTGTGGTCAGTGTTGCGGGCTTACTGGTCACAGGCACCGCCGGCTTGGCTACAGTGGTGTTGGCCGTGCTGGTGGCACTAACTGTGGATTGGGTGTACGCGGGGAAAGTGGGCTTGGGGGGCTCCGCTGTGGTGGCGGGAGTGCTGTTCAGTGGCTTGAAGTCGGTGCCCACAGGGCCGGACACAGGCTGCTGGCTCTGTCGGGTGAAAGACAGGGAGACAAGAGTTAGATCAGGCACTTGACGAGCACAAGCCAGGTCTGCAGGTATCATGCTATGAAGGTTTACAAGATTTCACATTCTGACTATATTCAAATTAATCCAAATAAAAAAGAAAAGCAGCCGAATTACAAACCAGCAAACCTTCAGATTTGGCTAAAGCTACAGCAATTGCCTCGGAGAGAGAGGCAATTAGAATTATACACACAAATTCTACACAGTAGTACATCACACTGCACTGATTAAAGCGCCACAGCCCACACACAACTTCAAAGCCTCTAGCTAGTTTTACTGCAAGCCCGCCCGGGTGAAGCAACTGTGAATTAAAGCTACGCGAGAAGAGAAGGGTGACAGCCTGCGTACTTGAACTGCGCTAGGAAACAGAGGTTTAGAGGAAGTGGAGAGATTTGTCGAATTGGATGAAGCTGTAGTAGAGGCAGTAGATGTGCTTGATACACGAGTCCCCATCTGAAGCATAAAAAGAGCAGACAGTGAAAATCCTTTTGTAGAGCAGCCCGCACTCGGCATGACTGAGAGGGCCAGAGCCGAGAAACACATTGCACAGTAACAGCGAGTCTCTAGATAAACACCGCGATTACCAGCTCTCCACCCCACTCCCACGCATCCCTTTTCCACTCTTAAGCCCTGAGAGATAAAATTCTGCACAGATGGGAATTCAACCGCAGCGGTTTTTCCCAGGATGTAAAACAGCCATGATCAGCATTCACTTACTTGCCCAGCACTGGGGAAGAGTGGTTTGGCAATAGGGGGCTGCGGACTGAGTCCTGGAGGTGGTGCTCTGCTGGGAACACCTGGTGCACTCACAGGCTGTGACTGAGTCATCGGTGGTCCCCCTGGGCGTGGTACAGGGGGGGGCATACCTGGAAGAGCAAAAGAGAAACGTCAGCTCAGCACAGCATAGACCAGCCTGAAAGCACTCGTTTGAAAATTGTAGATTCCATTTTAATGGAACAGCGATACAATACAAAATTATGTTTGCATAGCACCTTTCAAGTTGAGAGGAAAGCCAGCAGGCTCCAAAACACACACGCTGTTCAGTGCAAGTCATGTATCAAAATAAAATTACCAAATAACACACTCACGTGTGCAGAAATTGAAAAAAAATATGTAGTAGGACCGATGAACAATGCCCCTTCCCCACTCTGGACTGTGTAAATATTCCACCCATTAGCTCAGCTCTGAGCACTGCCTGCTGGGCATTGCTGACAAAGCGATAAGAGGTGCCTGGCCCCAGGAAAAGCACCAAACTACTGTAATCATGCTCTTGTCCAGAAATAGCACCGGGGGATTGAGGTGAGAGATGAACGCAGGCTTGATCTCCGAGGCCACACAACTCACTTTCCAGTGTGAAACGCAGTGAGAAACTGCAGTGAGGTTGGAAGGACAACTTAAGGAGCGAGTGGCAACAGTGCAGCCCCGAGCACTAGCTGTACATCTGGTGCTGTCCCGAAGCAGTGCTCTCCCACCAGCAAATATTGGGAATAATAACAGGAGCAAATGGAGAAGATTTAGAATTGGCATGACCCAGGACATGGGCATTGTTCCTTTAAGTTCAGAACATTTATAGAATAAACCCACTTTTTCATTTAAAGAAAAAAGTGTTGCTTTAATAAATCCTACGTTGATATTTCTTGACCCGTTTTTACCAACCAGTAAGAAAGCTAGTGACGAAATGCTGGCAACACTCTCAAAGCACTTAATGGTTGCCCTCAGCAAGCATTCACTTTGAAACTCGTCTGTCCTGTGTAGGTGAAATGAAAAATGAATTGGTACCAGGAAGTAAACACAAGGAGTGCTCTGGTAATAAAGTCAGGAGGGTCCAGCTGGCCTCCGCCTCCCTGGGCTAAGTTAAGGAACGGCTATTTAGCTCATTGCCCTTGTGCCACCCTCTGAAAGAGCCACCCATTCAGCCTCACTCTGCTGCCCTTTTCACAAATATTTGTTCAATTCCCTTTTAAAAGCTAGTGTGGACTCAACTTTAACTAACAAACATGTTTGGCCAGTCATTTAGCGCCCTTTGTAGAAAAAAAATTCTCCTAACCTCTCCTCGTCTTTGGTGATCTTAAATCGATGTCCTCAAGTTGCTAACTCATCAACCAATGGAAATCATTTCTCCTCATGTATCTCATGAGACTACGGGACCTCCCCCAGCCTCACTCTGCAAGAACTGATCCTGTGTGTGACACCAGGTACAGCTGGCCACCCTCACCCCCCCCCCAGGCTCCAACAATAACAATGGTCACCTTGATTGAGTGTGATAAGTACCAGAGGATCACTGGCACCCAGGAAACCATACACCAGTACGAAACGCGCCAGCCAATTGTGCACAGCAGTGTTCCACAAACAGTCGTGGATTGAAGTGACCAATTTATTATTTTGTTTTGAGGGATTATTATCAGGCGTGTGGAGTAAGGAAATTTGTCCAAGGTTTTGCCCTGCCAGGAATTGAATTCAGGTCTCTCGCTTGCGAGGCAAGTGCTCTAACCACTGAGCTGCAGGATTCCACGAGTTTAGCAAATAAAGTGGATTTGGGTTATCTTTGAGCTCATCCATTAAACATATTCTGCTTGGTCCCTGCAGGATGCTTACAGGGAAGCCAATCATTAAGCCAAATGGCCCGTCCAACGCAAGACAAAAAGAATTATACAGATGAATGAACATCAATACAAGCTTTGCAGAAATATCCCTTAGAACAAGAAAGATTAAACAGTCGGTGTCTGTTTGGAAATCTGACCAGTTCCTTCTTCTCCTCATTAACACTTAGAATTTCCCTTTTAAAATATTGTATAGTCCTGTTCCTGAGCTAGCCGAGTCCACAGTATCCCAAGGTACTGCTGATGATAGACCAGCAGCCATGTCAGCAGGGCTTGGGAGGGGTAGATTGGAGGCAAGGATTCACAGGTAGTGTGGTCCTAGCTGGAAAGCAGGATGAAGCTTGCTGAATAGTGCCCTCAATGGCAAACTATGCCGTTTTAACTGGTTAAACACTAGCAATTACCAACACACACTCGGGCTTCCGCAAACTTGGCTGTCGCCAACCTGCATCAGTACTCTCTGGAACTAGGTAAGCGGGATGAATGCATCCAGGGAGAGAGACGCAGGAATATTTCCAAGTATAAGTGGCATTCCTGTGTGTATCTGTTTATGTGAGGTTTGGATACTCAATCATGGTGATGGTTTTCCACACGTGTCTGAAACCTAGCTAACCAAAAGTATTTTGTAGCTTAGAAATTGAAATCGACAGCGCAGAAGGCAGCTATTCGACCCATCAAGCCTGTACCGGCTCACAGGCATCTCTGGGATGAGCAAACATTTAAACATATTATAGCATGCAATCATTTAAATATTAAGTTCAAGTTCGAGTTCCTCATCCTCACCTTTAAGGCCATCCATGGCCTTGCCCCCTCCTACCTCTCTGACTTGCTAACTCCCTACTTGCTAACTGCCCTCTCCCTCCACTCATCAGGCTCCAGCCTGCTCCATGTCTCTTGCCCGTCCATCGGTGGCCAGGCTTTCAGCTTCTCTGCCCCCACACTCTGGAATTTCATCCCAGTCCCTTTGCCTCGCTTCCTCACTCGCATCCTTCAAGACCTTTCTCTTCGACCGTACCTTTGTTCTCCCTCCCACCTCTCTGCCTTCCCTCACCCCTGCACCACCCCTCCTCCATGCTCGGAAACCGACACCTGACTGTTCAGCGCTTTGGGACTTCCTCCCGACATGAAAGGCGCTCTATAAATGTAATTTTGTTGTTGTTAAGGAATCATTAATGCTTAGCTTTATATTGCCTACAAAATATTGCACCTTATTTCACAATAATTACTCTAATTTCACATTGAATAATTGTAATTATAAAAATACAAGCATCACCACCTGAGCAACTGTTTTGAAGAACAAAAGCAACGTCTCTTTGCAATCTGACCCTTTTCAATATTAGTCAACATTGCAAAGAAAATAAACTCAAGAGCATTCAAAAGTTAGGGAAAAGTTTCTGAATAAAATGAAGGAAATGAAAAGTTTAATATTGGCTACCACATGCTCATGTTAAGCACGTGAAATGGAAGATTTTTTGAGTGATGGGGGAAGGCTATGTTGCTTTTACTCAGCAATACATTTTTGCATCATGTTAAATAGCACACATGGTTACAATTCCTATTTGCTGCTATACAGACCTATGTTGTTGCCAATTATTTTGAAATACCCACCAGGGGGCATGCCTGGCATCATAGGTGGCATTCCAGGTCCCGGGGGCATCATTCCACCCATGGGCATCATTCTGTGAACAAGAGGCAAAGGTCACATTTTCTGAAAACGACAAGATTTATAAAATAGGATGCATTGTTATCAATTAGCTACAAATTTAAAGGCAATTTTGATAAGAAACCCTAAATGTCAATTGAGAAATCCATTCAAAAATATTTCTAACCTGCGAGTACAGCACGCAACCTCTTTGGTTGGCCAACAAAACAAACGTTTCTCAATTGAATATTTCTTGGTTCACGGCATAAATCTGTGCTATTTTGTTATTTATATGATTATTTTGTTGGCCAATCAAAAAGGTTTGACCACCACGGCAGTAAGGCAATGTCTCGGCAGCCATGACTGCTTTAAAACAATGTCCATTTTTTAACAACATTTAACAAATTTGAACATAAACCACATTGAGAATGGCAAATACAACTCGACAAAAACGTACCCAGGAGGCATCCCTGGCATTCCCGGTGGCATGCCTGGCATCATGGGTGGGACACCGGGCACCACTGGTGGCATTCCTGTAAAGAAATCAAAATAAGTAAAGGCGTGGCAAACATAACACTGAAAAGATAACATAGCAAGCCACATCCCAACACATTTACTAAAAGGCAACACATCATCATAATAATAATCCTTGCATTTGACAGAGCACCTTATCACGTCTTCCAGACGTCTCAAAGTGCTTCACAGAATACACTGTAAAGTGAAATAAAAACAAATACTGTAATATGAATTGACTCTATATATTGTGGGAGAATCTTATAGAAAAGTTCAAATCAAAATCACATTTACCAACATGGAATCTAACACAGAGTAAACCCGCCCTATCTGCACATGGAGGAAAAGAGTACCACTAATGACACGATGGTTGAATAGACCTTCTGTGCACTAAACATTCTCCAATTTGGTAAGAGGAAGGCAGGCAGTTACCTGGAGGAATGCCTGGTGTACCAGGCACAGGGTGCATGCTGGACTGGTTCATGCTGGGTACGAAGCCCTGCTGTTGTTGCATTCCCTGCTGCTGGTAAGACGTTCCAGCCTCCGCTTCCTCCTCGTCGAACTCGTCAGAATCATCATCTTTCTGCTTCTTCTTCTGACTTTCAGCTAAAAGATAAAAAGACTCGTCAGACTTTCTGCAAACAATCTGCGCCACAATAAGCCTCAGATGGAAAGTCAACAGGACCAGTTTCACGATCAGATACAACAGATGCTCCAAACCAACCTTTTACCCTATTGTAGGCAGTGGTTCAAAATAGAGTACAGTTCCATGAGGACCAACACTTAGCCTCAACCAAATGGCAGTGGCGCCACTTCAACTCCCACTGTGGGAGATCAACTCTGATCTCTCCATCCATGGTCTCCTATGCTGTTCCAATGAGCCACAGCACTTCTTTATTTGCTAGGGATCTTGTAGCCCTCTGGCCTCAATATTGATTTCAACAATTTCAGACCATAACAGATCACCTCCCCCTTCCCCCTCTTCTGTGACCATTACCACATCACCTTCGTCCCAGACACACCTTTTCTCCCTCTGGTCTGCCTATTTTGCTGCAATCTTCCCCCCCTTTGTTTTGCATCAACACCTCTTTTAACACATCATCCCATGTCCTCTACCCCATTTTCTCCTTTGTCTTCCTTGCCCTGCCTCCCCTCTCTCTGTTAGCCCTTAAAAGCCTTTCTCTCCCAACATGGCACCAGTTCGAACGAAGGGTCCTGGACCCAAAACATTGACTCACTTTCCTTTCTCCATAGATGCTGCCTCACCTGCTGAATGTTCCCAACGACTACTGTTGAACTTAAAACTGTTTCTATGATTCATTGGATATTGAGCAAAAACTGGAATCATGACAGAAAAAAATCCTTTTCCAGTGAGAGTAATGCAATTTGGACAGTCTCCACTCTCAACCAATAAAGCCACCAAGGGCTCAACACCCACCCCATCTATCAATTTATGTTAAATCACAGCTCATGCTTTTATCATCACCCAAGATTGGTGCATTGCCACTGTAATGACCCAAACTTGTACTGTACCTTGAGTCTTTTGTTCGAGCAATCTTCTCCTTTCTTCCATGTCCTTTTCTGGAATGCCCTCCATTCCATAGATTTCTAATTCTATATCTGTTCTTCCTGGTATTGCATTTGGAACGGCATCTATTGTTTCCTTGTGAACCTACCAACGGAAAATAATCTGCAGTGTTCAGAAGGGAAAAAGCTCTAATATCCCAAGCTACACTGCCACACAGTGGCTGAAATGACATCCAACAACAACCAATGACAATCGTACAGCACCTTTCACGTAGGGAGGATGTTCCATGGTGCTGGACAGCCAAGGATTTGGAGCCCATGCTCGGGATCAGGAGAGGTGAAGGGCAGGGAGGGTAGGGGTAGGAGAGTGGCCAAAGGCGCGGCTGAAGAAGAGGTTCTTGAGACGTACCTTGAAGGAGGCAAGGGAAGGAGCAAGGAACTGTGGGGTGGATTTCTGAAGGGTGGGGGCAGGGAGGCTGAAAACCCGATGGCAGGGCAGGCGGGCTACATGGAGCAGGCTGAGCGGAGGGAATGAACATGTTGATATGGCGTTAACAGAACACAGAAGTAGGAAGGAGCAAGGTTGTGGAAGGCTTTAAAGGCGAGGACGAGGATTTTGAACTCTATCCTCTGGGGATGGGGAGCCGGGCGAGCATGGGGTGATAGGGTCACGGAGCCTGGTGCGGGGGAGGACACGAACTGCAGAATTCTGGATGATCCGTAGCTTATGGAGGAAGAATTGGGAAGGCCGACAAACAGGGAGTTGGCATAGTCGAGGCTAGATGTAATAAGTGCGTGGATGATGGTTTCAGTGGCCTGAGTGGAGAAGGAGTGGCGGAGCCGGGCGATGTTGCGGAAGTGGGGGAAGGCAGAGCTGATCGTGACACGGATATGGGGTAGAAAAGATAGTTGAGTTTCAAACAAGATCCCATGGTTCCGGAGTGGTTCAGTAAGGTGGAGTGTACATCCATGGATAGTGATACTACTAGTGCCGGAGGTGTGGAGGGACTGACCGGAGCCAATTAGGAGGGTCTCATCTAGAACTTGATGTCTGACAGTCTGTAGTCGAGGATTGACGCAAAGAGATAGAGTTGGTGTTTGAGGATGATGTCACCAAGAGGAAACACGTAGATGCTCGACAGTTTAAAGGCAGCAAAGAGGTCAAGGAGGATGAGGAGACTGAGGGAGCCAGATGACTGGCTTTGGGAGAATCAGCAAGCTTCCATTATTTGACTCAGATCCATAGTAGAATTGTAAATCTACAATGTGTCTTGTCTGAACTACACTGCGATTCAGCTGCAGGAAACTTCAATTCTAAAAGGTTATTGTTTGCACCACAAAGCAAGGCCAGATGCTTTATTTTGGAAGCATTTCTCCATTAACTCAAATTTCTCACTCTAGCAGATTCAGTACAAACTGATAGCCACAACCTACACAAAGGCAGGCTGGAGCTGTCAATTCACATAGCAAAACTCACTTGAGGCCATCGATAAATTGCCATTTTCTTTTAACTTTAAAAATACTTCTGCTCACCATTTCCCACAAATCACACAGGTTACAAACAAAGCATTTGGATCAGGGGCATTCCCCAACCAGTGAAGTTACTTTTGGGTAACAAACTTTTCTGAGTGTGAACTAGCAGGAGCCAAAATGTAGCAGCTAAATCTTTGATTGAGAATCCTCATCATACAGAATCAAGACAGAAACATATCTGGAGTTGAAATTTAGAGTATTTAATGTGAATCTGAATTCCAGGTCAGTTTACATTATAAACTGTTATGTAACCTGGCCTGATCCCAACCACCAGCGCACATGTGTGTGTGTGTGGGGAGGGGGGGATTGTGGGTCCAGATCCAGGGATTTGACACATGTGGAAACCCATCCAAACCACACTTAGAATTTCATGCATCCCACCAACACATACTTTTTGTGTGTATATATATATATTTTATATATATATATAATTTTATATATACTTCGGTCCAGCAAAACTACACCCCTACAAATGGGTTAATTGGTTAGTAAAGAGGATCTCACCTTTCTAAATGTATCACAATAAAAAGTACCTCACTACGAACGACAATAGCAAAAAGCAAGTTTTCCATTTTTAGTCTGACCAAACCGAGCACTTCTTGTCACTTAATCGGATATACACCCAATGCACAAATTTACCACACCAGCTCACAAGCCACGTGAAAGAATTACTGAGAATATCTTTATGTTGCCGACTTGGGCTGGTACCTGGATTAAGACACTGAAGTGTCATTCTGTTCAAGATAGAAAGACTATTTTGTTTGATATTTGATATTAGTTCCTTTAATCACTAGACATAAAAGGACTCGGTTCCTAATTTGAGCAATTTAGCATTACTGCCAGTTTTACTTCAACAAACAAAGGCGGGGCTCACTGTGCAGACAGGAAGCCACTCAGGCAGCCACTTCTGGTAGTGGAGCATATCCTTTTCAGACTCGTTCTCCACATATAAATTGCTGACAAACAAATCTATACAAATCTTGCTGCAGTACACTTAAGTAAGGCCCATATGAATGTCTGTGATTTTCAGAGGATCATGGTTACGCCTAGTTAAAACCACCAAAAGTTTAAAACTAAAACACATTACCCACTTTCCTTTACCAGATCCCACAAAGTGAGAGCAATGCGCTTACTGGGAAAGGTATACAATGCACAGCAAAACCAAAGTGAACATACTAAGGGGCAAATACATAAAAACTGAGGACATTTTTGGTAGTGTACAAAGCATTGTATACTTATACCAAGAAAGCAGGAGACATTTTGGATTCTACCTTCCTCATACACATTAGGTCAAAATCTATGAGGGCGCTCACACTGGTGCTCCATCTCGTGGATACGGGTTAGCAAAGAATGCAACATAACAAATTACTCTAATTCTCATCTCCAACAACAAAGCCAAAATGCAATATGCACCTGCATGATTCAGCAAATGCCAATAGATATAATGGGTGGGGTGGGGGAGAGGAAAAAGATTAAGTGACCACAGCCTGCACCTAAACATCTATTTTATCACTAAATTTGCAGGTTAAAAGATGGTCTATGTCACCGGTTTACGTGGATAAACGCCCACAAATATACAGTCAATTCACTTTACAGCATATTCTGTGAAGCACTTTGAGACGTTTAGAAGACATGAAAAGCACTATATCAAATGCAAGGATTATCATTATTATTATTATAACATGCCCTAAAATCCCCCGTTATCCTAGATGATCCCTCAAGGACGTAATCTCAACCAAAGCACAAGAGACCTTGAAGTTTCCTTGATCAGGACATGGAACATTCTGATCCTAAAGCGCTGTTTATTCACATTCACAGTTAGAACAGAATAAAAATTTACATCACGTTTTAAATTTCGATTCAATGTTTTTGATGCAAGAGGCAAAATAGTAGGAAAGAAATAACAGATACCTAAAACAACAACAACTTGGATTTATATAGCGCCCTCCACTCCGGACAGCATCTCAGCGCGCTTCATAGTGACGGATCCCAGGGCTGAGCCAGGGGGAGGGGAGGGGAAGGTGACCAAAGGCGCAGTCGAAAAGAAAGGTCTTCAGCAGAGACCTGATAATAGGAAGATAGGGGACGAGGCAGAGGAAGTGAGTTCCAGAGCCTCGGGGCTGAAGGCACGGCACGGCCGCCGATGGTGGAGCGGACGATTCGGGGGACAAGGAGGAGGGCAGATCCGGTGGAGCGAAGGCAACGGGCACTGTTGTGAGGAGAGAGGTCAGAGAGGTAGGGGGATGCAGGTGAGTGGAGGGATTTGAAGACTAGGGTGAGGATCTTGAAGTCGATCCTCCCTGGGACAGGCAGCCAGTGCAGTCTGGCAAGGACTGGGGTAATCAGGGAGTGGAGTTTGGTGCGGGTAAGCATGCGGGCGGCAAAGTTTTGGATGACCTGGATTTTGTGAATGCTAGTGGAAGGGAGACCGGCGAGAAGGGCATTTGAATAGTCCAGCCAAGAGGTGACAAAGGCATGAACCAGGGTTTCAGCGGCTTTTGGAGTTAGGTATTGGCGGAGGCGGGCGATACGTCGGAGGTGGAAGAAAGCGGCACTGGTGAGGGAACGGATGTGGGGGAGGAAGATAATTGGGGGTCGAACCTGACGCCTAGGTTGCGTACAAGTTCGGAGAGTTTTAGGAGGAGGTCAGGTAGGTGGAGGAGGTGAGAACCATGTGATTTTACATGTTGAAGAGAGCCAAAGAGTCAACATTCAGCTGAAGGAAATTAACGCTCATCCAGCTCCTGAGATCTGACAGGCAGGCTGACAGAACATCAGGGGACTGGGGGTCGCAAAGTGAGGTCAGAAAGAGGAGAGGGCCAAGGATAAATCCTTGGGGTACCCCGCAGGTAACCGGGTGAGAGCGGGAGGAAAAGCCATTTGTACAGATGTACTACTGGCGGTTCGTGAGGTAGAACTCGACCAGGCGAGTGCGGTCTCACTGAGGTGGATGACGGAGGAAAGGGGGTGGAGGAGGATGACAGAGGAAAGGCAGAGGAGGAGGATGACGTGATCACCTGTGTCGAAAGCGGTGGAGAGGTCCAGGAGGACAAGGAGGCAAAGGGAGCCCTGGTCACAGATAGAGAGGATGCCATTTGAGATTTTCACACATGCAGTCTGTGGGCAGGGCAGAAACCGGACTGGAGGGGTCCGAAGAGGGAGTGGGAGGAGAGGTGTGCGCAGAGTTGATTTGCAACCCGTTCTAGGACTTTTGCGAGGAAGGGCAGGTTTGAAATAGGGAGTCAGTGGCTACGGTTTGAGGGATCTAGGGAAGGTTTTTTGAGGAGGGGGCTGATGACAACAGTTTTGAGGGAGGCAGGGACTGATCCAGAGGAGAGGGACTGGATGATGACATCAGACAGTAGTGGGCAGAGGAGGGGGAACTGGGTGACCAGCAAGTTGGTGGGGAGGGTGTCAAGGCAGCAGGTGGTGGGTTTCGTTGAGGTGATGGTGGGTGAGAGTGAGGAAGGAGAGATGGGGAGGAAGGAATGTAAGATGGGGGTCATGGTAGGAGCGGGTGAGGGAGATGGAGAGGGGGTGGTGAGTGACAAGAGGCAGGAGGATGAGGCTGCCTGACGGATGTTATGTATTTTGGATGAAAAGTAGTCCATGACCTCCTCGCACTTGGCATTGGATGTGAAGATTGAGGAGGCCTGAGGGGGTGCATGGAGGATGTAGCGGATGGTGGAAAAAAAGACTTTGGGATTGTTTTTTGACTCCGCATCAAAGAAAGGCAGTAGCTGTGGGGATACTCGAGCCACAGTTGGTGGTGAACTGACAGGCCAGTTTTCTGCCACCTGCGCTCGAGCAGCCGGGTTTGGGTTTTTAGGGAGCAGAGATGATTGTTATACCACGGGGTGGGTTTGGATATGGTCCTGGATTTCAGAGGGACAAGGGAGTTGAAGGTGGAGGAGAGGCGATCATGGAGCAGCTGAACGGCTGCTTCAGGATCTCTGCAGGTGGAAGGCCAGAGGGATAGGATAGGATGTGAGGGCCTTTGTGAAGGTATCGGGGGTTGCCTTTTTCAGAGGCGGTAGAGGGCTTGGTGGAGGAAAGAGGGATGTGAGAGGAGAGATGAGGAAGTGGTCCGAGATGGCCTTGTCCACTATGCTAAGGTCAGAAATGTCAGAGGGTGACGACGAGGTCGAGGGCATGGCCACGGTTGTGGGTCAGTCAATTTATGTGAAGGGTGAAGTTCTAGGGAGGAGAGGAGGGCAGTGAAGAAGAAGTGGAGCAAGGAGAGTTTAGGTGGAGGTTGAAATCATCCATTATGAGCAGGCATTTGGAGCAGAGCGAGACAGGGAAGTGTGAATAGAGAATAGAGATGTCAGAAAGGAAGGAGCCGGGGTGCTTAGGGGGGGGCGGTAGACCAGGAGGATTTTCAGTGGGAGAGAGGGATGGAAGAGGGTGAGGTGCTCAAAGTAAGGGAAGCAGCCAGAGGTAGGGGGAAAGACCAAGGAAGGTTTTGGAGATGAGGGCCATCTTGTAGCTAGCTCAGTGGTTGGGAGTACTCCCCTTGCAAGTGAGAGACCTGGGTTTGATTCCCGGGCAGGGCGAAACTTTGGGCAAGTTTCCTTACTCCACACACCTCTGTTTACCTAGCAGTAAGTAGGAACCCGTTTGTTAGTCGGTTTGTGGATTGCTTTCCAGGAGTGTTCGCAATTTAGTCACTACACTTTACAATATATTCCGTGATACGCTTTGAGACGTCTCAACGACATAATAAGGCGCTATACGAAACATAAGAATTATTATTATACAATTTTCAATTTAAAACTGGTAAAAATAAAACCATAGCATTCCAGTGACTGTAGATCAGATTTTAAAAAACACAGAACACAGATATACATGGATAAAAGTAGAACATCTTCATAAATCGGACAATAGATTGACAGCATTCACCAACAAGTTAGAATAATCTACACTCATTACTTTAGATAATGCTGAACTAAATGCTCCATAAATAAAGTGACTATTATAGTCAGAGGTAACTGCCCAGGATCTAATCTTAAAGCTCCAAGTGTGCACAGCGAGGTTACTCACTGGATAGTTACTTATCTCCACTGGGAGACGGCTTTCTCTTTTTGATGCACGTTGGGACTCAGTGCTGCACCTGACTCTGTACACATTTCCTTTTGCAACTACTTGATGGATTGGTGAAGATACTGTTTCAACGGTCAACGTTGCCTGGCAGCCAATTGCAGGACAACACTGCTCACCCCTCCTGAAGGTGTTTACTGCTCTTTGCTTGTACTGCCAAACTCGGGAATGCCGGGGCCAATTTAGGCTCCTATTGCAACCCCAAATGACACCAACGAACTTAGACTGTACTTCAAGCTTGTGATGTTCTGGCTTGTAAGCTACAGCCACATCATCAGGGCTGCTCTGCAATCATATCCATAAACATTTTTTCTTAGAAGATACTGAAAGAGAGCTTACCTGCATACAATGAATCGCTAGACCGGGGCCAGTGTACAGCTTTTTGTGACAAATGTGACATTTGAAATGTTTTGCCTTCTGGTGCTGGATAAGAATTTTCTCGTCATCAAAGTCTCTGTTGCAGTACCTGAACAGCGTGATCAAGGAAGTAACACCTGCAATCTCTTCTTCATTTACACTTGAAAACAAAGACACACTGACCCAATTGTTTTACTACCATCAGCAGGAAACAAACACCCCAGGATCTAGGCTCCAGCAGTCAAAACAAAGTCGTTTCAGACTAATCTTCACAAGAAGTGGTGCAATCTTTTACAAACAAAATCATCTTCTTAATTTATACCAAACTATTATTTTGAACATTAAAAGAAAAATGAAAAGCAAAAGCCTCCCAGAATTGTTTTCTTAAACCTCGATATTAACATTCTTTTAAAAAACACTCCCTTCTGCTCCCATATTAGACATTATTGCTCCCAGTAAACACACAAATCACTCCACTTTACAATATTGTCTCAAGAAGCGCTTTGAGACAACGTGGTTAAGGCGTTGGATTTTTTCCCCTTATTATGATGATGATGATGTGGTGAAGGCGCTGTGCGAAATAAAAGCGTTGCAATGATTTGAAGCCTTGGCGACATGTGCACGAGGTGAGGCGGCAGATCTGCCCAGGACAGAGGTCGGGGACCCGAGGATGACACTCTCCGGAGGAGCCGACCGACCGCCGACGCCATTTTAAGGCCCAGTCGGGGGATAAACCCAGCGGCCGGGGCTCGGGCCCCCCCTCCCCTCGCGGTCCCTCTCGCTTTGCCCGGTCATTCAAATCACTAACACTTCGCGACGATGACGGTAAGGAGGTTGAGCCGCTTTCCCCCGCTAACCCTCCCGGCGCCAAGCGGCGGCGCGGCGGGGGGAGGAGGCGCGGCCTTTGTCTCCGTGGCCTGGCCGCTGCTAATGGCGCCCGAACCTGAGCCACGCGGCTCCCCCTCTCTCCCCGCACACGCCAAGCGCAGTAAGGATACCAACACCACGGCTTCATCTGCTTCTTCTTCTTCCTGCCCATGCTGCCTGGGGGGTGGGGGGAGGCGGGGGTGGTGTGTGGCGAGGCCGCGAGAGCGGTGTCCGGCCTGAGGTACCTGTCCGCTGAGGCTGTACGGGGCCGAGAACCGGGCGCTGTCCGCTGCACGGGCCGGCGGGACCGGGTGCCCGGGTTTGAGGCGCTGCGGGTGCCGGGCGGTGAGGGAGGGGGAGGCGGCGATCGAGCGGACCGACGATGTCAGACTCACTGGTTCCCGCCGCAACAAAATGGCGGCGTCCTGTTCCCAGCTTGCACCGCGCTCCTGGGCTGGGGGGCGGGGCCTACACAGACTGACAGCTGTACCGTCCACAGCGTCACAGAAATACACAGCACAGAGTCATCTAATCACAGAAATACACAGCACAGAGTCATCTAATCACAGAAATACACAGCACAGTCATCTAATCACAGAAATACACAGCACAGAGTCATCTAATCACAGAAATACACAGCACAGAGTCGTCTAATCACAGAAATACACAGCACAGAGTCATCTAATCACAGAAATACACAGCACAGAGTCATCTAATCACAGAAATACACAGCACAGAGTCGTCTAATCACAGAAATACACAGCACAGAGTCGTCTAATCACAGAAATACACAGCACAGAGTCGTCTAATCACAGAAATACACAGCACAGAGTCGTCTAATCACAGAAATACACAGCACAGAGTTGTCTAATCACAGAAATACACAGCACAGAGTCATCTAATCACAGAAATACACAGCACAGAGTCATCTAATCACAGAAATACACAGCACAGAGTCGTCTAATCACAGAAATACACAGCACAGAGTCGTCTAATCACAGAAATACACAGCACAGAGTTGTCTAATCACAGAAATACACAGCACAGAGTCGTCTAATCACAGAAATACACAGCACAGTTGTCTAATCACAGAAATACACAGCACAGAGTCATCTAATCACAGAAATACACAGCACAGAGTCATCTAATCACAGAAATACACAGCACAGAGTCGTCTAATCACAGAATTACACAGCACAGAGTCGTCTAATCACAGAAATACACAGCACAGAGTCGTCTAATCACAGAAATACACAGCACAGAGTCGTCTAATCACAGAAATACACAGCACAGAGTCGTCTAATCACCGAAATACACAGCACAGAGTCGTCTAATCACCGAAATACACAGCACGGAGTCGTCTAATCATAGAAACATACAGCACGGAGTCGTCTAATCATACAAATATACAGCACGGAGTCATCTAATCATACAAATATACAGCACAGAGTCATATGATAGAGGAGGAGTTTATAGAATGTATTAGGGATAATTATCTGGATCAGTGTGCTGAGGAGCCAACCAGGGAACAGGCCATATTAGACCTTGTTTTGTGTAATGAAGCAGAGCTGATCAGCAAACTGGCAATGAAGGCTCCTCTAGGGCAAAGTGATCATAATACGATGGAATTTAGCATTAAGTTAGAGAGAAGTAGTTAAGTCCTTTAAGCAAAGGTTTTAAATTTAAGTAGAGCCAATTTTGCTGGTATGAGAGAGGATTTAGCCAAAATAAACTGGGAAATTAGATTTAAGGATTTGACAGTAGACCAGCAATGGCAGACGTTTAAGGAGATAGTGCAAAATTCCCACCGAGCAGGTATTCCTTTAAGGAATAAAAACTCCATGGGAAAGGTGGCCCAACCGTGGCTAACTAGAGCAGTTAGGTAAAGTATAAAGTTAAAGGAAGAAGCCTATAAAACAGCTAAGATGAGTAGTAAACCCGAGCATTGGGAGAACTTTAGGGATCAACAAAGGAGAATCAAAAAAATGATTAAGAGGGAGAAAATGGAATATGAGGGCAAACGAGCGAAGAACATAAAGACAGACTGTAAGAGTTTTTATAAATGTATAGAGGAAGAAGCTGTCAAAGGTAAATGTGGGTCCGTTACAGATAGAGACGGGGGGAATTACAGTAGGGGACAAAGACATGGCAGAGTCATTAAACAAGTACTTTGCTACTGTCTTCACCTTAGAAGATACTGAAAACCTACCAAGAATAGAGGGGAACCAAGAAGACAATGTTAGCGAGCAACTTGGGGAATTAATATTAGTAAAGAAATGGTTTTAGGTAAATTGTCAGGTCTTAAAACTGATAAATCTCCTGGACCTGATGGCCTACATCCTCGGGTTTTAAAAGAGGTGGCTACTGAGATAGTGGATGGCTTGTCTTTGATCTTCCAAAATTCTCTGGATTCTGGAACGGTTCCCATTGATTGGAAGATTGCAAACGTAACACCACTATTTAAGAAGGTTGGGAGAGAAAAGATGGGGAACTATAGACCAGTTAGTCTGACATCAGTGGTAGGGAAAATTCTTGAGTCCTTAATTAAAGATGTCGTTATGGGATTCCTGGAAAACCATAACAAGATTAGGCAGAGTCAACATGGCTTTACAAAAGGGAAGTCATGCTTAACTAATCTTTTAGAGTTTTTTGAAGATGTATCTGCAGGTTAGATAGGGGTGAACCAGTAGATGTAGTATATTTAGATTTTAAAAAGGCATTTGACAAAGTGCCACACAAAAGGCTATTGCACAAGGTTAAGGCCCATGGGATTAATGGGAACATATTAGCATGGATTGAAGAGTGGCTAATGGGTAGAAAACAGAGAGTAGGGATAAACGGGTCATTCTCGAATTGGCAGGATGTGACTAGTGGAGTGCCACAAGGATCAGTGCTTGGGCCTCAGCTATTTACAATTTACATCAATGATCCAGACGAGGACATTGAAAATAACGTATCTAAATTCGCGGATGACACTAAACTCGGTGGGAGAGTAAGCTCTGAGGATGATGCAAAAAAATTGCAACAGGATATAGATAGGGGAGTGGGCGAGTAGGTGGCAGATGGAATTTAATGTGGCGAAGTGTGAAGTTATTCACCTACGTAATAGAAAAACAGATTATTTTCTAGAGGGGGAGAGATTAGATAGTGTTAGTGTGCAGAGGGATTTGGGTGTCCTTGTACATCAGTCTCAAAAAGTTAGTTTGCAGGTGCAGCAGCAACTGAGAAGGCGAACGGCATGTTAGTGTTCATTGCAAAAGGTTTAGAGTACAAGAGTAGGGAAGTCTGACTGCAACTGTATAGGGCCTTGGTGAGACCGCACTGAGAGTATTGTGGGCAGTTCTGGCCTCCTTATTTATAAAAGGACATACTTGCCCTCGAGGGGGTGCAGCGTAGATTCACTCAGTTAGTGCCTGGGATGAGGGGACTGACCTATGAGGATAGGCTGAATAAAATAGGGCTGTACTCTCTAGAGTACAGAAGAATTAGGGGAGATCTTATTGAAACATATAAGATTCTTAAAGGACTGATAAAGTAGACACTGAGAGTCTGTTTCCCCGGTAGGAGACTCTATAACCAGGGGTCACAGTCTTAAAATTAAGGGTCAGCCTTTTAGAACAGAGTTGAGGAAACATTTCTTCACTCAGAGGGTAGTGAATTTATGGAATTCACTCCCCCAGAAGGCTGTAGATGCTCAGTCCCTGAACATCTTCAAGGCTGAGACTGATAGATTTTTAAAAAATAGAGGGATTAGGGGATATGGGGACAGGGCAGGTAATTAGAGTTAGGTCTGAAGATCAGCCATGAATGGAGGGGCAGCTCGAGGGGCCGAATGGCCTACTCCTGCTCCTAATTTTTATGTTTTTATGTTCTTATATAATCATAGAAATATACAGCACAGAGTCATATAATCATAGAAATATATAGCACATGTGTGTAGGAAGTGCCTCCTGCTGCTCAAGCTTGAGCTCAGAATTTCTGAGCTTGAAGAGAGGCTGGAGCCACTGCATAGCATAAGGGAGGCTGGAGAGTTCATGGATCGAACGTTTCAGGAGGTCATCACCCCACAGCCACAGAGAGTTCAGAAGGAGAGTGAATGGGTGACCACCTGGCATGGTAGGAAGAAGGGATGGGCAGTGCAGAAATCCCCTGAGAGTGTGGCACTCACAATCCGGTTCTCTGTACTGAATATCAGTGAGCGTGATGACACTTCTGAGGAGGGGAATCAAAAGCAAATGAATGCACAGGGACGTGTGTCAATGCAATTGTCATTGGGGTCACAACAGTGAAAGGAGTAGACAGGCATGTCTGCAACCAAAGACATGACTCTCACACGGTCTGTTACCTCCCTATGCCATGGTTGAAGACATCACAGAACAGGTGCAAAACATTCTCCAAGGGGAAGGGGAACATCCAGAAGTTGTGGTCCATGTTGGGATCCATGACGTGGGAAGACAAGGGCTGAGATCCTACAGGGAGAGTATCAGAAGCTAGGGTAAAAGCTAAAAATAGGACCTCAAAGGTCCTATTTGCTCATGCAAGTGAGTATGAAAACAGCAGGATCAAACACATGAGGCTGGAGAAATAGTCCAGAAAGGAGGGCTTCAGGTTCCTGGATCATTAGGACCAGTTCTGGGGCAGGTAGGACCTGTACAAGATTTAAACCTGAAGAGGGCTGGGACCAATGTCCTCACAGGGAGGTTAACTAGTGCTGTGGGAAAATTAGTTTAAACTAATTTTGAGAGGGAAGGGAATCAGGATGTAACGTTAGACAAACAAGTTTCAACACCCCAGACATCCTCCCGACAAGAAAGGCGCAATACAAATGTCTATGTACATGTGCGTAAATGCACGGAGTGTGACAAATAAGCTCGGTGAGCTGCAGCTCAAGTTGCCACATGGGGTTATGATGTAGTGGCAACAACGGAGACCTGGCTCAAACAAGGGCAGGAATGGGAGCTGAATATTCCTGGACACAATGTATTCAGGAAGGATAGGGAAGGAAAAATAGGAATGGGGGAATGGCAATATAAGTAAATGCACAGTTATAGCCCTGGAAAGGGACGATGTGCCAAAAACAAAATCTATTTGGTTAGAGTTAAGGAGCAGAAAATGAGCTGTTACTGTGTTAGGTGTATGCTATAGACCACCAAATAGTGGGAAGGAGATAGATGAGCAAATCTGCAAACAGATTTCAGAAACATAAGTGATAATGGGGGACTTCAATTATCCTAACATAGACTGGCAAAATAACAGTGTAAAGGGCAAGGAGGGAAAAGGATTCCTGAAATGTACAGCATGTTTCCAGCCCAAAGAGGAAGGGAGCAGTGCTGGATCTAGTTCAGTGGAATGAAGTGGAGCAGGTTTCAGTAGCATCTGGACAACAGTGATAATAACATCATTAGGTTTAGAGTACTTATGGAAAGGGACAAGGAGCAATCAAAGGTGAAGATATTCAACTGGAAGAGGGCTAATTTTAATGAGTTAAAAAGGTATCTAGCCAAGGTAGACTGGAAAGATAGATTGGCAGATAAAACAGCTGATGAGCAATGGGAAGCCTTCAAGGAGGACATAGTTCGGGGGCAGAACAAATACATTCCATAAAGGGGAAAGGTAGGGCATCCAAATCTCCCTGGATGAATAAGGAAATTGGGATTAAAATAAAACAGAAAAAGGAGGCTTATGATAAATGTCAGGTCCAAAATACAGAAGATAATCAAATAGAATATAGAAAGTACAGAGGAGAACTGAAAAAGGAAATAAGAGGGGCAAAGAGATTGTTTGAGAAAAGATTAGTGGGTAACATAAAAGGGAACCCTAAGGTATTTTATAAGCATATAAAGAATAAAAGGTTAGTCAAAGGTTAGGGTTCAATTAGGGACCAAAGAGGAAATCTTGTGGAGGCCAAAGGCATGGCTAACTTTGCATGAATGAGTACTTTGCACCTGTATTCACAAAAGAAGAGAATGCAGCCAATGCCACAGTATTGGAGGAGAGGATAGAGAAATTGGATAAGATAAGAATAATCTGGGAGGAGGTACTAAAAAGGTTGTCGGTGCTCAAGGAAGATAAGTCTCCTGGTCCAGATGGGATGCATCCTATCTTACTGAGGAAAGTAAGGGTAGAAATAACAGAGGCTCTGGTCACAATCTTTCAATCCTCCTTGGACACCTGGGGTGGTGCCAGAGGACTGGAGGGTTGGAAATGTTACTCCCCTGTACAAAAAAGGGCAGAAGGATAAACCCGGGTACTACAGGCCAGTCATCCTAACGTCAGTCGTGGGAAAACTTAGAAAAATATAGGTTAATAAAGGACAGACAGCCATGGATTTGTTAAAGGTAAATCATGTCGAACAAACCTGATAGTTTTTTTGATGAAGTAACTGAGAGGGTGGATGAAGGTAGTGCAGTTGATGTAGTTTATATGGGTTTTCAAAAGGCGTTTGATAAAGTGCCACATAAGAGACTTGTAAGCATCTAGAAGCCCACGGTATTAAAGGACAGTGGCAGTGGATACAGAACTGTCTGGGAGACAGAAGTCAGAGAGTAGTAGTGAACGGTTGTTTTTCTGACTGGACAGAACAATAATAAAAACAATAATTAAATTGGTCATTTTCAATCTACGACTGTTTGTGGGACATTGCTGTGCGCAATTGGCTGCCGCGTTCGCCCACAAATATACAGTCAATTCACTTTACAGTGTGTTCTGTGAAGCGCTTTGGGACGTCCTCCCGACGTGAAAAGCGCTATATCAAATGCAAGGATTATTATTATTATTATTAAGTGCAGTGGTGTCCCTCAGGGATCAGTATTGAGACCACTGCTGTTTTTGATCTATATAAATAACCTGGACGTGGGTATAGGTACACAATTTCCAAGTTTGCAGATGATAGAGGAAAAGGTAAAAAGTAGTAAACAGTGAGGAGGATAGTAACAGACTGCAAACAGACATGGAGCAATGCAAAGGAATGCATTTTGGGAGGAAGAATGAGGAGAGGCAATATACGCTGATGGTACAATCTTAAAGGGGGGGAAGGAACAGAGAGACCTGGGGGTCATATAGTAAATCTTTGAAGGTGGCCGGACAGGTAGATAAAGCTGTTAAAAAAGCATATGGGATACTGGGCTTTATAAAATACAAAAGTCAGGAAGTTATGATGATCCTTTATATAAAACACTGGTTAGGCCTCAGCTCGAGACTGTGTACACTTCTGGGCCCCACACTTTAGGAAGGATGTCAAGGCATCGGAGAGAGTGCAAAGGAGATTTACCAGAATGGTACCAGGAATGAGAGACTTCAGTTATCAGGAGAGGCGAGAGAAGTGAGGGTTATTCTCCTTGGAGCAGAGAAGTTTAAGAGGAGACTTAATAGAAGTTTTCAAAATTATGAGAGGATCTGATAAGGTGAAGAAGGAGAAATTATTTCCACTGGCGGGTGGGTCTGTAATACGAGGACACTGATTTAAAATAGTTATTAAAAGAAACAGAGGGGAGGTGAGGAGAATTTTTTTCACACAGCGAGTTGTTCGGATCTGGAATGAATTACCTGAAAGGCTGGTGGAAGAATAACAACTTTTAAGAGAGTGGATAATTATTTGGGGAGGACAAGTTTGCAGGGCTATGGGGAGAGAGTGGGGGAGTGGGGTTGATCAGGGCTATGGGGAGAGAGCGGGGGAGTGGGGTTGATCAGGGCTATGGGGAGAGTGGGGGAGTGGGGTTGATCAGGGCTATGGGGAGAGAGTGGGGGAGTGGGGTTGATCAGGGCTATGGGGAGAGCGGGGGAGTGGGGTTGATCAGGGCTATGGGGAGAGAGTGGGGGAGTGGGGTTGATCAGGGCTATGGGGAGAGTGGGGGAGTGGGGTTGATCAGGGCTATGGGGAGAGAGTTGGGTTGATTTGGAAGCTCTTTTCAAAGAGACGGCACAGACACAATAGGCTGAGTGGCCTCCTTCTGTGCTGTATAATTCTGTGATTCTATGAAAAGCTATGTGCTAATCGACTAACAACTATGCTGACTGCTAAGCAAACAGAGGCGTGTGGAGTAAGAAAACTTGCCCAACATTTCACCCTGCTGGGCATGATTGTGGGTATATGCCCACTCACATACCCACTGATATTTTTGTGGAGTCCCCGCAAAAATATAACGGAAGATGTTGTGGTTTGTCTTTTGTTAGTTTTCTTCGTTGTACCAAATACTACATTTTCAAATAAATATATTGACAAAGGTATTCTTGTGGTGCCCTGTAGTACATTGGTGAGAGCACTCGCCTGGCAAGCCAGAGGACCTTGCCTTGATTCCCGGGCAGGGCGATCCATACATTAAGCAAGTTTCCTTCCTCCACATGCCTCTGTTTATTTAGCAGTAAGTAGTTGCAGTGTTGTCAGTCGATTGATGGATCGCTTTCCAGGGATAATAATCCCTTCAAAAATAAATAAATAAATAATAATTTGGTCACTTAATCCACGACTGTTTGTGGGGCACTGCTGTGCGCAATCGGCTGCCGCGTTTCACGCACAAATAATAATAAATAATAATAATAATCCTCGCATTTGATATAGCGCTCTTCACGTCGGGAGGACGTCCCAAAGCGCTTCACAGAACACACTGTAAAGTGAATTGACTGTATATTTGTGGGCGAACGCGGCAGCCAATTGCGCACAGCAATGTCCCACAAACAGTCGTGGATTGAAAATGACCAATTTATTATTGTTTTTGGTTTTTTTGGAGGGATTATTATTAGGCTCTGTGTGGAGTAAGGAAACTTGCCCGAGGTTTCGCCCTCTGCCTGGAATTGAACTTAGGTCTCTCACTTGCAAAGCGAGTGCTCTAACCACTGAGCTACAGGACAGTTGTTGTTGTTGTAGCCCCTGACTTCACTCTGAGCAACAAGGTTCGTGTTCCCCCGTTGTGAGCCTCAGAGAGAGCCACTGACAGCGGAACGTCTGTGCGGGGTCTGTGGGATCCACCCGGACTGTGTTTGGCGACGGACCGAAAGCTTCCGGTCCGGTGCGGCCGTCCCGAGCTGAGGGCCGGAGTGCGGTGTGCGGGGGGCGGTGTGCGGGGGCGGGGGGCGGTGTGCGGGGGGCGGTGTGCGGGGGGGCGGTGTGCGGGGGGCGGAGGGCGGGGGCGGGGAGCGGGGCCGGAGTGCGGAGGGCGGGGGAGCGGCGCTCGGGGGCCGGTGCGCGGCGCTCGGGGGGCGGTGATGATCAGCCAATCGTCCCTCCAGGAGTCGGTGGACGGAGATGATAAGGAAACGGACCCGGAGGCGGACGAGGCCGCGGAGGAGCCGCGGGAACAGCGGCCAACGGAGACTTTCTACTGCGTTTACCGGCGGCTCAGCAGCAGGTCTGGGCCCCGGCGGCACCGACAGCTCCCTGTACCCCCCCACCCCCCACATAACCCGTCACTAACCTCTCCCCCACATAACCCGTCACTAACCTCTCCCCCACATAACCCGTCACTAACCTCTCCCCCACATAACCCGTCACTAACCTCTCCCCCACATAACCCGTCACTAACCTCTCCCCCACATAACCCGTCACTAACCTCTCCCCCACATAACCCGTCACTAACCTCTCCCCCACATAACCCGTCACTAACCTCTCCCCCACATAACCCGTCACTAACCTCTCCCCCACATAACCCGTCACTAACCTCTCCCCCACATAACCCGTCACTAACCTCTCCCCCTCCCCCACATAACCCGTCACTAACCTCTCCCCCTCCCCCACATAACCCGTCACTAACCTCTCCCCCACATAACCCGTCACTAACCTCTCCCCCTCCCCCCACATAACCCGTCACTAACCTCTCCCCCACATAACCCGTCACTAACCTCTCCCCCTCCCCCCACATAACCCGTCACTAACCTCTCCCCCTCCCCCCACATAACCCGTCACTAACCTCTCCCCCACATAACCCCCCCCCCCCACATAACCCGTCACTAACCTCTCCCCTCCCCCACATAACCCGTCACTAACCTCTCCCTCCCCCACATAACCCGTCACTAACCTCTCCCCCTCCCCCACATAACCCGTCACTAACCTCTCTCCCTCCCCCACATAACCCGTCACTAACCTCTCCCCCTCCCCCACATAACCCGTCACTAACCTCTCCCCCTCCCCCACATAACCCGTCACTAACCTCTCTCCCCCCCCTCCCCCCATTTCACTCAGAATCCTCCTCAATAAAACAAAATCGTCCTAAAGCGACACAGTCCTGTGGCCGAGTGGCGGGAGCCGTGGGCCGGGGAACACCCCGCGGGTCGGGCAGCGTCTATGGAGAGAGAGAGAGAGAGAGAGGAAAGGGAGTCGACCCTTCGGTTCGTCAGAGTCCCGCGGACCCGAAGCGTTGACTCACTTTCCTCTCTCTCTCTCTCTCTCTCCGTAGACGCTGCCTGACCCGCTGAGTGTTTCCCGGCCGCTTCCGTTTCTGTTTCAGGTTTTCCGGCCCCCGCAGCGTGCTGCGTGTTGGACCCGGTTTCCTGACTCCGCGCGGCTCTGTGTACCGGCTCCGGGCTCCGGGCAGTGAGTGGGAACCCGGTTGTTAGTCGATTGGCGAGTTCGCTTATCCGGGGATGATAATTCCTCAACGAGATAATAATAAGAATAATTTGGTCACGAATGTTTGTGGGACATTGCTGTGCGCAATTGGCTGCTGCGATTCACCCATAAACATACAGTCAATTCACTTTGCAGTGTACTCTGTGAAACGCTTTGAGACGCCTAGAAGACGTGATAAGATGCTATCAAATGCAAAGATTATTATTATTATAATAAGCTCAATCATTGTTAAGTGACATGGAATAGCCCATTCGGTCCATCTAGTCCGTCTCCACACAAGCTCCACCCATTTTATCCCCCTCACCGCAGAGGGAAATAAACACTTGAGGAAAGATTGAGGTGAAGGTTAAAGTTCTGCTAACACTCAGGGAAAGAAGAGGTGCCACACAGAGGCTGTTCTGTGACAGGGACGAGGGGAAGAGATCCTGTGTTTAAGTTCTCCCACAACAAAACACAAAATACTGCAGATGTTGGAAATCTGAAACAAAAACAGAAGTCGCTGGGAAAACTCAGCAGGTCAGGCAGCATCTATGGAGAAAGGAAAGTGAGTCAACATTTTGGGTCCACGACCCTTCGTCAGAACAGTGTGCTCCTTACCCACAAGCTATTTTCATTTGTTTTAGGTCCCAGTTGCCGGGTGACGATGCGGAAATGGGATACAGGAGAAGTAGTTCAAGCGACACCTTCTCAAAAGAAATGTCAGCGGCAGACTTCAGGTAACAGCTACAACAACTACTTCCATTTATATAACGCCCTTTACGCAGGGCAGCGTCCCGGAACAACTCTGAGTTCTGCCACTACATTCAGCTTGTTAAAGGTTCTGCAGAAAATGTTACCAGCGCTTTCCTGTAACTTTCCTGCAATAAGGCAATTGTTGTGTGTCCACAGATGATTTTCCTACACTTTAATTAATTTCCTCTGACACCTTTCCTGGCATTTGCTCTGAGTGTGTTTAGATCATTTGGGCTTTAAGTAATGACTATTTGTTCCGCAGTCTCTCCCTGGTGGTGACTAACCTGCCCACTGTGGCTGAACCAGAGCTTCGGGGGTTTATTATTAAACGCCTCAGCAAAGGAGCGTTCTTTGACGGAATGGGCACGATTGCAACTGTGGAGTTAAGGTAAGAGTAACTCACCCCAGTGAGCGAGCTGTGCTCCTGTGATCACAACTGACTCCGTACCTGTGTCTTGCCTTTGCTCGTGATTGTGAAAAGTGGAGCCCCACGTACACAGAGGAATAATATACACTCTCAATACACGGTTAAGCTTCCAGTTTTAGATTTCTCCACTCTGTGTTTATGATTCCTGAAAGCATCTGCTGTCTGTTTGATTGTATGTTTATTTGTTCGCCTGGAGACTTTTCCACAGCTGTCAGCAAGTTGGAATGCTTCACGTATCAGCCCTGGCAGGCCAGCTCTGTGCTTGTGATGTCCAGTTTGCCACTCCCTGTTAACTGTCCACACACATAGCGAGATCTTTAACGTCAGCCATTAGTGATCCCACAGATCGAGTCACTCTCTTCTGTTTGTGTCTCAGTGTAACAGAGCAACCTGTGGCTTGTTACTACTGCCTCCTGCACCAGAACACAATTCAAGAGCCGGATAGCAGCAGCTCCGAGGCCTCAGGAAGCGTCACCGATCATGTGCTGTGTTTTCTGGGCAGCACAGAGAAGGCTCTGGAACTATATCCTTTTGGTAAAGTTTCCGTCTAGTAGAGATCTAGTAGATCTCTTGCTTTTTGTGCAACAGTTAAATTCATCCTCGAACCATGCTCTGGTGATGTGACGGGGATCGGATTTCCCCACCGGAGATGGTATCTGGACACAGCCCTCCAGGGAGGTGGGAAAATGTGCTGCAGGTTGTAATGAGGATCAGACGAGATCCAGATCTGAATCTATGAATGTGTAGCCTGGTGCTGCAGTGGGTAGTAGTGTACATTCAGTCCTGTAGTTCAGTAGTTAGAGCACTCGCTTTGCAAGTCGGAGGACTTGGGTTTGACTCCCCGGCAAGGCGAAATGATAGGCAAGTTTCCTTACTCCACACACACGCCTCTGTTTACCTAAATAGTAACGCGTGTTTTAGTCGATTGGTGGATCACTTTTCCAGGGGTAATAATCCCTTCAAAAATAATAAAAATAATAATTTGGTTGCTCAATCCACGACTGTGTGTGGGACGCTGCTGTGCGCAATTGGCTGCCACGTTTCGCCCACAAAATATACAGTGAATTCACTTTACAGTACATTCTGTGAAGCTCTTTGAGATGTCTTGAAGACGTGATAAGGCATTATATCGAATGCAACGATTATCATTATTATCTATGGATTAAGTCGTGTGGCGAAGCTGCTAGTGAGAGATTTTCTTAGTTCCTGCTCTGCTGACAGCTGTAAGCCCTCTTTATCTTCCGCCAAATGGGAGAATAGAAGCGGAACCTTTAAGTGAATGTGGACGCCATGATTTCTGACTTTATTCTTCTTAACTGTGGTGGACATTCAGGATTGAGCTGGATAAATACGCCCAGGGCCTGGAGCTCTACCTGGAAGCTGAGGTGAGAGGTTTCCCACTCCTGTCGCCCTCCTTCCTCCAATGCCCTCCTTCCTTAACCCAGGGGAGGACAATTTGTAACATACCCAACTGCCTCAGATCCTCTAGCTCAGCGATGCTGTGGATGGAGCCTGGCTGTGACTTTACAAGATGCAATAATGAGGGTAACAATCCAGAGTCCTGTAGCTTAGTGGTTAGCGTGCTCGCCTCGCAAGCGAGAGGACCTGGGTTCGAAACCCGGGCGGATAAGTTTCCTAAATCCACACGCCTCTCTTTACCTAGCAGAAAGTAGGAACTCGGTTGTTTGCTGATTGACAGATCGCTTTCCAGGCATAATAATCCCTAAAAAAAATTGGTCACTCAATCCATGACTGTTTGTGGGACACTTCTGTGTGCAATTGGCTGCCATGTTTCACCTACAAAATACACAGTCAATCCACTTTACAGTATATTCTGTGAAGCGCTTTGAGACGTCTCAACGACACGATAAAGCGTTATGTGAAACGCAAGGATTATTATACTGATAGCTGTGTGTGTTGGTTTCTCTCACAGGCAGACATCCTTGAGGCCCACCTGAAGAGTTGGTACGATGAGTCTGTGCTCTACTTACAGCGGGTGGTACAGCTGTTCCAGGAGAAACTCTCTGTTTTATTACGAGCTGTGAGTGTTTGTTAAGTAATAGTGTTTTCACTGCAAGGAGGCAGGCCGAGTGCGGTTTGAATGTGGGGGTCAGAGACTGTTCTGAGTTGCACGGGTTTCTAGGTCCCACCTGCTTGTTCAGAGGGCCATTAAAGATCCTGTGACACTATTCGAAAAGAGAAATTAGTTTCTCTCTTTTGGTGTCCTGGCCAACAGTCCCCCAAATAAAATTGGTCACTCGCTCCATGGCTATTCGTGGGACACTACTGTGGTAATTGTCCTGCCCGCATTTGCCAACAAAGCACACAATCACTCCACTTTATACTGTAACCTGTGAAGCGCTTTGAGACGTCTCAATGTCATGATAAGGCGCTATATCCAATGCAAGTATTATTATTACTTCAAAGTGACAAAATAGCTGCTTTAACAAACATCTTCCCCTAGATGTCAGCGTCCTCTGTAAATATGGGCAAGTGCACGGGGGAGTGACGTTAAGTCGACTGCAGCACGGAAACAGGCCATTCGGCCCATCTAATCCGTGCCAGTATTTGTACTGCGTATACGTCTATAACAATAAGATTTCAGGATTTTATTACCCAAATTAAACTGATCGTTTCTTGGGTCCGAAGTTGCAAAGTCAGCACGAATTGGCAGCTTCTGGAAGGGAGGAAAGCAGGAGAACACTTTAACCAAAAAAAGTGCGGGTAGGTGTGAGCACCAGATTCCGAGCTCTGTATATTTTTCATCTCTAACATCGTGTGGGTTTGATCTGCTTTTCTCCAGGCTTTAAGTCACACTCTGGTTGAAGTTAAACATGCAGATAACAGAACAAAACAGGACGTAGAAAGGTAAGGAAGACTTTTGATGATTAAAGTGGAGCTGATGCTCAGCATTTAATGGTTTGTACTTACAGCTTCTAACAGTGAAACCCCCTACACTCTGCTATATAACTAGTGTAACTAGATTACCATACCTATATGTTATAGTTACACTCACCTTCAACTCACACAGTCTAGGCTGACTCTCCAATGCGGGGGTGGGGTGGGTGTTGCATTGTCGAAGGTGCATTCCTTCGGATTAGACGTTAAACTGAGGTCCCGGCTGCCTGTTCAGGTGGATGTTGAAGATCTCGTGGGGCTATTTGAAAAGAGAAGGGAGTTTCTCTCTCTGTCCCGGTGTCCTGGCCAAGAATCCCCCAAATAAATAAAATTGGTCACTCACTCCATGGCTATTTGTGGGACATTGCTGTGCGCCATTGGGCTGCCGTGTTTGCCTGCAATATATCCAGTCAATCCATTTTACAGTATATTCTGTGAAGCGCTTTGAGATGTCTCAACTTGATAAAGCGCTGTATCAAATGGAAGGATTATTATGATGATGACCTAAGTGAGGAGGTGACTTGCTCTGTGTGTCCGGCCAGGTTTCTGAGCGTGGCCAGCCTGCAGGGCCTGATACAAGAGGACAGAGTGGCCACACTGAGTGAGGCCAGGAGCCAGGAGCAGCAGGTGATCAGTGTGGACTGTGGGGAAGCCACCCTCGTCTGTCACAATGCGGGTGAGATTTATACCAGGGTCAGGGCCAACTGTGAACCGTAGGAGTGATCATAAAGTAAAGCAGGATTTTGCTGGTGTGTAGGGGTGGGGGCTGCCTGTGTGTGAGTGTGAGAGGGGGGAGGGGTGGGATGGAAATTGAGAGGATCCGGAACATCAAAAAGAAAAATCCCCCAAAGGGGCTGGGAATGGGGAAGAGATTAGATTAATAGTTGGATAAATTACTGGCAGTTATTTTTTCACATTTTGTAAAACTTTTGATTCCCATGAATCGATCTCCATTTGTTCGTTAAGCAGTCAGTAACCGCTTTTGTGAAGACTGGATTCCTGCCTTTTCCAATGCCCTCAAGAGTGGGAATCCTTTCCTCATGCGGCAAATCCTAGAAAACTTCAAGTTAAAGGTACAAATCCTGTCTGTAGTGATTAGCATTTGACTGTGTGAGATTTGTCTTTCCTCTCTCTGCTTCCATATTAAAAAATAATGATCAGACCTTAATCCCCATTGAATAAAATCAGTGGCTATTGCTACACGTAAATTGGCTGCCGCGTTTCACCCACAATATACTCAGTTACTACACTTTACCTTGATTCCTGTGAAGGGCTTTGTGGAGTCCGCAGTGTAATGATTAACGCATTCGCCTCCCAAGTGAGAAGACCTGGGTTCGATTCAATTGTCAGATTGCTTTCTGGGGATAATAATCTCTTAAAAAAACAATAATAACTGTGATTTGGTCACTTACTCCACAACTGTTTGTGCGACACTATTTGAGGCAATTGGCTGCTGCGTTTCGCCCAAAAATACACAGTCAATTCACTTCACAGTATATTCTGTGAAGTGCTTTGATGTGATGAGGCGCTGTATCAAATGAAAGTATTATTATTATAAAATACAATTACTACACTTTACACTATATCCTGTGAAGCGCATTGAGATGTCTCAATGATGTGATAAGGCGCACTGCCTTTGCGTGACTGCCTCCAGCCCTGTACATGTCCCTTGTGCCCTCCGTTCCATCATTGGTGACCGTGCTTTCAGCCACTACGCCCCCAAACTCTGGAACACTCTTCCTCTATCCCTCTGCCTTGCCCCTTCCTTCCCCATATCAGGTTGCATCTCAAGACCTTCCAATTCGACCGTGTTTACGGCCCCCTCCCCCCCCCATCTCGGCATCGTGCTCCACCACTGTCAAGCGCTCTGGGACGCCACCCTGCATGAGGGGTGCTGTGTAAATGCAAGTTGTTGATGCTGACTGTGAGCTGCTCTGGTTTCTGCAGGCCATACAGGATATGAACAGCCTAAAGCGCAGTATCCGCCAGGCGGAGACCAGTAACTACGCCCTGTACAAGTGCTACACATTCCTTAAGAACTGCGGCAACGGCGACATCCTCCTGCACACCGTGCGTGTGGAGCACGCCGAGCTGCCAGAGGCTCGAAACGTGGTCCAGGTCCTCGAAGAGTTCATGCACGAAGAAGGAGTGATCACTTCCACTGACTAAAAGGGCACTCTCGCATGGCTACTGTTTATGGCCTGTTCAGCGATAACTCTGTGTGTGTGTGTGTGTATCTGTAATCCCAATAGTCAACTGGACGGTGAACAGTTGCCCAAGATTCCTGTCCACATGTCAGAATCTTTGTATTTATTGTTAAATTCCTTGTAACTTCCAGAATAGATATGTTGCAAGTCAATCCTGGGGAGTAGGAGATAGGCATGTGGTCGCTTTAGGTAACACTATGTGGGGTGGGGGGGAGGGGGTTGGGCCTCAAACAGATTCGAACCAGTCAATCCCCAAATTTTGACTAACATTCAGACCCTGTTATATGAAGGAGAAAGAGGAAGAAAAATGTTCTCATTCTGACGTAGATTGTATTTGTGCCCGATGGTGGTGTGGGTGGGCGGAGAGCGAAGAGACGGGAAAGTCCAATAATGAAACTAACAAACGGAAATATTTTGGGAAAACATGGTGTAACGAGATCCAGAGTGGAATGCTGCTTCAGAGCTTCGGGAATGATGGGGAATGGTGAGTAGGAGTTTCTGCTCCCTCGCTGCTTCTCTTCCCTCACTCCTGGCGGCGATTGTAATTTTCTGTGATTTTGATTCTAATTAAAGTTTTAAATCGCTGGCTGGGTCTTTGACTAAGATGTTATTTTTTTTTCTTTCCTTCTGCCGTGGGGCTGAAGGCAGAGTGGCTGAGCTGAACCAAAAGAACGATTTGTTTTGAACTTTTCCTCTTCCTTCCTCGGCCAATTGAGGCTGAGTCACTGGGAGGGAGGGAGGGTACCGCAGGCAGCAACAGTCGCCCTGGCTTCAGGGGCTCTTTATCAGCCTGAGGTGCAGTTGGTCACATTCTCGGCTCTTGAATCAGAAGGTTCTGCGTTCAAGCTCCTCACGTCGGGGACTCGGAGGTCGCGGTGGAGGCTGGTGCTGTTGGCAATGAGGAAACTGGTGGGATTGGATTGCTCGATGTGAGCCCAGACTCTGCCTCAAAGGTAGCGGCAATCAAGAGAAAGAGAGGGAGAAAGAGGGGGCACCAGTGAGGGTGAGAAAGGAGGAAGTGGTGAGAGAGAGGAGGGGTGGGGAGAGCGGGTGGAGGTAGAAAGAGAGATGTCTGGTGTTGGGCCTTTGAGCTTACAGTCCAGAGTGTGACACTGTACTGGGTGAGCGCTGCATTGCTGAGTGTGACATTAAATAGAGTATCCTGTCTGCCCGTTTGGGTGGATATTAAAGATCCCGCGGAGTTTCTCTCCTGGTGTCCTGGCCGACAATCCCCTAAATAAACTGGGCATTCCCATCGTGGCTGAGTGCGGAAACTTGCTGTGTGCAAATCTGTTTCCTTACAGATATCACTGGGCTTCGCAGCAATTCTCTGGGCTTTGCGATATTTTGATGTTATACAACAACAACAAAATTACTTTTGTAAAGCGACCTTCATGTTGGGAGGACGTCCCAAAACGCAGTGAGGGATCAGGACCTGAGTGGGGGGAGGGGCAAAAAGGTAGGAGGGCAGCTGAAGGCACAATTGAAAAAAAGGGTCTTGAGTTGTGCCTTGAAGTAGACATGGGAGGGAGGGAGCGAGGCGAAGGGGGTTGGAGTTCCAAAGGGTGGGTGGTGTGTCAGAGGCAAGGACTATTTAAACAGCCAAATTGAATGTGGTCCTGGGGGAGAAGGGTACGTCTTACGTGTCTGTGTTTGCCTGATGATGATACAGTGACGGAGATCAGCAGTTGGGGGTGGGTGGTTCTGGGACGGTCTCCCGGGGCTAACCCCACCTGATCATGGGTGTGGGGGGGGAGCTTAATGTAGGTGAAGGTGTTCCAGTGGATGGTGAGGAAGACGAAGAGCAGGTAGAGGGTGAGGAAGATGCACAGATCAGCTGATCCTGGAGCCTCTGCTCGTGGTTTCTGAGGAGGAGGTCACCCAGGGTGATGCCCACCAGCACGTTACCCAAGGGAGCCACAGAGCTGGGGTGGGCAGGCCCAGCTCGGATGTCTGGAGATGGGGTGGAGAACCGCAGCCACACCGCCCAGTCGAACTCCGGGCTCAGAAAAACACAGACTTACTGCTAGGTGAACAGAGGCGTGGAGTGACTGTAGCGTAGTGGTTAGTGCGTTCGTCTTGCAAACAAGAGGACCCGGGTTCAATCCCAAGTGGAGCAAAACCTTAGGCAAGTTTCCTTAATCCACACACCTCTGTTTTCCCAGCAGTGAGTAGGAACCTGGTTGTTAGCCAATTGGTGATAATAACCCTCCAAAATAATTTTTTTTCACTCAGGATTGTAGGAAGAGACTACCAGGACGGTAGAAGGCAAACTAGATGGACCTTGGTTCTTTTTTGTTTAGCAATTCCTGTGTTACTATGTTCCCCCATCCCTTCGCACCCACACCAAAGACACGGGCTTGTACTGGGTTACCGGTCAAAGGGAACCCCTCTTGAGGTACAAGTTGCCACCTTTACTATTCTGTGTGTGTGAGGCTTCAGGATACCGTGCCCATCACAGCCAAACCCTGTCCTCACCACATCGGCCCCATTTCCCCCCTGACACACACACACATATACGTGCGTACAACAAGTCAACGCTTTCCATCCACCAATCACGCTGTTCATATGCAGTTTTTTTTAAGTTAAAACGAAACGTCGAAAATCCGAACCTCAGATCACAAACAGGATATTTCCACCTCCCCCCGTCTCACTGTCACATCACAACCTGCTGACTAACACCAATCACCTCTGGTTTGGTACATTCACCCACAACACTCCCTCCCTAGAGGGCACTGTGAGAGACCGGTTACCTTCTGGGGGCCTAAGCCCTGCTCCCCTCCTCCTGACCGGGATGAATCCCAGCTCTGTCCTGATCCTGCTTTTTCCCCAGCTCAGTAACGCCCGGTTGCAGTTGAGAGCGTGCAAACTCCTGTGTTCCCTGGGATTCCTGCTGGGCAGCTCCCGGCCATCAACATGGAATGTGATTGTAGGAATAATCTCTTTCTCTGTCTCCTTCTCCCACTCCTCAGGGGAAAGAAACTCTTTATATTTATTAGGATTTTTTCCAGTCAGCCTGGTGTCTAACACATGTGGAAATCCATCACTGTGCTTAACAGTCTCCAAACCAAACTGAGAATTCCATGCCTCCCACCTACACATGGAAAAGGAAATGGAAAATGCACTCACTGAAATGAGTAGAACTGTGCATGTTATAGATGATTCAATTCTCTGTAATCATCACAGATGGAAGCCTCAGAGGTGAAAACTGAATAATAATAATAATCCTTGCATTTGATATAGTACTTTATTACGTCTTCGAGTCGCCTCAACGGCTCCACACGATATACTGTAAAGTGAATTAACCCGAGGTTCCTATCTGCCTGTTCAGGTGGAAGTTAAAGATCCAGTGGAAATGTTCGAAAAGAGAAGGGAGTTTCTCTCTCTCTCTCGCTGCTCCGGCCAACAATCCCCCAAATAAAATTGGCCACTCACTCCATGGCTGTTATTGGGACACTGCCGCGTGCAGTTTGCCCACAAAATACAGTTACTATACTTTACACTGTATCCTGTGAAGCACTTGGAGGCATATTGACAAGATGATAAGGTGCTATATCAGATGCAAGGATTTATTTATATTTGATTAACACCTGGCCAAATGATCCCCTTCTGCCTTCAAGAATTCTGTTTCTTGTCCAATATTCACTCTCCACACTCTCTAGCCCTTATAAAGAAAAAAGGGAATAAAATGCTCTGGATCAGTCAAAACACAGTAAATGCTTTAATCCTCCAAACGTTTTACAGCAATAATCTGTTCCCACTTTAAATCTAATAATCCTTTTTCCAGGAAATCTAGTTACTGTACAATCTGTATTTACACAAGTCTGGAATAGAGTGAGTGACAGAGAGAACCACGATAAAAAAAAACACAAGAGGAGCTATTTATACACATCTGTAAGTTGTTTTTTTTACAAACAGATCATTGTTGAGACATGGATTGATTTACCAACTCCTGAATTGAAGCAGAATCTACATTAGCTTTTAACAGGGAATTAGACAAATATCTGAAAAAAAGGGTATGTAGAAAGGATAGGGACTTGGGAATGACTGGATAACTCTCACAGATTCATTGTGCACAGGATGGGCTGAATGGCCATAACATCATAAACTGTGATTTTATAAAACCTTATCATCACAGAGCTCATTTAGGAGTGGCTGTGCTGATCTCTGTCACTGTATTATCATCAAGAGCAGTTTATTCACACAAAGGACAGTGGAAAAAACTGGACCTCTCTCCCCCAAATGACTGATATTTGTTAGGCCAGGGTATCAAAGGATTTGGGGCAAGAGCAGGTAATTGAAGTTGAGGTCCAGATCAGTCATGATTTTATAGAATGGCGGAACAGGCTCGAGGGGCTGAATGAGCTCCTCCTGTTTCCATGTTCATATTAACAGGACTTTGTGACTGTATCTGGCAGCGGGTTCTGACTACACGGCCAGCGTGGTTTACAAACTAACATGAAAGCTATTTCATTTCACCCTGAGGCTCTGTTCTCTATGGCTGGCTCTCGGATGGTTGCTTTGTAGCATTCCTGAGGAAGAGGAAAAGATACATTAATAAATACATTAATAATTCTCCAAATCTCTAAATAAATAGATGTCTAAATAACTTACTCTGTGTCCACAGAACCCAGCCAGTGGACGGTGCAACTTGTACAGTTTGAAATGATCTCGTCTAATAACCCTGATCTGGTGTTGGGGCTTAACGGAGCTTCAGGAGCAGAACCTTGAAGATGGGCAAACATAGGGGCAACACATTAATATCTCAGTTCAGCCTCGATTCAAATAATGCTGAGATAATACTGAGCAACAAAACAGAAACATAAGTAATAAACGCAAGCCCAGCCCCTCAAAGTCTGTTCCACCATTCTATAAGATCATGACTGATCTGTACCTCACCCAATTACCCACCCTTGCCTCAGTGTAGTAATAAAGCGCTCCAGGATGCTGCCGCACGTGAAGTGCGCTATATAAATGCAAGTTGTTCTTGTAAGGGATGGTTCAATGATTCTTGTAACAATGAAATCGCCCATCAACCTACTGGACAGCTATGAAAATGGATCACGAGAGAGGTTTGTGGTGTAGAATGACAACAACCTTCACGTGAGGTAGAGGCTCTCAGGCACATGATCTCATCCCTTGAGAATGCCAACCTTACTGTCTGCCCCCTGCAACCTCAAACTATTTCTAAATCAGAAAAAGAGGAAATTAAAATCCCTTAACGGGAGTCTTTGATACGCCAATGGAGGATTTGGGAACATCGTAGATGTTGCAGACTGCTGTTAAAATAAAAGGGCATTGATCAGCGAGCAAAATGGATTGAAATCTTAATTAATCAACATTAGCAACTGAATATAATTACAATTAGTTTTAACAGGTCAGTTTCCTCTCCCTTTCCAACATTGTTTTTTTATTTCTCTTCAACATTTATGGCCTCATCCTGAGTTATGGTCCTGTGGGCTCTGGATTATAGTGTTGAAGTCTAATAGTCTCTTATCTTGTGTACTCTGATACTTTGCTGGCACTGGAGTTGCTGTGTCAGACGTTCCCGCTGACTTTATCTTATCTTTTTCTGGCTGCCATTCAACTATTGTATTTGAAAGTGAATAAGATACAGACATAACAAAAAGACAAAAGATTAAATGGCGGAATGGGTGGAACGCATTGAACACCTCCCCCGGAACCCATGATTGATTCCAACTCAGACTGAGGATTTGAAAGTCTCCATCGAACGAGATTTGATCGTCTCAATTCAGTTCCTCATCAAACCTGTTTATTATGAATGTGAGCCAATAACATAGAACAACAACAAATCACACTTTATAGCGCCCTTCACGTTGGAAAGACATCCCAAGGCTATGGATCAGGGGTTTTGGACCCAAACTGGGAGTTGGAGGAGGGCAGAGTGGGTGAGGGTGGCTGAAGAGGAAGGATTTTAGACAGGACTTTCTAGGAGACAAGAGAAGGGGTGAGGCGGAGGGATTGTACGATAGAGTTCCAGAGTGTGGGAGCAGAGATGCTGAATGCCCAACTGCCAAAACTGTTGATAATCTGGCAGTAAATCTGGTCAGAAGGTGCAGGAGATGGCAATGCTACTATGGTGCAGCAGAGGTTGTGCTAGAATTCATTCCAGATAATTCAAGGTTTTCATTTGGACAAATGTTGACATTTGGGGGAAGGAGTGGAGAGAGGGGAGTGGGATTAGTACCACATTTCATCTACCAAATTAGTACCAAAAAGCCCTTTCCGGCAATATTAATCCCTTAAAAAAAATATGGTCACTTAATCCATGACTGTTTGTGGAACAATTCTGGGCACAATTGGCTGCCAGGTTTAACATATAAAATATACAGTCAATTCACTTTACAGTATATCCTGTGAAGTGCATTAAGATGTCTCGATGACCTGGTAAGGCGCTGTATCAAATGCAAGGATATTATTATTATTATTAATATTAAGTGAGATTCAAAACATAGAATCTGTGAAGTTTTGTATCACCTTCTAAATCTGGAAGTACTATTTCATAATCTCTGTCCTCCTCCTCTGCAGTGGATGATGCCACATTTTTTCTTTCCACAGAGTAACCATCGACTGCAATGAGACATTGAGACAATTAAACGAGGCCATTGCAAATTACTTGTGCAGGCACCCTCCCCTCCCACCGTGCCTCCATCAGTTCAGTAACAAGTTCCTCTCTTCTCTCTATTACAGATTAGATTCTGACCCGAGGTATCCAAGTACTGGAGGGAAGATTTCTGGGAGTCTGCGGAGGAATCGTTGGAGGTGAGGGAGCCAAGTTGCCTGCTCTGGCCATCAGCATATCCCGAAGAACCTCCCTCTTTCCCAGGGCAACACATCTCAGCTCTTTCCATCAGGAGGGGGATGTCGTGCCTGGGGAACACGGCACAGTTTTACTTTATTTTTTTCAAAGAGATTCATCAGCAAAGTTAGAGAGAATATTTATAGTAAATATATAATATAATGCACACACACGGATATACACACATACGAGGATGCACACACACTCATGTGTGAGTCTTTCCCCCCCTCATATACCTGCACCTATACAATCCAAACTGGCATTACGTAATGTGATTCCTTAATAATGATTCCAAGGTGCAAAATTGGTGACAGGAAGTTTGTCACACTGCCCCGCAGGAAGTTGGCTCCAGAAGTAGTTTGCAGCAGAATGGATTTCCTGTGGGTCAGTGTGACGTACACTGGAAAGAGGCCCTGTTTCAGACACTAAGAAATCCTGTGATGAAATACAATTTAGACTTATTGACTTCTGCTCACACTAGTACTTTGTGTTCTGTGTCTCCCATGTTTTATGCTGAGACGGTTTCCATGATACAAGGAGAACGAAGGGCTATTTCTGAGCCATGACCAACCCTCAATCAATCACTTCCTATTCCTCTGGTGCCGATTCTGGTGTCAGAAATAACCAGGTGTATACTTGACCAGAGAACACCTCACACGTTGAGGTTTTAGTGCTCAAGTTTGACCTTGAGGTCAACAAAGGAACGAATTGTGATGGTGGAAGGTGGGGAACAGAATCAATAAAATGCAAGGATTTGCTGCACAATTGTGAAAAATGTTTCAGAACTGTGAGGTGTGAATTCTCTTACCAATTGCAAGCGGAATGCTTTTTCCCTGGCCAAGGAAGCTGCATTGCTTTCCACAGGAACTCCATCCAAACCGCTCGTAATTCAGAGGTGGTTGCAGCCTGACAGAGAGAAATAATCAACAGGAATTTACAAAAGGCACCAGAAACGTACAAGCCAATCAAGGGCTTCAGCACCGCAATGAGCATCAACAGCAGGTTCTTTACGTTCATATTCCCACTTCTCTCCGTTGAATTTTGCGGTTCAGGCTGATCAATTGGTCTATCAAATGAGGAGCAAGCCTCAGGCCAGTCTTCGCTCAGTGTGATGGGATCCAGGCTTCCACTGTATCAAAGGGTTGGTTTAACTTTACAGAAGAATACATGAAAAGGCAAAAGGTTTTGTGAAACCCGCTTCCCCCGTCTGGCAGACCTGCTCCATATTCCCCACCCCACCATCGGCTGTCGGGGCTACAGCTTTTATCCCCCGCTCTCTGGAACAGCATCCCTGATTCCCTCCACTTCACCCCCTCCCTCACCTTCTTCAAGACCCATCTCAAGACTTTCCTCTTTGACTGTGCCTTCGGCCACACTCCTATACCCCTCTAACACCCCGCACCCCACCAACCACACCCTCCACCCACCCCTCCTGATTTCAACCTGCAGCTCGGGTGCAAACCCTTAACTGTCCAGCGTCTTGGGCTTGGGATGACTTCCCGCTAGATAAATATAATTTGTTTTTGTTGTTGTTATATACAATCTGCCCTGTCATGGCCTCCAGTAACTTAGTCTCATGAAAATTCTGGATAAAAATAATAATCCTTGCATTTGAAATAGCACTCTTCATGTCTTCCAGACGTCTCAAATCGCTTCACAGAATACACTGTAAAGGGAATTGACCGTATATTTGTGGGCGAAACGCAGCAGCCAATTGCACGCAGCAGTGTCCCACAAACAGTCGTGGATTGAAGTGACCAATTTATTATTGTTTTTTTTTCTTGAGGGATAATAATCCCTTGGGCAAGTGGAGTAAGGAAACTTGCCCAAGGTTTTGCCGTGCCGGGAATCGAACCCAGATCTCTCACTTGCGAGGCGAGAGCTCTAACCTCCAAAATAAATATTCTTCAACCTCCAAACATTCCCAAACAAAACCTCAGGACATTAATCCCTCCTCCACTGGCTTCCCTCCCTCTGTCCACAAACAACATTCCCCATTAATTCCAAATAAATACCCTCTGTACTGTAACTTTTTGTCAAAACCAATGACCATGTGAGGAAATGGAAGAGAGGAGAGTTGCACCAATCTTGAAAGAGGAACTAAATAATGCAAATCCTGATGCTAGTTCCTCAATGGTACAATCAACACCATATAGGCCCGTAGTGAGGTGCTTAGTGTGCTTGCCTCACAAACGAGAGACCAGGGTTCAATTCACGGGCGGGGTAAAATCTTAGGCAAGTTTCCTTACTCTACATGCCTCTGTTTAGTAAGCAGTAAGTAGGAACCCAGTTATTGATCGATTGGGGGATCACTTTCTGGGGGTAATAATTCTTAAAAAGAAAAGCAAATTTGTTCACGGAATCCACAACTGTTCGTGGGACACTGCGGTGTGCCATTGTCTACCACGTTTCGCCCACACAATACACAGTCATTACACTTTACAATATATTCCGTGAAGCGCTTTGAGACATCTCAATGACGTATATCAAAATGCTAGGGTTATTATTCTAAAGTCTGCAATTCTTTGACAATTTTCTGGAGAGGAATAAGTGAATTTTAATTCTCTAAAGTTATGAGTGACTTACAAGCACTTTCTTCTTCCCATTTTTCATGACGATCTCAAATGGATAGTCGTGGTTCATTGTTTTGGTTTCCCTCACGGACTGAACCTGTTGTCAGATAGGTTAATTGATTAACAAAGGTTTAGAAAGGATAGTGCAATTTTATAAATGGTATTTGTCGTTGTATAGTCAGTCTACCTCCATATTGCATTATTGCACACTTATTCCCAACTATTCCCCCCACAGGCTGCAGATGATCCAGAACTCTGCAGCTCATGTCCTCTCCTGCACCAGGTTCCGTGATCCAACACCCCCAACTTCACCCGCTGCACTGGCTCCCCATTCCCCCAGAGGATAGAATTCAAAATCTGCATCCTCGTCTTCAAAACCTTCCACGGCCTCGCTCCTCCCTCCTACCCTCCACCCTCCCCAATCAGGGCCAAATCCCTGACTGTCCAGCGCCTGCAAAGTCCTCCTGATGTGAAATTAGACATGTAATTTTCTAATGAATTTGTAATGTATTCCAATCGTAGAAATTTCTGGAAATTATCGGAATTATCTACGCTAAAAGCGTAGATATTTATTTACATTAGGCAGTGGCTTTATCAACTGAGCAATCAGCGGAGCTGAGAAACAATAGCTGTTCACCTACAATTTTCACTAATTAATTAGTAACAGAGGAATGGAAGCAGGAGCAGAATGTAGCTATAAATATAGCTTGAAGACCAAATCAGTTAACAGGATTCAGTACCATGACCTTGGGGGTAGAGTTAGATTTAACTACTTTAGTGGACGCTTTGTGGAGTCCTGTGGCTCAGTCGTTGGAGCACTCGCCTTGCAAGCGAGACACCTGAGTTCAATTCCAGGCAGAGGGCGAAACCTTGGGCAAGTTTCCTTACTCCACACAGAGCCTAATAATAATCCCTCCAAAACAAAACAATAATAAAATTGGTCATTTTCAATCCACGACTGTTTGTGGGACATTGCTGTGCGCAATTGGCTGCCGCGTTTCACCGACAAATATACGGTCAATTCACTTTACAGCGTATTCTGTGAAGCACTTTGAGTCGTCGAGTAGACATTAAAAGCGCTATATCAAATGCAAGGATTATTATATTACTATTACAAAATACAGTCACTACACTTCATAGTATATCGTGCCAAACGCTTTGAGATGTCCTCCTAACGTGAGGCGCTTTATCAAAGGTAAGGATTATTACTGTATTGCAATTAGCACCAGGACTGATTTCAAGACTTCAATCCAAGTAGGGGAATGGAAGGTCTCTGGACCTCCTAGCAATGCCAAGTCAACAGACAGGATCTCCAGCACAAACTCACCATGTAGATGTAGTACTGACCCCGGAGGTGACACTAGAAAGAGATCAAATAATCAGACGTTATCTAAGGACTCACATAGTGATCAGAATGACAGTCACAGAAGGTAAAGGAGATTTTGATATCAATGTACTCACCGCCTCAGATTCTTTCCGAGTGAAGAAAAATAAGGTGGTGTTTTGGAGCCTGAACCAGTAGGTTGACCAGGTAAACCTCTGGAGAGAGAGAGACAGCGATATCGTTACCTGAAAGTCCACAGTGACAGATTTTATTTAACCTATGTTCTTTCACAGCTCACTTTACTGGTGAATCGCATGGGTTGCATGTGAACAGCTGAAGAGAGTTGGGGGAATAATCTACTTTTTTTTACCATTTTATCTTTTCGTTTTTTCAGAAAACTTTCAAAAAACAGGTTGTGTGTGTTCTCATCCGTTGCCATGGCCGGGTGCAAGTCAGGGTTGGAATTAAAGCCTCGGCTCAAAGGAAAATGCTTCTCTGTGTCTCTCACAGCCCTTTGCTTCCTGCTCCCAGGTATGTGTGTGTGTGTGTGCCTGTGTGTGTCCCTTGTGCTAGGTTCCGCCCCTGCAGAACCAGGCAATCCAACTTAATTTGACATATCATTTCCTTGTGGGTTTTCATTAAGCAATTAACCTTTGTGCTGAATTTTGCAATGCTCAAAAAAACACACCGCTTTACCAATTGGCGGTTATTCTCCCAAGGTTGGGGGCAGGGAAGGGGGTGAGCAGAGGGCGCTAATAGCCCACTTCAGTCCAGTGCACCACAGTTCCTCACTGTCTTGGAGCGTTCTTTGTAACAGAACACATTTTTACAGCGCCTTTCACATCAGGAGGACGTCCCAAGGTGCTGGATAGTTAGAGATTTGAACCTGAGTTGGGGGTTGGGCTCACGAGGGGTGGAGGGTCGGGGTAATCAAAGGCACGGTTCAAGAGTAGGGTCTCGAGACAGGTCTTGAAGGAGACAAGTGAGGCTTTAAGTACAACTTCCTTAGTTACTTGCTTTTGCTCTGCAAAGCCGTATAAAGCCAACAGCTCCATCATGCTATTTTGCATCAGAAGTTTGTACAAGAGAAACATTTAAAAAAAAACTCAAGGCTACAAACACAGATTTACAAAACTTTTGGCCAAAAAGGTGCTTTAGTGAAGGTTCAAATGCAACTGAGAGGAAATGACAGTGAATAAAAATGGAAAATACATAATTTAGAAACAATTGTGAACAAAACAAATTCACTGGGAGTTTAGAGAAAATTGATATCAGACTGGATTTCCTCATCACACAGGCAAACCACTTCCATTATACGGAACAATGGTAAGATAAGCTACTTCCCCAATCTATTGATTTCAACACTGAACTTCCTGGTCATTCAGCCCACTTTGAAAGTGTTTGGTGAAAGGCGATAACTACAAGTCAATGCTGCTGTTGATGTGTGCCTACCGACAAAAGTTCCTTTCTTAGAGTTTGCTGCGTTCAAACTCAGGTCACGCAGTTATAATAATCCTTGGATTTGATATAGTGCCTTATCACGTCATTGAGACAAAGTGCTTCACAGAATATATTGTAAAGTGAATATATTGTTAATTTGAAAAGGGCCAGTGTGTTTAAGCCATTGAACCACATTGAATGTGTTAAAAATCAAGCATGAGGAGAGGATCCGTAAAGATTGCACGCGTTACAAAAAAATTGAGAAGTGTCTGATACAGGTTATAGGTATTTATTGAAATGATTGAAAAAGTCCAGAATGCCTGAGGTGTAGCAGCTTTTTCTTTAACACAGAGGGAGGGGGAAAAACTTAATTCCAACAGAAATGACAAGGATGTTCAATATATTAAAGCTAACTGCAGAAGAGTTACTGCGAAGCATGCAAGTACTAAGCTATAAGAAAGTATTAAATGCACCATCTTCGCATTACAACACAGTAGAGTTTACAGCAGTAAAAACGCTCTTATTTTACTCTCTGTGCACAAAGATCCTGGGGAGACTTGAAAGATCTGCAGCATTCGGAGATTGTAACAGAACCTTGGCCACCTTGCCTGTGTTTTTTTTTATCAAAAAGGTTATAAAAATAACAGTGAAAGGGTAGGGGAGAGAAGGGGAAGCACCAACAGTAATACAATACTTCCCCCGCCTTATGGTAACTGTTGGCTTATTTAGGGTATACGAGTAATTACGTTCGTTCCCAAAGCAAGCAGAGGTACAGGAGGGGTAAAACAGTGATCGCATTTCCGTGCATGCTGAAATCCTGAGAATTCAATCTCTTATTGGTGCAGATGTGCATCCTCAAAATTAAAATCTCTAAATAATAAATAAAACTCCCATCAGTTTTTGTTTAAAGCTACCAGGCAAGCTTGACCTGTGGATACCTTCTAAAGATCTACATGAAACAATCACTGTGACACGTAACATGTGTAGACTCTGTAACTATCAGGTATCCAGGGTAACGTTATACTGCTGTTTTGCATATTTACACTATATACACAATTAAATCCCTTTTGGGCATCTGATGTTTTGAATTGTTCTTGGTTGAAAGGATTCCTACAGAGATCGCTCACTGATACCCATGCAATGCCAAGTCCAAAACAGATTCTTAAACTGGAGGAGAGTCGAGACGACTCTGCATTGTGTTGGTAGAGGTTGCATCAGCTTGACCTTCAGATGAAAAAAACACAATTATTTGCTTTCCCACCCCCACCCAGGTTGCAGGAATACAATTGCATATTAAAATAACATTGCTAGAGATATCCTTCGCAGACTCTTCAGACGCAATAGAAAACTGAAACCGCGAGCGAACGATTCAGTTTCCATTACAATCACCGCTGTTTCAGTAGTGCTTTGTACACAGCAAATCCTATGACAGCGAATACTGTGGCTCCGAGACTTGCTCTAAGCCAGAAGGTCGAGCTCTTCAGGTCAGCCTGAGTTGTGTGCCTGAAAGTGAAAGGAGAAAGAATTGGGAGTAGAACAAAGTGAAATTGAAATCTAACATCAAAAACAATTCCATTAGTAGTGCTTACGAACAAACTAGATAGGTTGGATAGATGTTAACGCAGAAAGAGTTTATTTTTAAAAAAGCCAAGCGGTTGACATAACTTTGGTTTGAATAGGCAAGTACATTAGGATGATCAGTTTGATTTTGAGTGAAGCGATGATGGCACAAGGACAGCAGACATGCTCTGTAGCAGTGTAACTGGGATGTGAGGCCACAACACAAACAGTGAACCCGCCAAGTTACTGGCGACACGACAGATGGTTACTGAACATGCACTGAGCCAACTCCTCACAGTACGACAGCTTCAGCAAGTCAGTTACAGCGACCATTATTGAACCACTTCTGAACATCCTTTCCAATTCATCATTTTGTGCAAAGAGGCTCTTGGTTAATCTGTTGCAATACCACCCGACCCACCAAAATAGTTTAAAATGTCAAAATACCATTAACTTTTCAAAACGTAATTTCTTATCCACAGTACGGAGTTTGTAATATGGGTAAATACTGTATACGCGACACAAAGGCTGGACTCAATTGAACAATAATCATACAATACTAATCTGACTCAGCTATTGAGGAACACCAACAAACAATGCATTATCATTGTCAGCAATATTATAAAGCAAACTGCTTTACTCTGACAAGATATAATGAATATTTCTTAAATATCTGCAACACTAATTTCCGTGCTCTTGTTTTCTCCTCTTTCCCACCAGCTCATCTCATTCGGAGAATTACCAGAAGGGGGATTTACAGCTCAGCCAGTTTTTACTCTATGATAACAATTGGTAAAAGAATAGTCCCCTTATCGTTTGTAATTAATCTGATTCCTTTTAGATACACGTTGTTTGATAAAGAGGCTCTGACCATGGGGAATAGTACATACTAATGTGCATCTTCTCTTTCCATTGGTGCATCAACCCATTGAGGGACTGGCTTCCACACGAATTTCCTCCCACAATAATACTTAGCTCCTCTTCAACATCTTGCTGAATTTCAAGGAAGAAATGTACCAACCCTCCTACCCTGGAAATGCCTGCAATAGCCAAGCATTGTCATTCAGAGTCAGACTTCTGTCCAGGGACACAGCTGGTGTTTCAGAGCCAGGTTTTAAACTCGTCAGTCAGCAGTCCCAAGTGTGTGATAAAAGCAAGACGTTCCTCCTTCTGTGTTATGGTTAGAAGATTAATAAACAATTTTTACAAAATCACCGAAGACTGACAGATGAGCCAATTTATAAATCACACTCCTGTTCATCAGGAGATGTTGAACACGCACCCAGGTATTTTTTGGATGTGATGCAATCACTGACTGTAGTTACCTGTCTTCAAGGTGTAAAGCGGGAGCCACAGACGACTCCATGAAGATGGAATCTTCAACAAAGCTCACGGCGTGCACTTGGTGAACGAGACTGCTTTCCTCGTCTGCCAACAGCATGGCACCCAACTCGGCTACTTGGTCTTTTAACCTTATATATACACATGCATACAGTGTGCAGTTCATAACATGGCTCAAAACAGCACGCGAATACACCTAACGGGACTGTTTTTCAACAACACCAACATTAGGTACTGGAATAGCCGAATTGTAGTCCTGTGCACTTAGAGCTTAAAACAGCCTTTCACAATAGCATAGAATGTTCTCTTTCCAAAGTGAAGCATTTGGATATCTGCAATTCTTATTGCAACTCATTCCATTTATTTTTAAGTACTTTTTTAATAAGAGGTGTTTGCAGTGGGTAGATCCACAACTAAGAGGTACCACTAAGGGCACATTCCAGCGAAAGTAAGCACACGCGATTAAATCTTGGAAATATTGCTTCAGTTCGATTCTTGATTAGCATGTTAACTTTGCAGCAATTGGACGAGGGGTAGTTATGAGATGTGGAGGGCATGATTTGGCAGGGTCACATTGATAGCATGTGCTTTGATCAACCACCTGATGCCATGTAAAATGCCCTTGATATTTGCCTGGAGGTAGATGAAATCCAGAAGAGAAAGAACATGGATTACCATGTTAGTACTACATAAGCTTCTAGTCATGGGCTTTAAGGAGGAGGACGTGCATGTGGCTAAGTTGCAAGTAATTTGTGAGAACAATTTAAACAGATCTCAAACCTCAAAATGTATCACTATCGTGTAGATTGAGAACGGCATTGCTAAATGTTCCTTTAACAGGTTGGTCAAACTATTCAAACACCAGTTTGACAGAACCACACATCCATCAGGTCTTTTAGTCACCTGCTATTTTGATAACCCATAATCCCTTTTTTGTTATTGCCAAATAACCATTAAGGATTTAATATCAACGCAATGGATAAAGAATTAGCCACATGCTAACTGAGCATTCTCATGCCTGGTCAATTCAAACTGGAAAGCATTGCTGAAAGTTAGAGGTTGTATTATATGTGAGTTAGGAATAATCCTAGTTGTGACCAGGAGATTACTGGCACTATAAGCTTTGAGCAACAGCTGATAATGACAGAAGCAGCACTGAGCAGTCTGCTCAATGGCCAGTAAGGCAGAGAGGCCGGGAAAGCAGAAATGTGAACACGGATGCTTTAGCCGTTTAACAAATTATAGTTAAATGGAGTTTGAAGAATTAATTCACAACAAGCAACAGCCACGAGTTAAAGGACAGTAAACTTGTCTTGATTCCACAGCTGGTATGTGTTCAAGCAGTTAGAGCAACATTTCACTTTGAGGACAGTTGCATTTCTGAATGGATACACAGAACAATAAATAAACGATGTCCAAGAAAGTTATAGTATTTGACTCACAGTAGGATAAAGCCTGAATTTCAGCCTTAATGGATCCACATGCAGGGACTGGGCAAGTTTTAGCCTCATCAGATTTTGTTGGGGGGTGGAATAAATTCAGAGCATATTATTTTTGGGGAGTGGTAGAGGGGAAGGAAGAAAAAGAAGAGCAAAACCTCTTCATGCATTATTCAACCAAATCATCTTGTACTGGAGAGTAGGACTGATTGTATTCGCAGTAACTGCCGAGGGCAGCAAGGAGAAGAATCAAGAAAAAACAAAAATGCTTTGAGTTGTGCAGATCAGCATATTTATCCTGAAAATACTCTATAGTAAATCTGGCACTATTTGTAAATACTCAAGTCAAACATTGAACATCTGACACCAAAATCATTAACCAATCGATGTACTCAATGGCTGAACTTGGGCGCATCACAAATGATCATGGTCAACATTCAGAAATAAGATGACAAGACAGGCCGAAGAAATTGTCATCATCAAATTTGTCAGAGCAGAAAAACTCCATGAAATACTATCTGTCAAAGTGAAATTCTACTGCAGAAATCTAGAGGATGCAACATTAAATCTGAAGCTGTTAACAATCGTACCCAAAGCAGCCAATAAACTAAAATATACAGGGATCTTAAACAACTCTAAATGAGAAAGCAAACCTATCTAGAATATTACTCAAGTGGAGGAAAAATAAGTGGACACACCAGACAATGCAATAGTTAGAAAGTATTATAGTGCAAGAGGAATAGAAGCAGTGCCAGCCATGCAAACCCAAATGAAAATTGACACCTAAAAAAAAATAAAAAATGAGATTTATAAAATGTATATGTATAATGTGGTACACAAAGTAGGGAAATCATCTAATGTTTCTCCAAACCTAGGCATGCAATGAATCATTAACTTTACACTGAGATATAGTAAAAGTGGGAGATTCAAACCATCATGTTTTGAGAATTCAACTTTGATTGAAGGGGAAACTTCACGCTTTTTTAAATTCACAGAGGTTGCGTGAATCTGATCCTTACAGTATATCAGACAAAATTACAAACAAAATTAAAATTCAGACAATTTACACTGTAAATTCCAAACTGAAATTCTTAAAGTTTGTAGCATTTCTCTTCTCCCCACCTTTACTTTTAATTAGACTATTTGAGCCACAAGGTCAAGGATAGAATGTCAACCTCAGTCTTTTCTCCCGTCGGCACCTGTACAATTTATTACATTGACAGCTTAATGAGGGTTTTCTACCTGTAGCTGCTTTTCAACAAAATCTACCATCTAATCTAATTATTTTATCCTAGTTATAAACACACTATTTTTTTAAAATCTGATTTAACTCAAGTCAAACCTTCAGACATTAAAGGTTCACTTAGCAGGGTGGTCCAACCGTTTGGCTGCCTTGGGTCGTATTCCCTATTTGAGAAAGGTCCATAGGTCGTATTCAGCATGAGCCAGCAGGCCACATCCGGCCTGAGACCATCCAACTTTCCAACCCGCTTCCTCCGTGAAGAACTTCCTCCCAGGGTAGCACAGGAGCCAGTGGTTGGGAGGACCCAGCGTGCAGAACCTTTACTGCAGTCTGTCAGGAAGGCAAGTGCTTCTCTTATCAACCGCGTCCTTCGCAACCAACCACCGGCTCCTGCCACTGCAGATAGTGACCCGCACTTGGGAGAGAGATTCGGAGAGAGAGGGAGGGAGAGAGAGATGCGGAGAGAGAGAGATGAGAGGGAGAGAGGAGCTGTAAAATCGCAAGCTGTAAAACCATAAAATGCAACTAGATTCCAAAATGAAACACATAGAAATGGTTTGGACACAAACATACAACTGAAGGGAAAAGTGGCAGCACTCCCTTTTATTACAGTAATGACTTGTATGAAGGTTTAAACTCCCAGAACAGATCCAGAGGTGAGAAAAGTTCACATCTGCTGTTAATATGCCAACAGCATCACAAGCAGAAGCCTAATACAACCAACTGACCAGCATTAATGTAATTTCTAAATAGGTAAGACACTGCTTATTTGGTTGATTGAATAACTTTTAAAATATATATTTCTCTACTTAGTTTAAAAAAAAGCAGTGCTGAAAGCAATTTGCATTCTATGAGGCTTGAACTCTTTCACATTAATCTTGTGGTTGCAAGTAATTCTCCTCTGTCATTAAACAAGACACATATTTGCATTTATAAAAGAAATACCCTTAGCCCCAAAAGATAACCTTATTGTATTTACAATTTTAGTGAGGAATACCTGCTCCATATACCATGAAACTGCACATTACCATGCTCACAACCATTCAAATTTCAGCACGTCTCAACAGTAAGTTGGTTGTACTTTGGGCCCTGCACTTTGTTAAAGATTCTTCAACAGCAGCCTTATTCATGGCATATCCACTGATTCGTTTGTGGCTAGTTTATAATGTGCATTACTTTGATCTGAAGGACTGGAAAAGACTCAGACTTTTACACAAAATACCTGGAAGCAATTACTCTGTAAGCCCAGGTAAGATTAATCGGTTAAGGATATGTTGTGGCAGATACTGCATGCACATCTGAAATGCACTCCATCTCTTTCATGTGGTGAATTCCTGATTTCTACTTTGCCTCTGCAAAGACCTCAGCCAGGCACCAACTCAACAGGAACGGCAGAAGTCTCACTGACCAGATCTTGTGGTCGTCAGTTTCAGAACAATTGTTGGAGACTACTGACAAACGGGGGTCATTTATGGCATGAGAGAAACTGAATGGGCAAATGGTAAAAAAAAGGAATCTCTTTGAAATGTATGGATTTACAGACCTTGAGTGAGTGACAAGAGCTTGAGTGGCTAAACTGAGAGTCAGCTATACAAGTCTGTCAACGATAAACAGATATTAATATGTGCTTTTCGCAAAAAATTTTGTAACTGTTCGGTTTAAAACCTGATCTCTCTTTCCACAGAAGGGATATCACCAGAGGATTATGACCCGAATCCAGGACTTATCCCAGGCGTTTTGAAAAACATTTACTGAACGATGAGCTATTGGATTATAATACTATAATCCAGGATAAATAGCTGCTGCTATAATTTGTACAGAGGATGTATATACCATATATATGGCTGCTGTATATACCAGAGATACTTTGACAAGGAGAACTAGCTCCTCCACAACTCAATTTCTCCTTCTCTCAAATACTGACTTCTACACAAAGGAGGATATTCAATGTACCTACTTTACAGTTATGTAGAAAATTTATACAGGACATTTACAGTACCAACGGAATGCAGGCTATCCTCAATATGCAGTTAGCATGAACAGGCAGCTGTCATTACAAGTGATAACACTACTCTACTCCTAAGGGTTTATGTAAGTATTGAGCAAATTTAAGATATCCAGTTTGCCATTCAGTCTAAATGTTTGGGTGGGTGAAATGAAACAGCTGTACATTTACTGCTGCATCCCGTGTTATTGGCTATAATGGTTAAAGGTAGCACAGAGGGAATTTTAACATTTATTGTTTAAAACCATCCTGCAGTCTAGAAAATACAGTGGGGCTGTGGTCGTAGCACGTACTTACCAGTGGATGTACCTCAGTTTGCAAAGAATCTTAGTTACAGGGGACCCTCCCCAAATACTTTAAAGAAAAAACCCAAATGCTTTGAAAAAAATCTTTTAAGCAGATATGCTAACAAGGTCACCCCCACTTGTCTGCTCCAGCTCCAAAAAGGCAGATTCAAAATGAAAACGGAGAAAAACCAATATTTTAAAAATCAAAACTAGATTCATCTTAGGGTTCAGTATTTATCACTCAACTAGTCCTCTTCAAAGGTCAAGTCAAGGGCCAACAAGTGACACAGATATCTCCTTAAATCATTTCAAATGCTTGTTTCCAGCTTGTGGCAAGCAGTACTCTACACATGATTACTTAACTCCATTGACTGAGCTCTCCTCTGGCCGCTGGTCAAATTTCTAATGTTAAAAAAAAACTAACTTTTCTCCTGTCAGAAACTGGTGTGGTACATTGGAGAGTCAAAAGCTTTCATATCGTATACATTGGCTGCATGTCAGCTGCTTCTACATTGCAGCTAATGGAAAGCATTAGTGTGTGGGTTCAGGCAGCCTAAGTACTGATGCCAATATTTCTGAAAAGCTGGTAGATTTATACTGTATGTTAGGCGTTTGGGTGGTGCAATGCCAATACCAAAAATGTAGTGTAGCAACTTTTCAGATAAAAACAAATCCTTTCCTCTTTGATCAGTGTGTGTGTGTACATTTAGTAGTCTTTTTAAAATTTACTGCTATTCTTTTTTAAAATTTGCAACCACTTATACCTAACAGCCCAAACAGCAACTGATAATTCCTCAGCAAAAATTTTTTGAGTCAGAATGCATTTTTGAATGGCCATCATTTAAATGGCTTCAAAGGTTTTTACCCCATATATCAGGCAAAATGTGTTTTTTGTTTAAAAAAAAGTCCCTCTAATTGAATCCTTGTATATTTAAAAAATTCAGTGGATATGCGGAGTGAAGCTGACTTTTGAAGCTTCCCTATCTTATCCCCCCCAAAAAAACACAACAAAAAAAACCTTCTGAAACCCAGTAAATAAAATTAAGAACCTGTTAAGAACTGCGGTGAAGAATTTGGTCTTTACAGACTGCAGCAAGTCTGAGTTGAGGAAGTTCTGACAGATGCAATATGTACACCTGTTGCAGGTGCATAAACAGCGTAACCGGGCATGGCTGCAGAAACACACAGAAGGAAGGCAGTTGAGTCTTTACTCAGAAAGTAAGAAGATTGCAGATTTAAACCCCAGTCAAAATTAATTGCAAAGCAAAGACACCCAAGTTCAGCTTAAGAAACAGCAGTGGAACAGCCTGTCCTAATGGAGAGATAACACATCAACATGCTACATCCTACAAGAACGAAGGGGATTGCTCAGAGAAAGATTAGACACAATAACAGCAGAAAACAAATTTAAAAAGCACTCTTGATTTTTTTATATAATAAGGGTTTGTTTAAAAAGATGTACAATTGAAGCAGCTCCGGCCTAGATTTAAGAAACAAAAAGACATGATGAGCCTCTGTGACACTGTACTGCATGAACAACTATTCCTCAAAGCAACGCACAAAAAACAAGACTATTTTTCAAGGTTTTTCTGACCCATCACAGGTCACCCCAATTAATTCTACTAGTTTGAAACTGGATGCCAGCCATCATACTGTAAATAGTCTGGTTACACGTTTCCCAAATGTTCCGCATGCACTCAATTCCACATCAGTTCCAGGGCCAATAGAAAAAGGCGGAAATATTTGTCCCAAATTGCAGGGAACTTTGCCAAATCTGCAGGAAAATGTGGGGGCTGATTGGTCCTATTGAGAGGTACATTTTATTGCCAAGCTACATTTTTTCACTTTAGTTATTAAAAACTATAAACATGAAGACATAACACATATTAGATTGTTGCAAAAACAATTATTAACAATTATTACTTTAACCAACAACCCGGTGGGTGGGAAAAGACATGATCTCAATAGCGCATCTGGGTGAGTGAAGTCCATTTTCCGTTAGCGCTGCACCGTGCATACACGACCAGAGACGCTCCGGCCACGGCAGCAGCGTTGAGGAAACAACCAACAGCAAAGAATCCTGGGGCCCGAGCTCACCGTGTTTGTGCAGGTTTGTAGCGGTGTTTGTAGAGGAGGGGGCGGGTCTGGTGGGAGGTGGGTCCGGTGGAATTTGTAGCGGATTCCGCAGAAAAATTGCAGCCGCACTTTTCTATTGGCTCAGAACATCATACTGTGGACAGCACTGAGGGTAGTAGTAATGTTTTAGGTTGTCTTGGCAATACAGGTATTCTACAAACTTATACTGGATTTGTAAAGTTATAGAACAAAATTTCATTTGTAAAAAAAATGGTGACATTTTTCAGGAGCCATCTTCTGCTTTCAATTTCAAGGAATTCACTGTTAATTCTGACTGAACTTTACACAAGGCAGAGGACAGTACAATTAGGCACAGATCTGATTTCTAACCCTCCCTCCGTGTCTCAATTCTACAACCCCAGCAAATCCTTAAACTCCTCTTTTTTGTCGCCTCAGAAACCGACCCAGGTTAGGCTCAGGTTAAGAACATTTCTGCTCAGGTGGAGAAAAGTGAGCCTTTGCTTGTTTTACCAAGTCAGTTTTGGATATCACATGCAGCTTTCTCAGTGTAAATTAGAACCATTTCCAGCTGCTAAATTCCCTACAAAAAAATAAGATTTCCAATCCGTTAAACACCAGCCCCAGCTTCTCTTAAATAAAGATCTTCCCTAGTTAAAACAGCAGTTTTGCCCATCAAAGATTAGCCTCTATTAGGCGATTTACAAGGATGATCCCAAAACTGAGAGGTTATACCTATCAGGAAAGGCTTAACGTAATCAGACTCTTTTCCCTTGAAAAAAGAAGGGTAAGGGGTGACCTGATAGAGGTCTTTAAAATTCTGAGAGGTTTTGATAGGGTGGACATAGGGAAGATGTTTCCACTTGTGGGGGAGACCAAAACTAGGGGTCATCAATATAAAAGTCACAAATCGATCAAATAGGGAAATTTCTCTACACAGGGAGTAGTGGGAATGTGGAACAAGGAGCTGTTGAGGCAAATAGCATAGATATATTTAAGGGGAAGCTAGATAGGTACATGAGGGGGAAAGGAATTGAAGGTTATGAAAGTTTGAAGGCTTAGTTGAGGAAGGGCAGAAGGAGCCTCATGTGGAACATAAACACTGGCATTGACTAGTTGGCCCGAATTGCCTGTTTCTGCGCTGCATATTCTAATATATTCTATTCAAATCAGCAAACTCTGCCAGATCTTTGGAACACAGAAAAAAAAACATTCAGCAAATACCTTTAACCTACAGTTCTACATTCTTAATTTATAGCACTAATATGAGAACATTGTGTGGAGAAGGGCGAATGACAAATATAAATTACCATCTCCTGAAAGAGTCAATGATAATGAATGTTGTTGTTCCCATTTAAACAGTGAGTCCCAATACCAGAAAAGCAACCGGGAAGAAGTGGCAACTGCTTGAGGAATGGAATTAATAAGGTGCACAGTTGAAATGACAGAAATCAACCCTCTCTCTCCAATAATTATACTGGTCAGACTTCGACTCTGCTACATCTAATAATTCTTAAAATCTGGTTATAACTTAATATCAATACCTTGCTGGTTACTTGTGGCAGGATTCCCCCGTTTAAAGTGTTGCACTTTAGTCAGAAATCTTTTTCTACAATATTCAGTGTCAAATTTGTTTCCTTCGATTTTGCAGAATGTCTTTCCTGTATTATTCCAGATCAAAACTAAAACAGAGGCTTAAGTCTATAATTAATGGTGGCAATCCATGCGAATGGCAACTACTCATGCAGCACGATGGCGACTTGGTTCTCTGTACTTACGGATACATAGCTATAGTAGTCAGCTTGACATATAGATCTTTGCTTGGGGCGTCCACACTGTTGCAAGTGAAACTCTGCGGAGGTGGCATTTTATGTTTGTTGCAGAACTCAGCTGGAGTTATACTGTAGTCCTGTTTAACTTCATGCAGGTCAGACTTTGTTGCAACGATGAGGCACGGCGTTTTGCTGTCCATGAAATGTTGCTATTGTCACCCACATTAAAGGAAAGAAAAATGAAAAAATTGTCAACATGAATGTGCAACATGAATAAGCTGCCTAACTAATTCACATTCATTTCTAGGTTCTCAACCAAGTATAGAAATATCTATCAAGTTAAAACATTGAACTTTGTGCAATTTGAAAAGGCAATTGTACCGACAAAATTAGCTTTTGGTCTCATTTTAAATTCCACCCCCCTCCCTGTCCTCGATCACCGCTCCATTAACCCAATCCGTCTGGAATAGATCTCCCATTGCTATATCTAATACTATTCCAGTCTGACCAATCTTGGTTATATGAAGGAATTCAGGCTGTGATGTTACGGGAAGGGGGTGTGGTAAGCCACTATCTGGTGACTCCGATTAACCCATTTTAAATAAATTTCCCAATTGGATACTACTGTACCATCTAAATACTAATACTATTTAAATATCTAATATTACCACAAAAAAATGCTCATGAGCTGATGGAAATCAGTCATAATGTAGTTAAAAATTGGACCCAAACAAACACACACATATGTGCAAGATTTGATTGTAAGGACTATGCATGTCCATGAAACACACCTTAAAGATCTTTGTGCAATAATCAAACGACTTGGGATTGCTGACATCATACACCAGGCAAACGACATCACAAGTGGTGCCAGAGGCAGAGAGGAATTCACTGTCGGATAAAACTTCATGTAGCTTTAAGGGGGAAAGGGAGAAAATTTACAAAGTAAATATCAAGCAATTACTTGAAGCAAGTTCACAACTACTAAAAATGCCTCTGTACGCAATACATTTGGAAATCCAGTTTTGAAAATTGAAAAAACGTTGTTCTTTAATTGGCTTCAGAACTCCTGGATTGGTGGGGGGGACGGGGGGGGGGAGTGGGGAAGAAGGTTGCTGCTCCCCACCATTATTTGGTGACTCCTTGCGAGAAAGGGGAGGCCCGACTATGAAAATAAATGCTGGTTGTAAATTTCTGCACCTCTTGCTTAATAAGTGACTGTCTAGATTTGCTTTCATGGTTCATTTGCTTTTATAAGTAGTGAAACTCCTTTGCTTGTAACAGAAATAGACAGCAGAGAAAGAGAAATTACACTGACAGTATTAGAAGCAAGAAATGTATTCACCAGCATGAGAAAAGCAGAGCATGTTCTCCCATCCATTTCTCTCTCTCTCCCCCCACCCCACGATAATCAATCTATTTAAACACACTCTTCAAAATGGATTATAGTAACTGGTGTCTGAATAAAGAAATCTGCAAGTGAGCTGTCCTCAAATTAAATCAGATCAAAATGGAAGAGTAACTGTACAAAAATGGCCGAGTTACATTGCTCCGACTAGCATTATATACTTCAGAAAACATGCAAAAATGTGATCCTAAGAAACATGAACACACTGAAAATTGCGAAGGACAATTTTCAATTTAAGATGCATCATTCCTTTCTGAAATATTGCTACCAGCGTAAAGGCCATTTAAGAGTGAAATCAAGAAGCATTTTTCTACACCTTTAAGAGTGAGGTTGATAGATTTTTGGTAGGTTAGGATATTAAGGGGTATGAGGAGAAAATGGGAAATTTGAATTGAAAGGATTAGTTGAGGTACAGATCAGCCATGATCTAATTAAATGGCGAAACAGGCTCGAAGGGCGTTTCGGACCTGAGCTGGGGGTCGGGATCAGGGAGACATTAACTCCAGGGAGAAAGACATCCTAAACTTTAAGGTTGTTGTATTAATAATCAATTAAACAAATGTAAACACTCACCAATAAATATTTTTCTTGCCCATACACGTAGGCAGTATTAATGGCATAGAGTGATCGGTATTCTTCTTTTATGTGCCTCATTTTCTGGGAACACAGAAAGCAACAGTAACTTAAAACTAACAAAAATAGGCAAGAGCATAATAGCCGTGTGTAACATGTGAATGGAACACTGAAATTACCGTATAAGAAAATGCAACCAATTAAAGGCCACTGAGCACATCAGACACAACTCAGTTAATGTAATTAGACATTTAACATCAACTCTAGGACTTGTAGTAAATACGGAAGAGGAGGGCAGAGGCATTTACCGTTAAATTTCGGCCCAGAAATCCCTGAAGAATTCCTGTCTTCCCACAGTTCTTCATCCCAATAATATTACACTGAAATACATTTCTTTGCGTCTGTCTTTTCTGTAGATCTATTTTTTTATCTCTGGTTACTGGGGGAACAAAGTTGAGGCTTGTGAATCAAACGTCAGATACATTACAGAACGATAATTCATTTTGTGATCACAGATATATTATATATATATAGAAAAAAAACTTAAAATTCTAACCAGCACTGGGCAAAATCAAATTCGAGGCTTATGACTGATATCTAGATTAATGAAAATGCAAAAATGGAGCAAAATGCAACCACTGCTCTTCACAATTAAGTGCAACATGTAATTTTTATGCTCTTCAATTGAGTTCTAACAGCAGAAGGCTGATCTGTCCTGATCTAGTTTGGACTATGCTAAAGAGTGGAAAAGTTTTATTAAATTAGTTCTTCAGATTAAAAGTACCAAAAACGAGTAAAAAGAAAAATTGCTTTGCTTACTTGTGATAGCTGCCGCCTGGGACTCCTGTTCAGTCAGGATGGAGTATCCGAGGTAAGCTAAATATTCTAAACACCTTTCAACATCAAGGTATGTGGTCAGCCTGATATAAAACAAAGTTGATTTTTTTTAAAAAAAGAGGGCTATCTGTGGAATGCCGACTAAACTGCAGATGAAGCAGAATCGCTTTAATAGGAAATTAGACAAATCTTTCAAAGAGAAAAATATAAAAGAGTTCAGGGAAAGAGCAGGGCATTGGCATTAAATGCGTAGCTCTTTCTGAGAGGCAGCAGAGGTACATACAATGGGCAGAATGCCCTCTTTTGTGATGCAAAACTGGATAATTCTATAAAAATAAAAATTTAACTATTAACATAACATGTCGGAGCAGGAGTAGGCCATTTGGCCCCTCGAGCCTGCCCCACCATTCAATCATGGCTGATCGTCTAATTTAATCCAGCTAATAACCTGACTCTGCTTTATCCCCATATCCCTTAATCCCTTTTGCAATAAGAAATCTATCCATCTCAGTCTTGAATATGTTCAAGTGACTGAGCATCCACAGCCCTTTGTTCCATACATTCACCACTCTTTGAGTGAAGAAGTTCTTCAACTCAGTGTGAAAGGGTTGGCCTCTGATTTTAAGGTGACCCTTGGTTTTAGTTTCTCCAACCAGGGGAAACAATCTCCCTCTATCTACTCTATCATGCCCTTTGATGACTTATAGGTTTCTATAAGATCCCCTCTAATTCTTCTATATTCCAGAGAATATAGGCCCAAATTGGTCACCAACCATCTTTTCCTTTCCACCTTTTTTAAATAGTGGTGTGACATTTGCGATCTTCCAATCCATGGGGACTGCTCCAGAATCCAAGGAATTTTGGAAGATCAGACACAAAGCCTCCACTATCTCATAAGCTCCTCTTTTAAAACCCTGGGATGCAAGCCATCCAGATCAGGGGATTTGTCACTTTTTAGTGCTAACAGTTTCCCGAGCACCAATTCTCTACTAATGAAAATTTACCTAAGTTGCTCCCTGTCCTTATCCTCTCAGTGCATCTCTATTGTTGGCAGACTTATTGTGTCTTCTAGGGTGAAGACAGATGCAAAGTATCCATTAGGAACTCTGCCATGTCCTTATTCCCCATTACAACTTCTCCCATCTCTGACTGAAGTGGACCTACATTTACCCTCACGTGCCTATTCCTCTCAATGTATTTGTAAAAACTTTTACAATCAGACTTAGTGTTCCTTGCGAACTTACCCTCATACTCCTTTTTCTCGCTCTTAATGAGTTTTTTAGTTTTATCTGCTGGTTTCTAAAACTCTCCCAATCTTCAGAATTGCTGCTTTTCTTGGCAGTTTTATAAGCCTTTTCTTTTAATTTGATGCTTTCCCTAATTGCTCTGGTTAGCCACGGATGAATTGCTTTCCCTGTGGTACTCTTATTCCGCAAGGGAATATGCGATCGCTGAGAATTTTGCACTACATCCTTAAATATTTGCCACTGTTGGTTTACATTTTTACCTCTTAATCTTATTCTCCAGTCTATTTTACCTAAATCTTTCCTCATACCTACAAAATTAGCCCTATTTAAATTCAGAATACTTGCCTCGGATTTAACTATATCCCTCTCTAACTTAATGTAGAATTCAATCATATTAACTTACTACATTCTCAAAACACACAAAAAACAAAAAAGCCTTTGTTCACCGTCCTACTCTGCCTGTCCACCAGGCGCTGTGCAAACGTAATTTGTTGTTGGAATATCACAAAATGAAGGTACTCACGTCCATTGACAGATGTATCCTTGATAAGTGATCATTCCCTTGTCATTGGTGCAGACAGTGTTATTGACATCAGGACCCCATGGCATGTAAGGAAACACTTTGAAGAGGTCTCTAAGTTCGTCAGATGACAAAGCACAATCCCTATCCTGAAAAAAAATTAAAAACAAAATCAAACACAGAAACTGCAACATAATGTTTTAATAATAATATAATAAATAACCCTTGCTTTTGATATAGCTCATTTTACCCTGGGAGGACGTCTCAAAGAGTTTCACAAGTTTTACTGTAAAGTATCTTATAGGCTTAACTCACCAAATCATGTTTGTCAAAGATGCTCTGCAGGAACAGGTAAGCATGGTGATTCAGCTCAGTGGTGCAGTCTGGCGCAACTTTTAATCTGAAGCATGGGGTGGGAGGAGAAAAGAAAACAGAGCTATTTTCTCAAAATAGATTCTAATAAATCCTTCTGTGAACCAAGCAACATACATCTGTCTGTCTGTCTGTGTATATGTGTGTATATATATTAATAAAATGACAATGTCTGTCTGTGCTTTAAGAAGGATCTCAATAACCGATTATACTTCATCGGAAAGGTCTTGCATCTGGGAGTCACATTGGCATATTTGTTTTCAGGTATCTACTATCGTTCATGAGTTATTTTCAGTTTTGCATTTTTCAATGCAGTTATACCTGGTGGCTGCACAGTCAAAGTGGCGCTGTGGCATCCTGAATCACAGAGCAAGCACGTAGCCAAGGGGCGGAAATAAAATAAAGAGTATAGACGAAGATAGCCGTGGCAACAACAAAATTACATTTTTAAAGAGTCAAGTCCTCCCAAAAGGAGTCTTCCCCCTGAGACCCTCACAAAGGCCCTTACATCATCAAATAACCCTCTGGCCTTCCACCCACAGAGATCCTGAAGCAGCCATCCCTTGACATTGGTGCAGACATGATCGCATCTCCTCCACCTTCAATTCCCTCGTCCCCCTGAAATCCAAACCCACCCGATCTCCCTGGTACAACAACCTAAAAACCCGCCGTCTAAAAACCCAAACCGGGCTGCTCAAGTGCAGATGGCGGAAAACTGGCCTGACAGTTCACCGCTAACTGTGGCTCAAGCATCTTCACAGCTACCGCCGTTCTTTGACGTGCAAAAAAGGCCTTCTACTTGAACATCATCTTGGAGGCTAAACACAACCCTAAAATCCTTTTTTCCCCAACCACTCACTACCTCCTCCTTGCGCCCCCTCAGGCCTCCTCAATCTTCACATCCAATGCCAAGTGCGAGGAGGTCATGGACTTCTTTTCATCTAAAATACACAACATCTGCCAGACAGCCTCATCCACCTGCCACTTGTCACCCACCACCACCCCCTCTGTCCCCTCACCATCATCTGCTCCTACCACGACCCCCATCCTACATTCCTTCCTCCCCATCTCTCCCTCCTCCCTCTCACCCACCATCACCTCCATGAAACCCACCACCTGGTGGCTCGACCCCCTCCCCACCAACTTACTGGTCACCCAGCTCCCCCTCCTCTGCCCATTACTGGCTGACATCATCAACCAGTCCTTCTCCTCCGGATCAGTCCCTGCCCCCCTCAAAAAAACCTTCCCTAGATCCCTCAAACCCTAGCCACTACCGCCCCATTTCTAATCTGCACTTGTGAAAGTCACAAACAACATCCTCTCTATCTGTGACCAGGGCTCCCATTGCCTCCTTGTCCTCCTGAACCTCTCCGCAGCGTTTGAAACAGTCGATCATGCCATCCTCCTTCACTGCCTTTCCTCCGTCATCCACCTCAGTGGGACAGCACTTGCCTGGTTCGAGTCCTACCTCACAAACCGCTAGCAATATATCTGCACAAACGGCTTCTCCTCCCACTCTCACCCGGTCACCTGCGGGTACCCCAAGGATCCATCCTTGGCCCCCTCCTCTTTCTGATCTACATGCTTCCTCTTGGGGATGTCATCTGCAGACATTGGGTACACTTCCACATGTATGCAGACGACATCCAACTCTGTTTTTCCACCTCTCTTTGTGACCCCCAAAGATGTTCTGTCAGACTTCAGGAGCTGGATGAGCGCAAATTTCCTTCAGCTGAATGTTGACAAGACGGAAGCCATATTCTTTGGCTCTTGTCAACGTCTAAAATCTCACAGTTCTCACCTCCTCCACCTACCTGACCTCCCCCTAAAACTCTCCGAACCCGTAATCAACCTAGGCTTCAGGTTCGACTCCCAATTATCCTTCCTCCCCCACATCCGGTCCCTCACCAGCACCGCTTTCTTCCACCTGACTCATCACCCGTCTCCGCCAAAACCTCTCTCCGAAAGCTGCTGAAACCCTGGTGCATGCCTTTGTCACTATTAGACGATTCAAACACTCTCCTCGCTGGTCTCCCCTCCACAACCATCCATAAAATCCAGATTATTCAAAACTCTGCCGCCCGCATTCTCACCTGCACTAACCTCCGCTCCCCGATTACCCCAGTCCTTGCACTGACTGCCTGTCCCACAGAGGATCGACTTCAAGATCCTCACCCTTGTTTTCAAATCCCTCCACTCCTCTGCACTAACCAACGGGTACAGCTAGTTAATAAAATAATAATCCTTGCATTTGAAATATTGCCTTATCATGTCTTTGAGACGTCTCAAAGCGCATTGTGTAATGCAATAATACAATCTCACTTCCCCATACATTTTCCACACTGTGTCAGCTGTTCCACCAAACACAAATTGGTGCAGAAACATCATGTGTGTATTTGTACCTGAAGTTATATTATGTACAATCTGTACAATCACACATTTCAGAATTGTAATGAACTATGTTCTACATAGCAGTCTATAAGATAGCAATACACCCAAAATGACTGACATTAAGATTTTTTTGCTTCAGATTTTTATTGTAGAATCACCTTGTGTACATAAATATGAGTAACCTTTTTTTAACATTGAATTTTCTTGTTACTGTTAATTTTCCCTTCCCACCTATGAACAAGTTTTTGAATTAAACCTCAGTGCATTAAATTTGAATCTTTCCATGAAAATATATTCACCCTCTAACAAAAGGAATAGTGAAGCCCATTACTTACAGTGGGAACATGTATTCATGTGTGAGCTCCAGGTCGTCATCATATCCAAAGCGGCGCAGCACTGTCCACGTAGTCTCATGCCTACCTCTTTGTATAAACAGTGTGTGCAAGAACAGAAAACCTGAAACACAGAGCAGAACCATCAACGCACTCCTCTCTTCCCCCCAACTTCCTCAAACACCTCAGAGCAAACAACTCCGGAAATGAACACCTCTTTATTCTTGTTAAACTTTTATTTAGCAAGAATGGGTTTACTCTAACCACCAGAAAACATCTGTGAAGAAAGTAATGTAAACAGCTTGTGTTTGGAAATTGATAATCTACAAAATACCTTTTCCGCCTCTAGTGGTTCACTACACTGCCCTGTAATCCACTCCTAACCATTATTTGTAGTAACCAAAACCCATCTGAAGTTATTTTTGCAGTTTATAGTGTCATTATAGTAATACTTTAAATCAGTCTGATATCCACACAGCCATATCAATTAATATTCTAGTGATGGAATTATGATCTGAAAGTTATTTTAAAACAAAAAATTTGGTTAGCCTAAATTTGGAAAGATATTTTCTAGACCTGCAGCTATTGAAGGGTTGAAGTTACAATATAATAATAAAAATCCTTGCATTTGATATAGCCCCCTAGTAAGTCGTTGAGACCTCTCAAAAGCCTTCACAGAATATAGTTTGAAGTGGATTGACACGTATTTTGTGTCAAAACTTGGAAGAAAGATTAAACTGGAGAAGATTCCCTTTTGCCATTTAGGATGTCAGAACACAGACTAGATTGCTGCTTGGCAGCCTTGCCAGCTGCCTTCTTCTGTGCATCATTTACATTTTTACTTTCAAAAAGAAATTAAATGTATGTATAAGATGTCTTCTACAATAAGAAAACAAACATTTATACTGGAGTTTTAGACTGAATGGTTCCAGACTGACACACAATTTACAAACTTGCTATCATCAGCTGATAAAGTAGCCCAAAGGATTTAATTCTTACATTCAGAATTAACAGAGGAACAGAAATAGACAATTACATTTTCATTCCAACAATTCAGGAGAGCATTTTGATAATAAAAACAGGGAAAAACATGCTTTCTTACCAGCTCACATCCATATGCTTTTTTAAAAATATTACATATTGTGCTGCTAGGCTCGTGAATGATAACGGCTTAATATGCTTTTTGAGTAAAACTGTTTCAGGAAAATTTACTAACAATAATCAAAATTACATTTGTATAGCACCTTGCACGCCGGGAGGACGTCTCAAGGCGCTCAGTGTTTCAGACCTGAGCTGGAGGTCAGGATCAGGGAGGGTGGCGGAGGACGATTGAAGGCACGGTTGAAGAGAGTCTTGAGACAGGTCTTGAAGGAGGCAAGAGAGGGACCCAGGAGGAAGGAATGTGGGATGGAGTTCCAGAGGGTGGGGCAGAGTGGCTGAAGGTTGACTCTGCCAATGGTGGGACGGGCGAGGTGGGGAAACATGAAGCAGGCTGAAGCCCGCTCAGTGGAGGGAGCGAGCAGGATGGTAGAGGGTTAGCAGGTCGCAGAGGTAGGGGGGGGAGCAAGACCATGGAGGGCTTTGAAGATGAGGACCAGGATCTTGAACTGTATCCTCTGTACGATGGGAAGCCAGTGGAGTTGGGTGAGGATGGTGGTGATAAGGTCACAGAGCCCGTTGCGGAGAGGACATGGGCTGCAGAGTTCTGGATGATCTGCAGCCTATGGAGGGAGGAGTTGGATTTAATGTGCAACACCATGTTAGTAGTTGGAAGAGCTTTGGCTAATAGAACATCTTCAGTTACATGGTGTCAAGATCAACATGGACTTTTTGTTTAACAGCTGGTGCATTAGAAATGTAACACAACCCAATAACAGAAGCAATAACCAGACACGTTTCCAGTATTGGGAGCATATGGGGCTGATATATGTAGAAAGTACGAGCTGCTCCACACATTACTGTGGGACGCTATGTAAATACCCTTTCTAGGTAAGTATTGGCAGAAATCTGGGAGTAGTTTATGTGGCTGTAGGTAGTGTCATGCTCACAAAGAACAGGAGAATTGGGAAATAAAACAGCTTCATAATCTTCATAAAAATAACATTGGCAAAAAAAAATCTATTATCCAATTGTCGGTGAAAACTGCACTCTGCACATAAATGTACTCCTTCTCGTGGCTGTGCCAGAAAAAATATTTCCCCATCTTGTCCTTCCTTCCCTACATCCGGTTCCTGACCAGAACCACATTCCTCTACCTCTACCCCATTGCTCGCCTCCCACCATACCTTACCCCAATGCAGCCAAAACACTCATACATGCGTTTGTCACCTCCTGCCTGGATTTCTCAAATGCACTTCTCAACAGTCTCCCCAGCTCCACTATTCAAAAAATCCAGCTCATTCAGAACTCTGCTGCCAGCATACTATCCAGATCAAACTCTTTACCCCCATCTCACCAGTTCTGGCCCGGCTCCATTGGCTCCCCATCACCAAATGGCCTCACACTCGTGATCAAATCCCTTCACTCCCTGGCCCCTCCCTACCTTTGCGACCTCCTCACTCCACCATCCAGCACCTCTGTTAGAATGGCACCGGCCTCTTACTTGTCCCTCACGCCCTCTGGAGGTTGTGGAACTCTGGAACACTCTCCCTCAATCCCTCCATCTTGCCCCCCCCCTCCCCCACTTTTCAAGTTCCACCTTTTCGACCATGCTTCTGGTCACCTCTCCCCTTTCCGGCTCGGAGTCAGGCATTTGTGAAGTGCCTTTCAAGTTGGGAGAATGTCCCAAGGCGCTGAACAGATGAGAGTTTCGGACCCGAGCTGGGGTTCGGGGACAGTGGAGGGCAAAGGGGGGGAAGCAGGGAGATCGAAAACACAGTCGAAGAGGAGGGTCTTGAGATAGGTCTTGGAAGGTGGGAAGGGGCAAGGTGGAGGGACTGCGGGATGGAGTTCCAGAGGGCAGGGGCAGAGTGGCAGAAGGCAAGTTTTTGTTTTAACAAATTTACAATACCATTTCTGAGATCCTATGGAACCAATCAATAGCTGTGACAGATTATAGATCAAATAAAGCTGTGGTTGGTACCCAAGGGTTGTCACCCTCAAAATACATCCCCAGATTATTTTCAGTTTAAACTTTTTTAAAAAAAAAGTTTTATCAAACCTCACATTAAAGGGAGAATGTTGGGTGTCCTTACCAATATCATGAGATGTCAGAAGAGATTTATACGATGATACCAAACCCATTTATTAGTGAATCAATTATAAGAGGTTACTCTGTGGGGGTGAGGGAATGTGCTTACTGAACATGAACACAAATTTACAAATACTACTTCATATTGTGGTAAATATCAGCACAATTTACCTTTCAAAGTCAACCCATTATCGGCTACACCATCATTCAGATTCTTTCGCACGACATTCTTCACATCCTCCAGAGCTTGAGGTGCCAATGGGGTGTTAAAACAGGTTCTCTAAATTAAATTAATTAACAGAGATAATAAAGTACCAATACAACCAATTTCACTTTATGTCACTTGCTGATAATTTAGATACTGGATACTTTCATTAACTAGAGCTGCTAGACAAACCGCAATAGATCATAAGACTCCTTTTTTTTAAAAATCGATATTCCCATGAAAAACAGAGCTCCAGACATTTATAAATTTCAAAAGGGGACCCCTAGATTCTACTTCTGATTAATATCCAGTAAGTCCTGCTGGAAACTTTGGTTGGCTCAGCTGTGACCCAAGCATGCCAATATTCACTGTCTAGGCTCACACACAAATTAGTATTACTTGTGCAAGCTAACAGGAGGGACTGTTAGCCATGAAACCGTATCAAAGCACAAGATACTGCCTCCTTTGGAGAGAAGGGAGGGGACAATAAATATAAATTTAGCAATTAACAGTTCCAGAAATGAAAATGACCAAATTGGGAACTGCTGTTTATATATGAATCCAACTTAATACCAAGCACGATTAGATTGTAGACATCAAACTAGAAGCTATTACACAACCTGCAATGCTAACCAAGAAACACTGTGTTATTTCCATAGACTTGCATACTGGAGTTTTACCTGAAAAAAGTTGAGTTCTGCATCGTTGAGAATCCCATCATTGTCTTGGTCTGATATTTTAAAAATGCGAGTTAGGGCTTTGATGCAGGCGGGTTTCATCTGTAAATGTACATCCAAGTTAATTATATTAAATATTTGAGATAGCAGACATTCTTAGTTAACACCGCATATTTAATAAGGCAAAAAACGACAAAAATGCGCTATTTCAAATCACCGTTTAAGATATCAATGTTACTGGACATTGTTGCTAGACAACTGGCTGTTGAAATTTAGTCATAACAGCATTTCAAATGAAATTAGACAAATACATAAAAGTTTAAAAAGAAAATATTAAAGGTTTGGAGAAGAGCAGAGAGTAGTGTAGGTATTCCAGAAGGAGTTTATCCAAACTAATCTTCTCATCTTGTGATGAAAGTACATGGTACCCAGCAAGAGGGTACTCAGATCTACTGGCCCTTGATTCAACAGCAGCACACCTTGGGAACAAACCATCTGATAATCTGTGTGTGCTGAGGGAAAACAATATGAGGGGCTTCTGCAGAATTATACTGAGCATTTGAAGCTTGGGTTCCCAGATCCTCCGGGTTTCTTTTTACCTCTTTCTCTTCTGGGCAGTACAGTGGGCCTGTTGGATGCAGGACAGCTTTCTGTGCGTAGTAAAACAGCTCTGAAATGTTCTTCAGATTTTTTGCTGAACACTGAAAAATAGAAATAGCTCTTTAAACCTGATACAATTAACAGAGTTTTTCAACAAAAAAAATCACAAACTTATTTTAAAAAAACATTTTATTATTTAGCACAAGGACTGGTTAGGCCAACCGATTTTTATTTGGAATCTAAGGGTGCAAATTAGGAATAGAAATATACAGGTTATAATATTTTGACATATTTGTTTAAAAACAATCATTCTGCCTGTGCTTCCATACCAATATTCTGTACGCAGAATAGTGACACAGGCGGAAACAACATTTCTATATGTAAAGTAGAAATTGCAATAAAAGTAGCTGGTCTTGGGGTTCAGTTTGGAGAACAGGACTTCATTGTTTTTGAAGCCATTGATTTCACAAACTGATAATATTTGAATTGAAGAGAGTTAGCAATTGACGATAGTTTTCTTTCCCTTCTTTCTCCTCCTCAAGACTGTCCAATGAAAACTTACAAAATTAGACCCAGTTTAATCATTTGTGGCCTGTAACATCTGGACACCCTCCATGTAAATTCCGGTGCTCACACTAAACACTATTTGTCTAAAAGAATGACTCACCTCAACACAAGTCTCTATCTCGGTGTACTGGTTCATTATTGGAAGGATGGCCTCCATGCTACTATGTTCTACCAAATCAGATTTGTTTCCCACCAGTATAAGAGGCATTCTGGCAACAGAAGGCAAAGTTATAACAAATAGATGTGATTTATGAATCAACAGTAAATCCAGAACTTGATACTTTAGAACATTTTTTAAATTCATCTAAGAAATGGGTTTCTTTCAGAAGGCAGTAATTTAGTGTTCTGCCAAGTTAAATGTATTTCAGCAAATAAGTATCGATACTTAATTACTTAATTTCCTAGCATCTCAAAATCTGTTGTAAAATGATTCCATATTGAATTTCACTGTACCTGCTGTCCTTATCAGTCCTCTCATTTATGAGAGGAATCCATCGACTTGTTACCTGCAATAAGTAACATAGTTATTAGTTTGCTAAGCCAGTAATCAAGTAAATTGGATTGAATGACTCAGTAAGAAACTTGACTCTTTATATTTTTACGCTACAAAATTCTTATTGTTATTATTAGTTATTCCACTTACCTTGTCAATGGAGTTTCTATTGTTGACTGCATACACTATGCAGATGACATTAGCCTGCAGCAGAAAGTAGAAGAGAACTTAATGTTAGAAGAGAGTAAAGCAGTAATTCATCCCATTTTGGTATTAGTACACCTGTGTTGTGAGTTTATAAAGATGGTGCCAACAACAACCACAAGATTACATTTGTATAGCGCCTTTCACGTTGTGAGGACGTCCCAAGGCGCTGATTACCAAAGTAATCAATTTCAGATTTCCATCATTGTACCAGAGCTATCACTCTCCAGACATGCCTCTGCACAGCAGCACAGGAATCATTGTATAGCGTGTCATCCCCAACAACCTTACTACCACTAAACATTTAAGTTGTGCACATAAAAAAAATATTCTTTATGAGCAGCAATAGTAGCCTTCAATCTAAAGTTTTAGAAACATTTGACAAAATGATGGGATACGGGTTCTCAACCACATTTCGGTATTATTATCACAAAGTATTGCTGCAGTTTCAATCTGTCTGTTTGCAAGATGCCAAATCGACGACAACAATAGAGAAGTCTTCTGCCCCCACAATACTTTCTAGTAACTAGTTAATTGGATGAGATATGTGAACAACTCACTTTGAAAATGATGCACAGCTCATTGAGCATGCATGGGAAGGGGGGGGTGATAAGAGAATAAAACTGCTTTTGAAAATAAAATTACTGGGTTGAAACGGCATGCAGCACAAATCCAAACCCAGTTTATTTTGGTTACATTTTCTTCAATCAATGTGAACTGAATCCTGAAAGCTGGAGAAAAACATAAAGGGTACAGGGAAAGAGCAGGAGCAATAGGTTTAGAATAGAGAGCTCCGATGAGCGAGCAAGCACCAGCAGAGACACAATAAAAGGATTCCTAGGTTTTATACAACTCTACGGCAGTAAAATATTTTAATTTATATTATAGATTTTATATTGTGTAAGGGGAGTGGGACTGATTGGGTAGCACAGGCACGATGGGCCGAATTGCCTCCTTCTGTGCTATAAAATTGTTTGATAATAAGTGGAAAAAACTGCAAATGTTAAATCATCAACTTTGGCGTGTAAAGGTTCGGAAGCAATACCTTGAATTTCACTGACAAGGCTATGTTTTTTCATGACACACACTTTATCATTTAAAGTTTACATTAAGGTGTAAGGTGTCAAAAAGTTATTTAGAACTAGTGCTACTGTGGACATGAATGAGCTGATATAAAATTTAACTCAAATCTTCATACAAGTTTTTATTGGTGCATCATGAGACATTTTAATAGCTAGCAGTAACAATTACAGAGGTGGCCGAGACTGGATTTTACAATAAATCTCACCAGAATGTCCCATTTCAGACTCACCTTGGAAATTTCATTGTGCAGTTGTTCCTCTGTCTGCTCTGCTTCTGTCATTGAGAAAACATAGTTATACTAAAGGTTATGAGACACTTTGCCCATCCAGTATTACCATTAAGTATCCAAAATTATTCCACAATACAATAACAAGTTTTTTTTAAAAAAATGATAGAAAATAGATTTGCTAAAATCCAGGTATAGCCAATTTTTTTGAAGGAGGAATCAATTTATAGTCTATTAACAAAGCAGAAAAGATCAATTACTGTTCACCAACATTACACACTTTAAAATGTTCTCTATTCAATGCATTACTGTTGCGGTTTGCCCCATGCTAGCAGCAAGCATCCCTGGTGTAACAGCTCCACCATAAGGCAGCCAGGGCACCGACATTATTCTCTTTCAAATGCAAGTTATAGAAGAGATTTACTTGAAACAAAACTAAAAAAAATTGCAATTTGTATCCTTGTATTATGTTTTTATTTGAAAAAATGTAATTCTTAATGTAGTTTGTCATCTGCAATCTCTTTGAAATGGAAAAACACCATCTTGGAAAGCCAATAATAAATTCAGACAGCGCTAATTGGCTTTCTGTTGTGAGGTGACGCTAATAATTTAGCTCTGAAAAATGAGCCTCTTCTGTGTCAGTTTTCTTTCTCCGGGGAGGTGGGTGGGGGTGGGGGAAAGAGGACGAGGAGGAGTGAGAGAAAGACTGTCAGAGGAACCTCAGACTAGAGAAATACAAGGTAATCGTCTACTACAGGCGCACCACTAAGTAAATAAACTCGTGTTCACCTAAAATGGCCGTATGTTGGAGCATTTCACCCCCACCCCCATTGCACTCTAGCAGTGAATTTCTGATGTGGAAATTAGAAATTTGGCACAGTAGCCACCACTTGGCTCAGCACAACAATCAATACATCCATGACAACTTGTCCCATGAAAAGCAGATCCCAAAGCAGTAGGGATTTAACTCACAAGAGTTTGTTTCCTAGGAAACAATTCTCAACAATTATTTCTATCTCTGGAGAAATGTTCCGTTTTACCTGAATAGTCGACTATGTGTGTAGGGACCTTTTCCGGAGTGACGTCAGCAGGAATAGTGATTTCTTCTGCACGCATGGGAACCTTAGGAAAGACAAGATTGTAGTTCATATCAAACAGCTTTTTTAAAAAAATTTTTTGGTTATATAACACATGATGCGGCCCGAAAAACATTAAGAAGTTCAAATTTCATACTTAAATTTATCACCACTTAGCTCAAAAGACCCAGCAACTTTTTGCTTCTTTTGATTTTGATTGTATGTTGAAAAACTTCCTTTTCAGGGTAAACAAAGTCTCTATGACTGAAACTGCAAACTAGGATCAAGGACAAATCTTGTTGAAGAATGAGAAGGAAAAGCAATTATGACCTGGGCCAATAGAAAAGTGTGGATATATTTGCCACAAATTGCACAGAAATTTGAAAAATTTGCAGAAATTTGTGGGGAGTTGATTGGTGCTATTGAGGTACATTTTACCACCAACCTACATTTTTTCAATTCATTGATGAAAACTAAACAGGAGGATATAACACATATTAGATTGTTGCAAAAAAAAGTATTGTTTTTTTTAACAAAAACTGGGTGGCCTATTTTTTTTTCTTAGTGGGGAGAGCGAGGGCAGACACACACCACCTCCTGCCTCTCAGGGCCTGGCACCTCACACAGACCCAGAGACAGAGATGCTGAGAGAGACACACACACTCAGAAACAGAGACAAGCAAACACTCACAGACACAGAGAGACGCACCTACTCCGAGATACAGAGATACACATTCTCAAGAGAGAGACACACACACATACATTCATAGATACTGAGACATACACACATACAGAGGAGAGATTCACATACACACAGAGACAATCATAAAAACAAAGACACACTCACAAACACATACATATAAAGGAGACACACACAGACACAATCACACAGAGACACTCAGACCGACAGACACACACACAGACACACACAGGAGACACACACTCACATAGGCACTCAAACACATAAAAAGAGAGACACACACTCACATTGACACTCACATACAGAGAGACTCACACTCACTTACATAGACACACAGACAATAATAACAGAGGCGCCTCGAAGCGAAGTCCATTTCCCGCTTGCGCCCACCGTGCATGCGCACCTAGAGCCACTCCGCCCTCAGTTGCATTGAGTAAACAGCAAAGAGGCCCACGGACCAAAAACTACATTTTTAATGGGCATTTGTAACGGGTTCCATGGAAAAAGTGCGGCCACACTTTTCTATTGGCCCAGATTATGACTAGCTGTGGCCTGAATTGCAATTATCATGTTGTCTTGACTATTAAAATCTTTTTTTTCTGGTGGGGAGGGCCTGGGGGGGGAAGAGGACATGAAGAAAGGAAGCAGAAGAGGTTCAGAAACAGAGTTAAGAATAGGAGCAATACAAAGAATATTAGATTTGCAAGCAAAGAAAAGCTCATTTCCAACTAGAGGGACAATCTCTCCTGCAGCAAAGCCTCTTCTGATAGGATTAGAACATTCTTCTTAGATGGTTCATGAGATTATAATGCCCTCCATTTTGCTAACAGCTATTCTTATATCAAGTCTAGGGGCAATGATGGCATCACAGCCAAGAGCAGTTTGAACACAGATTACTGATATATTTGCTGACCATCTGTAAAGTGGGCTATAACGAACAAAGAGGACTCAGGCCAGTGCAAAAGAACACATAATGCTTAAATTTGGGAAAAAAAATTTGGACTCTAATTGGCCTACTTTAAATAGACCTGTCTATTCTATATTAAATATTTCCCATAATAAAGCAATGAGCTTTTACAAAGTTAATCTGGAAGCACAGCACAAGTAAAGTTTAAATGAAGTAGTGTTTCAGGAATAAGTTATGCAAAAGTGCCTGTGTATATTAATCTATATTTCAGTTTGCTTTTCAAATTATATTTTCTCAACTCTACTCCATCTCATTTGACAGCACACAGACACACAGATCTAAGTGATTCACTTCCAGATTTCTGCCATTAATCTGGCCTTCAATTTGCATTTCTTCCAAATGAGAGAAGATCATTTCTACTTTGTATCTGTTATTAATGACACATTTAGGTAAAGCAACAAAATAGGCTGGCAGGACTCGAGAACTTAACACATTGGAGCACTATCACAATATGTTAAATACAGATAGTTTTGAAAAAATCTAATCTTACAATGAGGTTTGAACGAATGGTAAAGTTGCATAAAATCAAATGCATATTCAACCGCAGTTTTCAATAATATGTTTGAATTTACTTAAAATATGATGCATGAGTAGGCTTGCATTCCTTGAAAATAATCACAAACCTCATCAGGGAACTCTTCACTGACCAGCGACATAATCAATGATGTCTTCCCAACTTTAGCTGTAGAAAACAAAAATGCGGATTTTACTGTAATAACATTTACAATCCTCTTTCAGCATCACAAAGTTTTGCACAGCAGATATTAGTTTCTCATTGGTTTAGTGCCACGAAGTAAAATGGTGACAAAGTCCCAAAATTCAATTATTTTTTCTATAAATACACAAGGTTTACATTGCCATGTGGAATGCCATGTGAAAGCCTTCCCATAAACAGGCTTTCTCAATATAAAGGACATTGACAAGTCTGCTCTGGTGCTGAAATCAGAGAAGCCAGTTACTTTTCTATCTTAATGGCCTAAGGAACAATGCTTCCTTGAACAGCAAATAGATACAGCCACCTTGCAAAATTACTGTAGAATCTGATTGGTGTAGAAACAAACTACCAAACATATGTGCTCTACAATGACTGTGGCCTTCAGGGCAAAGCAATAACATAGTCAATGTCAGACTAACCAAGTGACAGGTTACAATGACATTGTCCCCTCCATGCCTTCAAAATCCTCCTAAAAACCTAGCTCTTAAACCACACTTTCAGTCACTTTCTTATGCTTCTCCCTGACACCAACTCTATAAAATTCTTTGAGATGCTATCCCATGAGAAAGGCATGTGCATAAATGTGACTTAGGGTGAATGATCCTAAACCTTCCCTCCAACTGTGTAGGGTATTTTTGAGTTCAGCATCTTCCTCTCAGATCAGAGAATAATACCTTATTATTAACATTCCTTATTATTAGGAATGTTATATTAATGATGGGCTGGTGTCAGCACAGAGTATAGGGTGGTGCAAGCAAATTCGATAAAAGCTTTGAAAAGGGAATTAGATAGGTACTTAAAAAGGAAAAAATTAGCAGGGCTATGGGGCACTACAGTAGTGCTGGGGTAAGAGTACTACTGTATGTATTGTACAGTAGTGCGCAATTGGTTGCTGCGTTTCATCCACAAAATATACAGTCGATTCACTGTACATTCTATGAAGCGCTTTGAGACGTCTCGAAGATGTGATAAGGCGCTACATCAAATGCAAGGATTATTATTATCCCCACTGATATAAGCAGAGACCAAGATTCACTGCACTGGCCATTGATTTCAGTCACCAGGCCATATCATATTTAGTCACCGTTATAAGCATATTAAAAAAGCGCGGAAGACGAATAGGCGGGACAAGTGATAGCTCTTTCAAAGAGCTGGCAGAATGGGCCGAATGGCCTCCTCCTGTTCTGTAAAATTCTATGATTCTATAGTTTTTCCCCTTTTACAAAATAATCCACTATTAATAGCTATGCTTGCTCTTCCCTCCTCCTCCTCCAAATAAATATTGAGCACCAGCAACAAAACTTCCGAGGCAATTTGTTCTACTTGTGGAAGCTTAGTGCACTGCTTACTGCCTGTCCAGAGTTCATAGCTGGTTCAAGAGGAGCTTTACGAGACCTGAGAGAAGGTCTGCTACTAACCTCAGGTGGTGAAAATTATTTGGGCTGCATAACGTTTAAAAGGGGAAAAACAACATTTGTCATTTACTATTTTGTTTTAACAACCATTTTTATTTCGTATCTGTAGGCGAGATATAAATGTGGCCCAGTTTCCAGCACTGACTGACTAAAAATAAGTTTCCATTAATGGTCCACACATTTAACCTTGAGAGAGCAAAGCACCATTACAGCAGTTTAAAAAAACTGTGCTTCATTTTAAACAATCATAATTTTAATACATCCCACCCCTCATGACTAGTTTTAAAAAGAAAAACTTTGCATTCTAAAATATGGAAGTTACCTTATGCAGCCACTTAATTCATGCTCCTCCAAGCTAACTCAAATAACAGAGAAGCAATGACATCTACAATGCTGTACCACAGGCTCCTTAGCGCACAACTCAGAAGCTGCAGTGTTCACCTCTCCCTGCAGCTCAGAATCCACAAATTCTGGACCATTACTGCTAACCTACTGTATCACAATCAATGTCAGGATAATTTACTTGAATAGGTCAAATAAGTAGCTGCCAAGGCCACCTAAAGTTATGTAGATAAAGAACTCTGATTGTAGAACGACCCTTTGCCGGCCTCCTCAGCTCCACCCTCCACAACTCCAGACCATCTAGTATCTGCAGCCCACATCCCCTCCCAAATAAGGCGCTGTGAGCCTATCCTCTCCAGCTCCACCGACTTCCCATCTTCCAGTGGATCATCTTTAAGATCCTTGTTCTCATCTTCAAATGCCTCCACGGGCTCTGTGATCTCTTACAACTCTACTCCCCCAACCACTTGCTCCACTCAATCAACTGTAGGCTGTTTAACATCTCCTGCCCGCTACATCCCATCATCAGCAGGGAAACGTAGCACCTGTCCTCTGGAACTCCACCTTGCCTTGCTGTCCCCTACCTCTGCGACCTCCTAACCCCTACCAACCTACCCACTCCCTCCGCTCAGCGGACTCCCGGCCTGCTTCACATCCCCCGCCTTACCCGCCCCACCATTGGCAGGTGGGCCTTCAACCACTTAGCCCCCACCCTCTGGAATGCCACCCGCAGCACCTCCTTCAAGACACGTCCTCTTCGACCGTGCCTTCAGTCACCCTCCTTCACTTCCTGCCCTCCACGCTTCCCGATCACCAGCTTGGGTCTGAAACACTGAATTTCCAGCGCCTTGGGACATTGTCCCGATGTGAAAGAGACTTTATAAATGTAATTCTGTTGTTGCTGTCGTTTGTAAAGAATTAGTGACATTCTCCGTCTGCGAAAGGTACTATATTGTTGTCGCAGGCAAATATCGTTGTATAATATAGCATGTTGCATAGCAGAAGTTATGCAAGAATTTCCATCCTAACAAACCTAACCATTTGGAAATTATACTCACTTATTTTGGACTTAAGACATACAACAACAACAATTTAGATTTATATAACGCCCTCCACACCGGATGGCGTCTCAGAGAGCTTCACAGTAACGGATCCCAGGGGGAGGGGGAGGAAGGTGACCAAAGGCGCGGTCCAAAAGAAAGGTCTTCAGCCGAGACCTGAAAATAGGAAGAGAGGGGGTGAGGCGAAGGGAGTGAGGAAGGGAGTTCCAGAGCCTCGGGGCATAGTGGCTGAAGGCACGGCCGCCGAGGGTGGAGCGGAGGACTCGGGGGACGAGGAGGAGGCCAGACCTGGTGGAGCGAAGGCAACGGGTACTGTTGTGAGGAGAGAGATCAGAGAGGTCGGGGGAGCAGAGGAGTGGAGGGATTTGAAGACAAGAGTGAGGATCTTGAAGTCAATCGTCTCTGGGACAGGCAGCCAGTGCCAATGGTGCCAGGACAACCAATGGTGATTCATTGGGAAAGAAGTAGACATATTAAGAGGCTCTGATGAGCAGGTCAGGAGGACATGGGAATTAGGGGGGGATGTGATAGTCCAGTGTTGCAAAAATTGTCTGTTGGGATTCAACATGCAACAAAGGCCTTACATTCCTGAATTCCTGCGTCAATCCTTCCTCCAAAAAGCTCTCAATCTCCCGTGTGACACTCACTGCTCAGTTTATTTCATTGTTATAATTAGTAAATCACTGCGGAGAAAATGAAAGGGGGTGACACATGCAGTGTGTGTGTGGGTGGGTGGGTGGGTGGGGGGGAGAGAGAGAGAGAGAGAGAAAAAGGGGAAAGATTTTAGAATGCAAAACACGGCTTTGGAAATGAACACTCGCTCCCAAGCGAACCGCTTGCCATTTTCTTCATAAAAAATAAAATAGTAAGTGGCTGCCGAAACCTGGTCAATAAAAAAAAGGGACAGACGTGGAGGAGAAGGTCACACACACACACACACACAGGTGTGGGGGTGGGGGGGGGCCACGGGCTGAACATGAGCGCGGGGCCGCCCAACAGACACAGACACAGAGAGAGAGAGAAACACCGCCATAAATAACATAATAAAATCAGAGTTATTTTAGCCGCAAAGCCCCCAAGAGGAGGAAGGGGTGTGTGTGTGTGTGTGTGTGTGTGTACCTCGGCCTCGGGCCGGTTCACTCCTGAGGGCCAGGAGCGGCCCGCGGGCCAAGTCAGGAATGACAGGATGGAGAGGGCGGGAGAGAAGGTTTTAACGCAAATCAATGGGAAACTCACGCTCTCCCACCAGCAGAATCCGCACGTCTTTCCTCATGATTGCCGATGCCCCCCTCCCCCTCCCCCGGTTTTCCGGGGCCCGGTTCCGAGAGCGAGAGACCGGGAGGGGAGGAGCCCGGGGGGGTAGTAACGGGGTGTAGGCCCGGGGCTGACCCGCCTGTAACGGCCGATCCGTTCCTTTCTTTCCCTCCTCTCCTCCGCTCCCCTCTCGGGAGGAGACGGTCCGGTTGCTGTCCGCTGAGCTGCCGCTCCCGCTCCCGCCTTCACCGCGGGCCGGACATGCTGGAGGTCCCCCCCCCCGCGGGCCCTCACGCGCTGCTGTCCGAGCGGCGGCGCCGCCGTCCCTCCGCTGACATCTCGCGCTCTCTGGCCCCGCCCCCCCCGCTGCCGCCGCTGCTGCTGCGTAAGCCGCGCGCGCGCTCCCCGACAGCGCGTGACACCCGCGCTGCGTCAACCCGTCTCTTCGCCCCTCACACGCGGCCGCGACGTGCGCGCTCCCGTCTCTAATCTTCTACTGATAGAGAGGAAAGTCTGTCTGTCTCTCTATCTGTCTGTCTCTCTGTGTGTCTGTCTATCTGTGTGTCTGTCTATCTGTGTGTCTGTCTGTCTGTGTGTCTGTCTGTCTGTGTGTCTGTCTGTCTATCTGTGTGTCTGTCTGTGTGTCTGTCTGTGTGTCTGTCTGTCTGTGTGTCTGTCTGTCTGTGTGTCTGTCTATCTGTGTGTCTGTCTGTCTGTGTGTCTGTCTATCTGTGTGTCTGTCTCTCTGTGTGTCTGTCTATCTGTGTGTCTGTCTATCTGTGTGTCTGTCTGTCTGTGTGTCTGTCTGTCTGTGTGTCTGTCTGTCTATCTGTGTGTCTGTCTGTGTGTCTGTCTGTGTGTCTGTCTGTCTGTGTGTCTGTCTATCTGTGTGTCTGTCTATCTGTGTGTCTGTCTGTCTGTGTGTCTGTCTGTCTGTGTGTCTGTCTGTCTGTCTGTGTGTCTGTCTGTCTGTCTGTCTGTGTGTCTGTCTGTCTGTCTATCTGTGTGTCTGTCTGTGTGTCTGTCTGTCTGTCTGTGTGTCTGTCTGTCTATCTGTGTGTCTGTCTGTCTGTGTGTCTGTCTCTCTGTGTGTCTGTCTGTCTGTGTGTCTGTCTGTCTGTCTGTCTATCTGTGTGTCTGTCTGTCTGTGTGTCTGTCTGTCTGTCTCTCTGTGTGTCTGTCTGTGTGTCTGTCTGTCTGTCTGTCTGTCTATCTGTGTGTCTGTCTGTCTGTGTGTCTGTCTGTCTCTCTGTGTGTCTGTCTGTGTGTCTGTCTGTCTGTCTGTCTCTCTGTGTGTCTGTCTGTCTCTCTGTGTGTCTGTCTGTGTGTCTGTCTATCTGTCTGTGTGTCTGACTGTGTGTCTGTCTGTGTGTCCGTGTGTCTGTCTGTGTGTCTCTGTGTGTCTGTCTGTCTATCTGTGTGTCCGTCTGTCTGTCTACCTGTGTGTCTGTGTGTCTGTCTGTCTACCTGTGTGTCTGTCTGCGTGTCTGCCACCAAGAACGCAATAGCTATTGACTTAGAGACATGATTTATACCTCATCGGAAAGGTCTTGCACAGGGGAGTGTCATGGGCATATTTTTTTCTCTTGTGGATGACCTATATTTACAAAATACTTTAATTAAGTCCCAAAATATGAGGCGTATATGGTATTTTGCAACAAAGTAGTCACAGAGAAAATCTCACAGCTATGACCTAAACAAGTTCATCACACAAGAGTCTTCTCAACAGGAATCCTTCCAACAAGGAGTCCTTCCAACCACGCATCCTCCCAACCGGGTGTCTTCTCACAGGAGTCCTCCCACCAATTTTTTTGTGCCATAAATTAAAATAGTGAAGTACATTTTTTAAATATAGCTCATTAACAATAGGAGATCCCTGAAAAAAAATATGCCAATGAAACTTCCCCCATACAAGTCCTTTTCGATGAAGTATAAATGATGTCTCTACGTCAATCGGTTATTCCATTCTGGGCGGAAAGACACACAGACTTTATTAGATAATAATAATCCTTGCATTTGATCCAGCACCGTATCACATCTTCGAGAAGTCTCAAAGCGCTTCACAGAATATACTGTATATTTTGTGAGCGATACGCGGCGGCCAATTGTGCACAGCAGTGTCTGGCAAACAATTGTGGATTGAGTGACTAAATTACTTGGAAAAGCAATCTGCTTAGCTATCGACTAAACTGGAAGCCAGGAAGAGATGTAATGTAATGTGTCCCCCAGGAGTCGTTATTGGGACCACTGATCTATATAAATGACCTGGACTTGGGTACAGGGAGTAAAATTTCCAAGTTTGCAGATGATACTAAGGAAAAGTAGTAAACAGTGAGGAGGACCGTAACAGACTGTAAGAGGACACAGACAGACTGGTAACGTGGGCCGACACGCGGCAGATGAAGTTTAATGTGGGGAAATGCAAAGTGATGCATTTTGAGAGGAAGAATGAGGAGAGGCAATATACGCTGATGGGACAATCTTACAGGGGGGAAGGGACAGAGAGACCTGGGGGTATGACCTTTGAAACCTTTGAAGGTGGCCGGACAGGCAGATAGAGCTGTTAAAAAAGCAAAGAGGATATTAGGGATACGGGGGTAAGGCCGGGTCAGGTTATTAGCTGGAGTTAGATTAGAAGATCAGCTATGATTGAATGGCGGGGCAGGATTGAAGGGCCGAATGGCCTACTCCTGCTCCGACATGTTATGTTATGTTACTAGGCTTTATAAATAGGAGCATAGAGTACAGAATTCAGGAAGTTATGATGAACCTTCATGAAACATTGGTTAGGCCTCAGCGAGAGACTGTGTTCAGTTCTGGGCCCCAAACTTTAGGAAGGATGTCGAGGCATTAGAGAGGGTACAAAGGAGATTGACCAGGATGGTACCAGGAATGAGGGACTTCAGTGATCAGGAGAGGCGAGAGAAGCTGGGATTATTCTCCTTGGGGCAGAGAAGGTTAAGAGGAGCCGTAATAGAAGCTTTCATAATTATAAAGGGATTCGATAGGGTGAACAAGGAGAAACTATTTTCACTGGCGGGTGGGTCGGTAACCCGAGGACACTGAGTTGTTAAAAGAAACAGAAGGGAGGTGAGGAGAATTTGTTTCACACAACGAGTTGTTGGGATCTGGAATGTATTGCCTGAAAGGCTGGTGGAAGCCGATTCAATAACATCTTTTAAGAGAGAAGTAGATAATCATTTGGGGAGGACAAGTTTGCAGGGCTATGGGGAGAGAGCGGGGGAGTGGGATTGATTTGGATAGCTCTTTCAAAGAGCCGACACAGACATGATGGGGCAAATGACCTCCTTCTGTGTTACATTTGTAAAGCGCCTTTGGCCATTCTCCCCACGTGAAAGGTGCTGTATAAATGTAAATTTGTATTGTATCTTGAAGCACCTTTCACCTGAATTAAACGTCACAAAGCACTTTACAGAATATAATTGATGGACAATGAAGTGAACGTTGTGGCTAAGTAAGCAAACGGCAGTTAGTGCGTGACAGCAGCAAAAGCACACACACGAAAAAAATCTGTCCACTCAATCCAAGGCAGTTTGTGGGACACTGCTGCAAGCAAGGCGTGGCTACTGCATTTCGCCCACAAAATATGCAGTCAATTAATTAATTTTAAAATATATTCTGTGAAGCGCTTTGAGATGTCTTGAAGACCTGATAAGGCGCTATACCAAATGCAAGGATTATTATAAAAAACAATGACAGTTGTCAATTTTTATTTCAGGCCAGACTTGGATCAGGTGGGAATATAAAACAGGATAACTGAGTGAAAACAAAATTCCAAACTGGAAAGTTCAGATAAATTGGTTACTCATTTCTTCGTTTTAGAGCCTCCAAAGTGCAACCCATGTGAAAGCTGTTATGTAGCTTTATATAGCTGTTATATAGAGACAAGGAACCATCTAAGGTAAAGATATTCAAGATATTCAACTGGAAGAGGGCTAATTTTAGTGAGTTAAAAAGGGACCTAGCCAAGGTGGACTGGAAAGAAAGATTGGCAGGTAAAACAACTAAAGAGCAGTGGGAAGTCTTCAAAGATGAGATAGCTCGGGGACAGAACAAATACATTCCCACAAAAGGGAAAAGTAGGGCTTCCAAACCTCCCTGGATGACAAAGATAATTGTATCTAAAATGAAGCAGAAAAAGGAGGCGTATGACAAATGTCAAACCCAAGATACAGAAGACAACCAAATCGAATATAGTAAGTGCAGAAGAGGTTTGAAAAAGGAAATAAGTGGGACAAAAAGATTATACGAAAAAAGGTTAGCGGGTAATATTAAAGGGAATTCTAAAATATTTTACAAACATATCAAGGGAAAAAGGTTAGTCAAAGGTAGGGTGGGGCCAATTAAGGACCAAGGGGGAAATCTTACTGTGGAGGCAGAGGGCACGGCTGATGTGCTGAATGAGTACTTTGCATCTGTCTTCACAAAAGAAGTGGAAGCACCAAATGCCGCAGTATCGGAGGAGAGGGTAGAGGAAATGGATAGGATAAGTATAAACAGAGAGCAAGTACCGAAAAGGTTGACTGGGCTGAAGGTGATAAGTCGCCCGGTCCGGACGGGATGCAGCCAAGGTTACTATGGGAGACACGGGTACAAATAGCGGAGGCTTTGGCCACAATTTTTCAATCTTCGTTGGACACAGGAGTGGTGCCAGAGGACTGGAGAGTGGCCAATGTGACTCCCTGTACAAAAAGGGACAGAAGGACAAACCTGGGAACTACATGACCCCAGCCTAACATCAGTAGTGGGGAAACTCCTGGAGACTATAATCCGGGACAGAATATAGGTTAATTAGGGACATCTGCACCGATTTGTTGAAGGCAAATCTTGTCTAACAAATCTAATAGAATTTTTCAATGAGGTAACAGAGAGGGTGGATAAAGGTAGTGCATTTGATGTAGTTTATATGGACTTTCAAAGGCATTTGACAAAGTGCCATATGAAAGACTTGTAAAAAAGATAGAAGCCCACGGTATAAAAGGGACAGTGGCAGCGGATCCAGAACTGACGGCTGATGGTGAACGGCTGCTTTTCTGACTGGAGGGAAGTGTACAGTGGTGTCCCCAGGGACCGGTATTAGGACCACTGCTCTTCATAATATACATAAATGATTTGGACTTGGGTATAGCAAGCTCCATTTCCAAGTTTGCGGATGACACAAAGTTAGGGAGGGGGTAAACAGTGAGAAGGATAGCAGCCAACTGCAGGAAGACATAGACAGAATGGTAACATGGGCGACACATAGCAGATGAGTTTCAATGTGGAGAAATGCGAAGTAATGCATTTTGGTAGAAAGAATGAGGGGACGCAATATAGGCGGTAATACAATCTTAAGGGGGTGAAGGAACAGAGAGACCTGGGGGTGCAGGTAAATGAATCCTTGAAGGTGGCAGGACAGGGAGATAAAGCTGTAAAAAGGACATATGGGATACTGGGCTTTATAAATAGGGGCATAGAGTACAAGAGTCAGGAGGTTATGATAAACCGATATAAAACACTGGTTAGGCCTCAGTTAAAATACTGCGCCCAGTTCTGGGGCACCACACTATAGGAAGGATGTTAAAGCACTGGAAAGGGCGCAGAGGAGATTTACGAGGATGGTACCAGGAATGAGGGACCGTGATGATGAGGAAAGGCTGGAGAGGTTAGGATTATTCTCATTGGAGAGAGAAGGTTACGAGGACCTAATAGAAGTCTTCAAAATCATGAGGGGATTTGATAGGTTAGAAAGGAAAAACTGTTCCCACTGGTGGGTGTCGGTGACTCGAGGTCACAGGTTTAAAATAGTCTCTAAAAGAAGCCGAGGGGAGAGGTGAGAAGAAATTTTTTCACGTAGCGAGTTATTCGAATCTGGAACGCATCGCCTGAAAGGGCGGTGGAGGCCGATTCGATAACAACTTTTAAAAACGCGGTGGACGGGTATTTGAGGAGGACGGGTTTGCAGGTTATGGGGAAAGGGCCGGGGAGTGGGATTGACATTACATTGCTCTTTTCAAATAGCCGCACAGACTCGATGGGCCAAATGGCCTCTTTTTGTGCTGTACGATTCTATGATTCTTTGATTCTATGATATATATATATACACAAGTTGTTGTTCTTTGGGATGTTGCTGATGCAAATAAGCCGCTATATTTTAAGAGCGATGCAGCAGTTCACAACATATAGTCATTGATTTTAGATTTTGAACTTACTACAAGGAATCTGAGTAGGTATTAAGAAGCCATACTTGTTAAATGTTTCACCGCAGGCTTTTCTACCCATTCACTTTTGGGAATTGGAAATTTTGCTTGGAGTTTATTAATTGTCAAAATTTGGGATTCCAGTATTCACGTGAACAATTTTCAAGAGAAAACCTGAGGATGCAGGCAGTGGCTGTCCAATGCTAAAATAGGAGTATAAGTAGGGCTGGGAAAATTAGACACTTTTCATTGTGGGTGCCACACATTTGCCTTTAGGTAAACAAAAATTAAAAATAAATGAAAAAGCAATATTAGAATTAAGGAACTTCCTCAACAAATATTCCAGATGGGAATTTGGCCTCTGAAGTGGCTCTATTTAAATTGGTATATTACTTAGTTTAAGTTTAATAGGAACAGTGAATATACCAAATCAGCATTATATTCAGACAGGATCATAATTACGATACAATATCTTCCCAACAATATTTGTGCCATAAATGTGATTGATTCTCTTCAATGGAGTAAGCCAACGTTTGGTATCTTTAGACACATAACCTTGAACCTTGAGCCTGCATTAATCAACAGATATATTGCTTTTAGTCAGTTCTTTTGAGTATTTTCTACTATAAACAAAGCAGCTATGTCTGTGAATGGTGTTTTTCAAGTCTGGGATTATGTGGTTTTTGCCTGTATGCTGGGTATGTCTGCCGCAATTGGGATTTTTCATGCTTTCAGACGTAATGGAACTGCACAAGGAACAACTGAAGATTTTTTGGTTGGAAATCGGTAAGCAAAACAGCAAACAAACTTTGGACCAACCATTAGAAATTTATATTAACAAACACTATTCAAATTCACCTAACTGCAAAGCTAATTATTTTTATTATTATGTTTTGCTACAGACAGATCTCTGCATACCCAATTGCTTTTTCTTTAGCCTCTAGTTTCTTGTCTGCTATTACAGGTATGTTTGCTTATTTCTCTGCAAAAGTAGGAATAATATACAAATATACGTGCATGCTTACTTATGTTTTGAATTGGATGTCAACAACAAATGGAAATTGAGTGCAGAATACATTATTCTTCCATTTTAACTAAAACTAATGGGTCAAGAGAACGTAGATTTAGATTTAAGGCTAGCATAACATAATATACTATAGTATAAAAGGAACTGGTTTTGATTTTTCTTTAGTATTTAAATGAAAGGATAGTTAAAGGATAATGAAAGGATAGTTCTGGACTACCTAATAGATAAAAATAATAATTCTTGCATTTGATATAGTGCCTTATTACCTCTTCAAGATGTCACAAAGCGCTTCACTGAATATATTGTGAAGTGAATTGACTGTTTTGTGGGCAAAACATGACAGCCAATTGTGCACAGCAGTGTCCCAAAATAGTTGTGGATTGAATGACCAAATTATTATTTATTTTTATTGATCGTAAATAAATCAGAAATAAGAAAGAAATAAGATATTACGAGGAGAATAGCATTTTATCATTTGAAAGACAGAGGTGCTGATAAATAACGAGAATTTTGCTAAAACAAAGGTAGAAAAATGAAGCTTTTTTTTTGTGGAGCTTTTAAATGTATGTTATGGGAACACATCACGTGTCATTTTAATTACAGTTATAAAATGACTTTATTATAGTTTATAACTCGTGTATGCATGTTTTAAAACATGTATGAGTCCATAGGTTACTAAACTTCATTTCTCTAAATAGGAAATTCTGCTTTGATTATTGGGTAGTGGATAAAGTGGGAAAATTAGAGGTCTTCCATTAAAACTGTTATATGGTTATTATGGAGCAACATCTATCTAGGGATGACAAGATTAACCAATTTGATCTCATCCTTCCAAAATACCCACTCACCATCTTCCAATCGTAGCATTGAGCAGTTTTTCTTAAATAAGTCCAGTACTCTGGCCTCAACTATCCTTCCTGGTAACCCTGTCCAGTTGTACATTACCTTCTGGGTAAAATTAATAATTCCTGTTGTCTGTCCTGAATTTTCCCCTTGGTATCCTAAACCTTGCTCTCTTGGTGTATCGAAAAGTATTGTGGGTTCACTTTACAATCTCGTTTAACATCTTTGTTCCTCTGAGACAATCCCATGAAAATTGAACGTACTGTAAAAATCTGGCGTGTGATGTTGAATGTATCTAATTGTTAAACATTGTGTTTTTTTAAATTTATAGCAAAAATGACAATAGATTTATCCAAACAAAAGGAAGTTATACACAAAAGAAGCTGGAAAAAGAAATTGTGTTGCTTTGGATTAATTTTTTTCTAATTATTGTTGCAGTAATTGGAAATCCTGCTGAGGTGTACACATATGGCATAATGTTTCTGATGTTCGCTTTCTCCTGGTTATTTACAATGATTGTCACTTGCTTGATCTACATTCCACTCTTCTACAGACTAAACATAATTAGCACTTACGAGGTAAAACATTTATTAATTTTCTCTTCCCCTTTTAAATTTCCCTGTTTTACTATTACTGTCATCTGCTTTATTTGGGATGAGGCAAGGTGGATCACGGATGTCTTCATGATTTTGGTATCAGTTATCCTTCGTGCTTGTTGCAATGCAGTATCATCCCTCGGATACTATAATTTTTCACATTAAACTCTACTGCAATAAAAAACATATGAATATGGCTAACGTTACTCCAACATTCAGTATGATAGACATTTCAAATGGTTCTTTGTCCCAGTATAACTTTGCATTGCGTTCATATGATTCTCTTCCTCATTGTGGAAACTGAATATTGCAAAACGCTGAATGGTGTTTTGTAACTATAAACTGTCTTCAAAGAGATGTTTGAGTTTGACCAAGATTGATTCATCTTCCCATTTTCTTTTTAAACCTACAAATGTAACATAGTGCTTATTTTTGTTCTTCGATTATATGCAGATGCTTCTGTACCATGGAATGATTTTTCCAAGGCTGTGTAAAAAATATAAATTGTTGTTTGACCATGTTTTTCTTTAGTATCTCCACAAACGATTTGGACCATTCGTGAGATATCAAGCTGTTTGTTGTTTTTTGGTATATATGGTAAGTTCACTGATAGTTTGAAAAAATATACATCATGTTACTTGTGCTTGTGAGGGTCATTCATTTTATACTAAAATATACGAGAATCAGTGCAAGCTCATATGGATTTTAGAAACATGACACTGTGTTTGATGGGGTTTCCATCTATCTGCTTTCTTAAAATATCTCTAAATAAATTCTCTCCAGAATGCAAATAACACCAACATTCTTCACTTGTGGTAGGGGCAGAAATTGGATAACTTGAGACAGATGGGAGGCTGTCAATCAGGCTTCATGTAAACTTCATGTTCATCGACACTAATACAGCTTCTGTGATCACAAACGTTTGGAATACATCAAAAAGATGAATTTCAGTTTGATTTAATTTGGAAATTCTTGGTGTTGGCATTGGACGAAATAAATCTTTTATTCCCAGCAACAGTGAACACATTGTTGAGAAAAAAAGGTTGAAGCTGATGCAAAGCAATACCTGATCTCATTACTTTAGCTCCCAGTTGCATCAAGGTGATGGGAATGAAATGGAACTATAAAAGCTGGTACTATATAAAAAAATAACTAAAGCGATTGACCAATGGGTTCTTGTCATGTTTTTAAATGTACTAGAAAACTATTTACATCAATTGGATGAATTATTCCGAGCATTGAAATGACAGTGTTGTTTTGTCTGTCATATTTAATGTAATTTTGTGTTACTTTCTAGTTCCTATATCTTGGAATTGTGACCTATGCGCCTTCATTAGCACTGAGTCAAGGCAAGTTAGAAGTTTTCTCATGAACGTTTATTTAAGTATGATTGGTTGTTGCTGCTACACATTCATTTTCTGTTTCATAAATCTATGCATTGTATAAAACTATCAGAAAATTAAAAAATACCAAACTTCAATCACACCTGAAGTAGGTGCAATTCACTTGTCGTCTCTTTGGAATCAGGATTAATAATTCCTTCAACAAAAAGATAATAAATTTGTCACCTCACTCCACGACTGTTTGTGGGACGCTGCTGTGCACAATTGGCTGCTGCGTTTCTCCCACAAAATATACAATTCACTTTACAGTGTATTCTGTGAAACGCTTTGAGACATCTTGAAGATGTGATAAGGCACTATATCAATTGAAAGGATTATTATTATTATTATATACGCCAAAGAACTGGATTTGATGTGATTGCAGTCATTTTTAACTTTTAGACTGCTGCCAAATTTTGCAAATCTTGTAATTTCATTAAGCCATACATTTGTGTACAGCGCAGGCAAAAGGACATGTATTATATTTAAATATTTTGGGACTCGGTGACCTTCAGCTTGATAATGTGAACTTAAAACCAAATACTTCCTGACACTATTTTTTAATAATTTTCTTTTACAGTTACTGGGATGAACTTGTGGATTTCGATTGTAATGACTGCACTTGTATGTACATTCTATACAACATTGGTAAGAAAATGAACTTATTGATGTCCATTGGAGATTTTAATAAGAATGCAAGACTATGTGGATTTGGGGAAAATGCAGGCTTTGGTTTTGATTATCCCATCTTCATAAAATATCCTCTCCCTCCAGAAATACATCATTATCTTTTTGTTTCAAGATGTCACCTCGTAGCTAATTCCCAGAGTCTGTTATTCCAAGTGTAAAACGTTACATTTTATGTTCAAAATAATTTTTGATTTGGATAGTTCTTTTCACAGAGCTGATACAGGCACGATGGGCCGAATGACCTTCTTCTGTGCTGTATAATCCTATGATTCTTCCTGACTTTCCTTCTTACTCTTAATTCCCTAATTGTTAATTTGCATTATTTGAATCATTTGAGATAAATAGACAAAGTTCTTCCATTGCCAGCACAGTTCCTCCTGTTGTCAAACATACTCACCTCCCTATATATATATGTTCGTACTATGTTCATCGTCTCAATGTGAATCAGTAATGAAGCATCTAATACCAGATATGATTAAATTTGCTAATTTGAACCTAGAGTGTACTGTTGGGTCACTTTTGTATCATTTGATGTGGATTAACTTTATCTTTTCCCTCAGGGTGGTATTAAAGCTGTTGTGTGGACAGATGTCTTCCAAGTATGTGTGATGTTTTCTGGCCTCCTTGCTGTGCTGATTCAAGGATCAATTCACTTTGGAGGATTTAGGAAGATCTGGAGTATTGCTGAGGATGGTGGACGACTTAATTTTTTAGAGTGAGTAGTCTCTGTTTGTTCTTAGAAAATATATAGTCAGAATGAAGTTATTTAATGGCAGATAATTATTCCTGAACACCTACATTGTACATATAGACTAGCCTTTACTACAACTTAAAAAGCCCACTTATTAGTTGTTTCCAAATTTCAATTGTAACAGGATATCACTGGTCTATCCTTTTATCCATCTCATACATTGGAAGTAGAATTAAGATTTACAATCAGATGGAACAAGGTTATTTTAAAATACCTGGGATACACTGAACTCCATGGTATTGCCTTCAGTCATCCTCCCACTTCCGCCCCCTCCTTGCCCTACACCCCTCTTGATTCCAACCCCAGCTCAGGTGCAAACTTCAGGACCAGAAGCTTGGGATTTCTTCCTGACATGAAAGGCGCTATTACAATTTGTTGTTGTTGTTGTAGTGCAAAATAGTCAAGAAACAGGCCTAGACAAATCTCAGAAATAATTTCCAATATATACATTTACATATCTTTGCAGCACCTACTGTTCTCTTTTCTAGAGAATGGTGTCAAATACAGAGAGTTCAACACATTTCTTTTTACAAAGAACAGAAAAAGGATTGACCATTTTTTCCTACATATAGAAACCAAAGCCATTAAATATATAAAACAGTTCTAGTTGGTCAAATAACCCAGGAAGATTTTCCTTTCAGCTTTGATCCTGATCCTAGAAGAAGACATACATTTTGGACCATAATGGTAGGAGGCACATTTGGATGGACAGCAACATATGGTTGTAACCAAGCACAAGTACAAAGATACCTGGCCTGCAAGAGTGAAATAGATGCAAAAAAGTAAGTTAACATGATACTTAAAAGTCAATTTGTGTTAAGAACCCACTAAACATTTATACAAACAGGTCAGTATAATCTTATTATGTATGTAAATTAATGTATAGCTAGAAATATACTACAGATTTACAATTTAACCAGGAATTTAGAAACTTGGAAGAAACAAGAGAGGACAGTTAGGAGGGGTGACAATCGAAGTACTGATAAAATAGAGAGACATGAAAAGTTATGATGGAACAGAAAGTCATTCCAACTTTAATATAGAAGCACCTAATAGGAACATGAGAGGCAGATCACATTGCAAGTCTCAGTCTAAATGAGTGATCCTATTCAACTGATTTACCAGTGGTTCTTTATTTAACAGAGCCGTAATGCTGAACTGGATTGGTATGATTATTATACTCTCTATAGCCTGTTTGTGTGGTTTAGTGTTGTATGCAGTTTATGAAACCTGTGATCCAATAAAAGCTGGGATGGTCAACAACTCCAATCAGGTAAGTAGAAGATACAAGTTTTACAAATCTCTGTTTCTAAAATCTTGATTTGTAAAATGTCAGCTGTGTTTATATACAAAAACCTAGTCATTATTATTGAGTAAAATGATTTGAGATATTTCAATGTGATAAAGTGCTACAAAATGCAATTTATTTCATTCTATCCATTGGGCTCTCTGGTGCTCTCATACTCTTGTGTCACGTTTTATGATCGGAATCTAGATGATCAACTGACTAAAACCTTTTTTGATGCTACATTAAAAATCAACAAACTGGCTTGTGGGAGGGGGAGGAGACAGTGGGACTTGCTAAACTTGAACATCACTGACAATAAATTGGTGATACACATATCAGTTTATATTTAATATTTTTATAAATCTTTCCACAGTTGATGCCACTATTGGTTATGGAGATCTTAGGTCACATGCCTGGAGTTCCTGGACTCTTTGTGGCCAGTGCATATGGTGGCACACTGAGGTACATACACAAATACACCATTGTAGATGTGATGAAATGGTATCTAATGGGAGTTTGTGATGAAATGATAATGCTGAATAATCTAAAGAAATAGGAAGAAGAAACGCAAGAATAGTGCTATAGTGATGGAGCATTAAATAATTCACATTGCACTACCAATATGGCATAGTTGTCGATTGAGACGTTATTTTCATCATATACCTTGCCACTATTCTCTTTGCGATTTCATCTCTTCGTGATTTTATAGATTTCATTATTCTGTTTTGGAGTTTGTACTTAAAAACTGTTTGCTTAATTTTCACAAACCATAATATTACATTAAAATATATATATATAATATATTGAAATATATGCAACAATATGTAATATTTAAGTATTTAACAATCAGCTTCTTAGATTTTACCTTTATATTAATGCTTTTCTTGAAGCCTGAAGATATTTATATTTATATAGTGTGAAGGGTGCTATAGAAATGCAAGTTTTTTTTTCCAATGGCATATCTTAAACCCCAACTATGTCTTCCTGGAAGCAGAGACAGTAGCTAAGAATTATCTTGGGCAATGTAAGTAGTGAATGAGATCCGTAAAGATATTTAAGTTTAGGTAAAGGTCTAAATTGTGTATGAAGTCATGTGAAAATATGTAAGCATTTTAATACAGACAAGTCTATTAAAAGAACTTTATTTGTCCCACAGCACGATCTCTTCTGGTATCAATGCAATGACTGCAGTAATGGTGGAAGATTTTATAAAACCAATTTGGAAGTCGTGGGATCACTTTTCTGCTAGAAAGCAGACCATGATTTCAAAATTCCTAGGTACCTTTGAATTATTCAACTCCAGTTGTCTTTGTCACAGTTTGGACAGTTGGGGATTACTTTACACTGACTGCTAAAATGACACCCGATTGCTATTGCATAACATTTTTTAATGTCAGCTTCAAGTTTTCATACACATGTAGATTTTAAAACTAAATTTTAAAACAAATGTAACTGTTTTTAAACATCCAACTTTAAAACGGTAGGGCCTACTAACTGTTGTTTTGTGATTATATATAGCTATGATGTTTGGATTTCTTACAATAGGCTTGGCTGGGGCAGCATCTCTCTTAAAAGGAAACATAATTCAGGTAAACACATATCATAGGCCCACAAAATCATCCACAAAATATATAATCAATTCACTTTACAGTATATTTCTGTGAAGCGCTTTGAGACGTCTCGAATACATTATAAGGCGGTATATCAAAAGCAAGGATTGTCATTATTTATCATATATTTTTCAAATATAATTTTATTTAATTCACTTTAATAAAGCAAATAGTTTGTGTTTAACTTACAAATGAATCCCACAGGTCAGATTTTGAATGTAAATGTGCTTGCTGTTTTTTTTGTTCTATCCAGGCAGCATTGAGTGTTGCAGGAGTGATTCAAGGCCCCATACTTGGTGTATTCACTTTAGCAGCTTTGTTTCCAAAGTCCAATGGCAAGGTAATACTATGTACAATTTCAATCTGATAGTAAAGTCGCTCGTTTTAAACGATTAGTCAATATTCATTATTCAAAATCTATATTGAAAAGAGGTGCTGACATTGTATTAACCTTCTTAGAGATGTTGATGACTATATTTAATATTTCCCATCTTTTTTCCTTACCAATGTTCTTCCCTCTCCTGAAGGCATTTTTTGATAATAATTCAACAAAAAAGCATTACAAAATGATGTTAGGCAAATGCATAAATAATGAATCACCAGAGTAATTTCTACAATATTAAGGATAACAACTCATTACTGAGAATCTAACTGTAATTTTCAATTATGTATTGTGTAAATCTTTTTTCAATTTAATTTCTTGCAGGGTGCTTTTACAGGTTTATCTGTAGGTTTAATTCTTGGTATGTGGATAGGGATTGGTGCTCAGATCTATCCACCTAGCGATGAATTTACAAAAGTACTTAAAACATCAATTGCAGGCTGCCTGGAACCAAATTCCACTATCTCAACTCCGGCAAATATAACAACCTGGACAGTCACCATGATAAACCATACATCACAGGAAGCAAGGTAAAGCATTAAAGTAATGCAAAATTAAATTGTTGCATCAATTGTTGCATCAAGCATGTTGTATTGCTGTTTATTTTTGCAGTAATTCTCACGTGGGAATCCTGCAAGGAACTAAAACAACTGGAAACGAAATAGAGTGGTAGCACTGAGAGCCACACTGAATTAATAATCCTTGCATTTGATATAGCGCTTTTCACGTTTTCTAGACATCTCAAAGCACTTCACAGATTATACTATGCCATATTGGTAGTGCAATGTGAATTATTTTATGCTCCAACACTATAGCATATTTTTAAAGAGAACTGATTGTTTATTTGTGGGTGAAACGTGGCAGCCAATTGCGCACAGCAGTAACCCACAAACAGTTGTGGATTGAAGTGACTAATTTATTATTGTTATATTTTTTCTTGAGGGATTATTATCAGGGGTGTGGATAAGGAAACTTGCCCAAGGTTTCGCACCACTGGGAATCAAACCCAGATCTCTCGCTTCCGAGGCGAGTGCTCTAACCACTGAACTACAGGATTGATTCACTTTTAGATTGTTGTAAGGCACATTCACTTTTGGATTGTTGTTAGTCTTCAGAGATTCAGTACAGTTTAGACACACTATAAGACAATATATCTCTGAAAGTTTTTAATAGTTCATTATTGCTCAGACTTGATTTCTGATTTATATATCTACTTTGGCCAAATATATATATCTTTTGATGCTCAAAGAAATAGATTTCTTTATTTTAATCAACGTCAACTTGAGATTATATCAATATTAGGCTTCCATAAACAATTTTGTGCTTAGTATTTTAGACTTACTGTTTATGTTTTCTCTTTTATATTTCAGGCCCAGCATAGCAGACAATTTCTATTCTTTATCCTACCTCTACTATAGTTCAGTTGGTTGTTGCAGCACATTGTTAGTAGGTTTAATAGTCAGTATGTTTACTTGTAAGACTGGTAAGTGAAACTAAAGTATGTATTATAGCACCTTACACACGAGAGACTTGGTTGTTACCATTATTTTGACCTCAGCCAGACAAACTTATTTTTTTCTGATTCTGTATATTCATGTGTTCCTTTCACAAGAGAATAGGTAATCTGATTTGAGGTTCTTTATAGGTATCTCAGTTAGTACACTCTGCTGCTGTTTGATGTGCTCCTATACTGTACCTATCTTCTGCACTTTGTTTGAATGGTTGGGCCTGAGTTGGTTAGATTGCAGCATTGGAATGTCTATCTTATGATACCAATTTAACCAACACAAAAAAGACCATTGTGATGGGATTGGGTGGCACACATACTTTAGTTATTTTAGTCTTTAGTTATTAATTATGTGCTGATTACAATACTGGTAATTAACACAACACAGATAGCTATTTCACTCTGTTTCTTTTTTCATTCTCTGTCACTAAACTAGTAAACTTAGGGTTAGGGTTAAGGTAACCCTAACCCTAACCCAAAGATAAAATATTGTTAAATTTCTGAAAATAATGTTATTGGTTGTACGTCATACTGTACCTAATAAGATGCTTTAACTCCCTCCCCCCCAACTCCTCTTAGCTCAGTGTTTATTTCCGTACCGTGCGAGGTTTTGTATTAACTCTCATCTCTTAAACCCAATAGGAGTGGAAGATGTGGATCCTACTCTAATAGCACCCATAAGGCATACTATTCACAATTTCTTCAGAAGGGAAAGAGTGCTGCCATTATTCAAAAAAGTAAGCTAATTTATTACGTGTGAATTCAAGTTAAATAAAAGGTTACTTTTTTTGGCAAAATCACTTAGAAAATCACGTGTTTTGATGGTTGTTGCAGGATCTCAGAATTTGTAGGGAGGATCTGTATTTAATTTCCAAATTTAGAAAATATTTTCTACTGTTATGTGCAGGCTGCATTCTGTATTTTGTGATATCACTGCACAGATGTTTATACTCTCCTCACTGATATCACTCACTAAATACTGCAGGCCATTGCTCTGAGTTACCATCTATAGCAACTGAGCAAGAAGGGTGGGAAGGAAGGAGGTCAAAATAGGTAAGTTTTAGAAGGCTTTAAAGGTGGTTAAACAGAGTGTGATGGAGGGGTAAGGAATGGAGTGGGTCCAATTGGAATGGAAACAATACTGTATTACCAAATAATAATTTGATTATCTTTACACTTGGATTATATGACATTGTTTACAATAAATTAAGTTTAATAATTATCTTTTTCTTTTTACTTATGTAGAATCAAAACACACTAAACCAATGTCCAGCAGATAATCCAGGTTTCAAGAAAAGCCTCGAAAGTTTTGAGAATACAACACAAGGATTAAATTATATAGAATCAACAGAGATGTAAAATGTGTTGTGTGTGAAAAATACATTTTTGATAAGATTGATGATGTATTGTTCAGATGAAGAAATGTTCAGAATGCAGTACATTTGGTCAACTCAGAGTATATGGAATACTTCTGTTACTCTATTAGTTTAATTGCTTCTTCCCTAAACCCTATTCAATTCTCTTTTGAATAAGCAGTTACTGATACACAATTTCCACTATCTCTCTCTGAGATATATCCACTATGGCCAAATTAGATGAATCTAAACTATTCAGTTTCCCCTTCTGAACCTAAATCAATGCTCCCTTTTTTGTAGAGCACATGGTAATGTGAAACATCCGATTTGCATTTAATTTGATTTTTTTTCATTAGTACTATATATGACTGCTGTATTGATTCAGATCCATATCTTTCTGAATGTCATCATTAAATGCAGAATTTGCTTTGAATATCTTTACTACTTGTTAAATATATTACCCTGTATGTAACCTAATGGAAAGCAGTATTAATGATGGACAATTAAAACATACACCGTATTTAATGAATCATGCAACGAGTAAGCTCTGAAATTCTTTAGAAATACATTTTTCACATTTCAACAAAATATAAATTAATAGTAAAGTACAGCACTCAGTACATTGCAAGGATTATTACTATTATTACTTTCTCAATACAAAGAAACAGCTGTATACCTCCTCACTTCCCAATCCACCACCCGGCGCCTCCGCTCGATTGACACTGTCCTCCTACTTGTCCCTCGCACCCTCCGCCCCACCATTGGCGGTCGCGCTTTCAGCCACAATGCCCTGAAACTCTGGAACACTCTTCCTCAATTCCTCCATCTTGACCCCTCTCTCCCCCTTTTCAAGTCCTGCTTGAAAACCTTCCTCTTTGGCCTTACTTATGGCCACCTCCCTCCCTCAGCTCTGCTCGGAGTCAGGCTCCACCATTGTTAAGCACTCTGAGATGCTACTCTGTTTGGAGGGCCCGATGTACGTGCAAGCTGTTGTTGTAGATAATGCATATAAATTATATTGCTGCAAAATTTGTATCAAGAGAAGGGCTACAACAAATCGCAGTCCTATGAAACATTTCAATGCTTGAATTGAAAATATCTGGATGGATTGTGATCTGTTATGCACTCTTCATAACTAAAAATAGTAATATTTTCATTACATCTTTGTAATGGATTTTTCCAAAGCCCCCAATTTATATTGATAGGATACAGTATATTTTGTGGGCAAAATACGATAGCCAATTGTGCACCACAGTGTTCAACAGTCGTGGATTGAATGACCAATTTATTATTATTATCATTTTGTTAAAGAATTATTACCCCAGGAAAAGCGATCCACCAATTAACTAAGAACTGGTTCCTACTTACTGCTAGGTAAACAGAGGCATGTGGAGTAAGGAAACTTGCCCAACATTTTACCCTGGGGGGAATTGAACCCAGGTCTCTCGCTCGCGAGTGCACTAACCACTGAGCTACAGGACTACACATTATAGTATAATAGTAATAATCCTTGCATTTGATATAGCACCTTATAGCATTTTCAAGGCATCTCAAAGTGCTGCACAAGTGAATTGTCTGTATATTTTGTGGGCGAAACGCGGCTGCCAAATGCGTACAAATTATTTATTTATTTAAAAAAAAATGTTTTTGAAGGGATTATTATCCAAAAGGCATTCCGTCGATTGACTAAAGACTGAGTTCCTACTTATTGCTAGGTAAACAGAGGCATGTGGAATAAGAAAACTCGCCCAACGTTTCGCCCTGCCTGGGAATCGAATCCAGGTCTTCTCAATTTTACAATAATAATAATAATCCTTGCATTTGATATAGCGCTTTTCACGTCGGGAGGACGTCCCAAAACGCTTCACAGAATATACTGTAAAGTGAGTTGACTGTATATTTGTGAGCGAACGCGGCAGCCAATTGTGCACAGCAATGTCCCACAAACAGTCGTAGATTGAAAATGACCAATTTATTATTGTTTTTGGTTTTGGAGGGATTATTATTAGGTGTCTGGAGTAAGGAAACTTGCCCAAGGTTTCGCCCTCTGCCTGGAATTGAACTCAGGTCTCTCGCTTGTAAAGCGAGTGCTCTAACCACTGAGCTACAGAACTCCACAATCTCACCATTTCAGAATCACCTTGGAAATTACATTGTGAAGTTGTTCCTCTGTCATTGAGAAAACACAGTTACACTAAAGGTTACAAGACATTTGGACCTCCCAGTCCAAACATGAAGCATCCAAAGTTATTCCAAATTACAATAACAAACAAATTTTTTTTAAAAAAACAATTGTTAGAAAATAGATTTGCTAAAATCTAAGTATAGCCAATTTTTTGAAGGAGGAATCAATTTACAGCCTATTAATGAAGCTGAAAAGATCAATTTCGTTCACCAATATTACACACTTTAAAATGTTCTCTAATCAATGCATTACTGTTGCGGTTTGCCCCATGCTAGCAGCAAGCATCCCTGGTGTAACAGCTCCACCATAAGGCAGCCAGGGCACCGACATCTCTGTTGACCGAGCAGTGAGGAGGAACCCGGTTGTTAGTCGATTGGCAGATTGCTTTTCCAGCAGTAATAAACCCTCAAAAAAAATTTGGGTCAATTCCCCCACTGCTTGTGGGAAACTGTGCGCAATTGGCTGCTGTGTTTTGCCCACAAAATATACAGTCAATTCACTTTACAGTATATTCCGTGAAAGCGCTTTGAGATGTCTCAAAGACATGGTAAGGCGCTATCAAAGGATTATTATTATTAATAATAGCTATGCCTGCTCTTCCCTCCTCTTCCTCTCTCCAAATAAATATTGAGCACCAGCAACAAAACTTCCGAGGCAATTTGTTCTACTTGTGGAAGCTTAGTGCACTGCTTACTGCCTGTCCAGAGTTCATAGCTGGTTCAAGAGGAGCTTTACGAGACCTGAGAGAAGGTCTGCTACTAACCTCAGGTGGTGAAAATTATTTGGGCTGCATAACGTTTAAAAGGGGAAAAACAACATTTGTCATTTACTATTTTGTTTTAACAACCATTTTTATTTCGTATCTGTAGGCGAGATATAAATGTGGCCCAGTTTCCAGCACTGACTGAGTTTCCATTAATGGTCCACATATTTAACTTTTGAGAGAGCAAAACAACATTAAAAAAAGAAACTTTGTGCTTTATTTTTAAATATTCAAAATTTTTCATTCTAAAATATGGGAGTCAATTACCTTATGCAACCACTTAACTCATGCTCTTCCAAGTCAAATAACATACATGGGAGGGAGAGGTGGGGGGGGGGTGGAAACAGTAGTCAGTGAATGCAGAGATACCCAAAGACTAAATCACTGACTGTTTTCTCTTGTGTGCATTGCACTGCTTTGCACTTTCCATGGAGGGGGGTGGGGGGGGAGAGTTTTAATTTAGAGACTTGATTCTTTTAAGAAGCCCCGCTTGCAAATGTAATATTAGACACTCGGCCCCTTTCTATAGTCTCTATTGTCTTTTATGTATTATTATTATTATCTATCTATTATTCGCCCAAAACATATACAGTCAATTCACTTTACAGTATATCCTGTGAAGCGTTTTGAAATATCTCGAAGACGTGATAAGGCGCTGTGTCAAATGCAAAGATTATTATTATTGTTATTAGTATGACAGAGAATCATAGAATATTCTAGTACAGAAAGGTCATTCGGCCCATCGTCCCTGTGCCCAATAGACCCACTCCCCCGCTCTTTCCCCATATCCTTGCAGATTTTTCCTTTTCAAGTACCTATCCAATTCCCTTTTGGAAAGTTGTCATTAAATCTGTTTCCAACACAACAGTATCTTACATGTGTATAACGCTTTTCACGTCAGGAGGACATCCCAAGGCGCTGGACCATCAGTGTTTTGGACTATCCACCGTGAGCCTATCCTCTCCAGCTCCCCTGACTTCCCATCTTCCAGTGGATCGGCTATAAGATAAGATCCTTATCCTCATCTTCAAATGCCTCCATGGGCTTGCTCCACCCTAACTCTGTGATCTCTTGCAACTCTACTCCCCCAACCACTTGCTCCACTCAACCAACTGTAGCCTGTTTCACATCTCCTGCTACATCCCATCATCAGCAGGGAAATGTAACCCCTTCACTCTGGAACTCGCTTCCAAATCACTTCGCCTCTGTTTAAACTTTCAAACCCAGCTTGCAAACCTTCAATTACCTCCCACTGCTCCTCTGACACCTAACTCAATCTTTGTAAAGAATTAGCGACATGTAGAGTCCTATAGCTCAGTGGTTAGAGCACTCGCTTTGCAAGCGAGAGACCTGCCCAACTTGCCCACCTCCCACTCCCTCTGGCTCGGGTTCAATTTTGGGCAGGGCGAAATTTTGGGCAAGTTTCCTTGCTCCACATGCCTCTGTTTACCGCGCCAGAGGGAGAGGGAGGTGACCTTGAGCATGATCAAAAAGGAAGGTCTTTAGGTGGGATTTGAAGTGGGGAGGGAGGGGGCAAGCTGAAGGGGTCAAAGAGTTTCAGGGCTTAGTAGCAGAAGGCACATGGCCACCGATGGTGGAACGGAGGACACGAGGGACAAATAGGAGGCCGGAGCCAGCCGAGGCAGGGGTGGTGGAGTAAGGGGTAAGCAGATCGGAGGTGTGAGGGAATGAAGGGATTTCAAAACAAATGAGAGGATCTTGAACTCGATCTGTTCAGTGATTGGGAGCCAGTGGAGCCCGGCGAGGGCTGGTATGATGGGGGGGACATGCGAGTTTCGTGCGGGTGAGTATCAGGGGGGCGAGTTTTGGAATTAATTGTATTTTGTGTTTGGTGGAGTTTGGGAGACCAGAGAGGAGGGCATTGGAATAGTCCATCTGGAAAGTGCCAAAGGTGTGGACGAGGGTTTCAGCTTCTTTGGTCGTGAGGTATGGACCGTGGTGGGCAATGTGACGGAGGTGGAAAAAAGTGGTCCTGGTCAGGGAACAGATGTGAGGTAAAGGAAAGCTGGGGATCGTACTTGACGCCTTAGTAGTGCACTGGTTCAGTGAGTCTGAGGGAGAGTCTGGGGGAGAGTCTGAGGGAGAGTCTGGGGAGGCTGACAAGCTCAGACCCGCAGGAGAAAAAATATTGACGGGAGCCAAAGAATATGGCTTCCCTCCTGTTGACATTCAGCTGCAGAAATTTGCGCTCATCCGGGCCTTGATGTCAGTGAAACACGCTGTCAGGACATCAGCGCCTGGGATCTGCAGCAAGAGGAGAAGCAGATTTGGGAGGTCAGAGTTGGCAGTTTACCCCATGTCTCTGGATGACATTACCGAGAGGGAGCATGGAGATAAGGAAAAGAAGGGGGGCCAAGGATGGAGCCTTGGGATACCCCGCAGGTGACTGGCAGGGGCGAGAGGAAAAAATGTTTGCTGAGATATACTGTTGAAACCGAGTGGAGTCCTGTAGCTCGAGAGCACTCGCCTCACAAACGAGAGACCTGGGTTCGATTCCCGACGGGTGAAACGTTGGGCAGGTTTCCTTACTCCGCACGCCTCGGTTTACCAGCAGTAAGTAGGAACCCGGTTGTTAATTGATTGGTGGATCGCTTTTCTGGGGATAATAATCCCCTGTATAGTGTGTGTGTGTGTGTACAGTGCTGTGCGCACGTGTACAGTATATGTACAGTGCTGTGTGTGTACAGTGTGTGTATACAATGTGTGTGTACAGTGCTTTGTGTGGTTGTACAATGTGTGCTTGTACAGTGTGTGTATAGTGTGTGTACAAGTGTGTGTGGTGTAGTGTGTGTATATACAGTGTGTACGTGTAGTGTGTGTGTGTGTACAGTGTTTGTAGTGTGTATGTGTAATGTGTGTGTACAGTGTTTGTAGTTTGTGTAGTGTGTGAGTAGTGTTTGTAGTGTGTAGTGTGTATGTGTTGTGTGTGTGTGTATGTGTTGTGTGTTTGTAGTGTGTGTGTGTAGTGTGTATGTGTAGTGTGTGTGTACAGTGTTTGTAGTGTGTATGCATGTAGTGTGTGTGTGTAGTGTGTATGTGTAGTGTGTGAGTAGTGTTTGTAGTGTGTGTGTAGTGTGTGTAGTGTGTATGTAGTGTGTGTGTGTAGTGTGTATGCATAGTGTGTGTGTACAATGTTTGTAGTGTCTGTAGTGTGTATGTGTTATGTGTGTGTACTTTGTGTTTAGTGTGTATGTGTAGTGTGTATGTAGTCTGTGTAGTGTGAATGTGTAGTGTGTGTTGTGTTTGTAGTGCATGTGTGTAGTGTGTGTACAGTGCGTGTAGTGTGAATGTGTAGTGTGTGTGTACAGTGTGTGTAGTGTGAATGTGTAGTGTGTTGTGTGTACAGTGTGTGTAGTGTGCGCGTGTGTACAGTGTGTGTAGTGTGTGTGTACAGTGTGTGGAGGGGGCCTTGTGTTGGGGGCTGTGTGTGTGGGGGTATGTGGGGGGGCTGTGTGTGGGGGGGAGGTTGTGTGTGGGGGGGGGCTGTGTGTTGGGGGGCTGTGTGTGTGGGGGGGTGCTGTGTGTGTGGGGGTATGTGGGGGGGGCTGTGTGTGTGTGGGGGGGGGGCTGTGTGTGGGGGTATGTGGGGGGGCTGTGTGTGTGGGGCGTGTGTGGGGCAGTGTGTGTGGGGGGGGGGCTGTGTGTGTGGGGCTGTGTGTGTGGGGGTATGTGGGGGGGGCTGTGTGTGGGGGCTGTGTGTGGGGGGGGGGGGCTGTGTGTGTGGGGCTGTGTGTGTGGGGGTATGTGGGGGGGCTGTGTGTGTGTGAGGGGGGGGCTGTGTGTGTGGGGGTATGTGGGGGGGCTGTGTGTGTGGGGGGGGCTGTGTGTGTGGGGGGCTGTGTGTGTGTGGGGGGGCTGTGTGTGCGGGGCTGTGTGTGTGGGGGCCTGTGTGTGGGCAGTGTGTGTGTGGGGGGCTGTGTGTGTGTGTGTGGGGCAGTGTGTGTGTGTGGGGGGGGGCTGTGTGTGCGGGAGCTGTGTGTGTGGGGGGGGCTGTGTGTGTGTGGGGGGGGGGCTGTGTGTGTGGGGCTGTGTGTGTGTGTGGGGGGGCTGTGTGTGGGGGGTGCAGTGTGTGTGTGGGGCTGTGTGTGTGTGGGGGGGGGCTGTGTGTGGGGGGTGCTGCGTGTGTGGGGGGGCTGTGTGTGGGGGCCTGTGTGTGTGTGTGTGGGGGGGCCTGTGTATGTGTGTGTGTGAGGCTGTGTGTGTGTGAGGCTGTGTGTGTGTGAGGCTGTGTGTGTGTGTGTGTGTGAGGGCTGTGTGTGTGAGGGCTGTGAGGGTGTGTGTGAGGGTGTGTGTGTGGGTGTGTGAGGGCTATGTGTGAGGCTGTGTGTGTGTGTGAGGCTGTGTGTGTGAGGCTGTGTGTGTGTGAGGCTGTGTGTGAGGCTGTGTGTGTGTGTGAGGGCTGTGTGTGTGAGGCTGTGTGTGAGGGCTGTGTGTGTGTGAGGCTGTGTGTGTGAGGCTGTGTGTGTGTGTGTGTGTGAGGGCTGTGTGTGTGTGTGTGTGAGGGCTGTGGGTGTGTGTGTGTGTGTGAGGGCTGTGGGTGTGTGTGTGTGGGGCTGTGTGTGTGTGTGAGGGCTGTGGGTGTGTGTGTGTGTGTGAGGGCTGTGGGGGTGTGTGTGTGTGAGGGCTGTGTGTGTGTGTGTGTGAGGGCTGTGTGTGTGTGTGTGTGTGAGGGCTGTGTGTGTGTGTGTGTGTGAGGGCTGTGTGTGTGAGGCTGTGTGTGTGTGAGGCTGTGGGTGTGTGTGTGTGTGTGTGTGGGGGGGGCTGTGTGTGTGTGTGAGGGCTGTGTGTGTGTGTGTGAGGGCTGTGTGTGTGTGTGTGTGTGTGTGAGGCTGTGTGTGTGAGGGCTGTGGGGGTGTGTGTGTGTGTGGGGCTGTGTGTGTGTGTGAGGGCTGTGTGTGTGTGTGAGGGCTGTGTGTGTGTGTGAGGGCTGTGTGTGTGTGAGGGCTGTGTGTGTGAGTGTGTGAGGGCTGTGGGTGTGTGTGTGTGTGGGGCTGTGTGTGTGTGTGAGGGCTGTGTGTGTGGGGCTGTGTGTGTGGGACTGTGTGTGTGGGACTGTGTGTGTGTGTGTGTGAGGGACTGTGTGTGAGGGACTGTGTGTGTGTGAGGGACTGTGTGTGTGTGTGTGTGTGTGAGGACTGTGTGTGTGTGAGGGACTGTGTGTGTGTGAGGGACTGTGTGTGTGTGTGTGTGTGAGGGACTGTGTGTGAGGGACTGTGTGTGTGTGTGAGGGACTGTGTGTGTGTGTGTGAGGGACTGTGTGTGTGTGTGTGAGGGCTGTGGGGGTGTGTGTGTGTGTGAGGGCTGTGTGTGAGGGCTGTGTGTGTGTGTGAGGGACTGTGTGTGTGGGGCTGTGTGTGTGTGTGGGACTGTGTGTGTGTGTGTGTGAGGGCTGTGTGTGTGTGTGTGAGGGCTGTGTGTGTGTGTGTGAGGGCTGTGTGTGTGTGTGTGAGGGCTGTGGGGGTGTGTGTGTGTGTGTGTGAGGGCTGTGTGTGTGGGGCTGTGTGAGGGCTGTGTGTGTGTGTGTGTGAGGGCTGTGTGAGGGCTGTGTGTGTGTGTGTGTGAGGGCTGTGTGTGTGTGAGGGACTGTGTGTGTGTGTGAGGGACTGTGTGTGTGTGTGAGGGACTGTGTGTGGGACTGTGTGTGTGTGAGGGACTGTGGGTGTGTGTGTGTGTGTGGGGCTGTGTGTGTGTGTGAGGGCTGTGTGTGTGGTGGTGTGTGAGGGCTGTGTGTGTGGTGTGTGTGAGGGCTGTGTGTGTGTGTGAGGGCTTGTGTGTGTGTGGGCTGTGTGTGTGTGTGTGAGGGCTGTGTGTGGGGCTGTGTGTGTGTGTGGGACTGTGTGTGTGTGTGTGAGGGCTGTGTGTGTGTGTGTGAGGGCTGTGGGGGTGTGTGTGTGTGAGGGGCTGTGTGTGAGGGTGTGTGTGAGGGCTGTGTGTGTGTGTGTGAGGGCTGTGTTTGAGGTGTGTGAGGGCTGTGTGTGTGGGGCTGTGTGTGTGTGTGTGAGGGCTGTGTGTGTGTGAGGGCTGTGTGTGAGGGTGTGTGTGTGGGCTGTGTGTGTGGGGCTGTGTGTGTGTGTGGGCTGTGTGTGTGTGTGTGAGGGCTGTGTGTGTGTGTGTGAGGGCTGTTGTGTGTGTGTGTGTGTGAGGGCTGTTGTGGTGTGGTGTGTGATGTGTGTGTGGTGTGAGGGTGTGTGTGTGGTGTGGGTGTGGGTGTGTGTGTGTGTGAGGGCTGTGTGTGAGGGTGTGTGTGTGTGGGGCTGTGTGTGAGTGTGTGTGAGGGCTGTGTGTGTGTGTGGGGCTGTGTGTGTGTGTGTGGGACTGTGTGTGTGTGTGTGAGGGCTGTGTGTGTGTGTTTGAGGGCTGTGGGGGTGTGTGTGTGTGTGTGAGGGCTGTGTGTGAGGGTGTGTGTGTGAGGGCTGTGTGTGTGTGTGTGTGTGTGAGGGCTGTGGGGGTGTGTGTGTGTGAGGGCTGTGTGTGTGAGGGTGTGTGTGTGTGGGGCTGTGTGTGAGTGTGTGTGAGGGCTGTGTGTGAGTGTGTGTGAGGGTGTGTGTGTGTGTGTGAGGGCTGTGGGGGTGTGTGTGTGTGAGGGCTGTGTGTGAGGGTGTGTGTGTGTGTGAGGGCTGTGTGTGAGTGTGTGTGAGGGTGTGTGTGTGTGGGGCTGTGTGTGAGTGTGTGTGTATGTGGGGCTGTGTGTGAGTGTGTGTGTGTGTGTGTGAGGGCTGTGTGTGTGTGTGTGTGTGTGAGGGCTGTGTGTGTGAGTGTGGGTGTGTGTGTGAGGGCTGTGTGTGGGGGTGTGTGAGGGCTGTGTGTGTGTGTGTGTGAGGGCTGTGTGTGTGTGTGTGTGTGTGTGAGGGCTGTGTGTGTGTGTGTGAGGGCTGTGTGTGGGGGTGTGTGTGTGTGTGTGTGTGTGTGAGGGCTGTGTGTGTGGGTGTGTGTGTGTGTGTGAGGGTTGTGTGTGTGTGTGTGTGAGGGCTGTGTGTGTGTGTGTGTGAGGGCTGTGTGTGTGTGTGTGTGAGGGCTGTGTGTGTGTGTGTGTGAGGGCTGTGTGTGTGTGTGAGGGCTGTGTGTGTGTGTGTGTGTGAGGGCTGTGTGTGAGGGTGTGTGTGTGGGGCTGTGTGTGTGTGTGAGGGTGTGTGTGAGGGTGTGGTGTGTGTGGGCTGTGGTGTGTGTGTGTGTGAGGGCTGTGTGTGTGGTGGTGTGTGTGGTGGTGGTGTGTGTGAGGGCTGTGTTTGAGGTGTGTGTGTGGGGACTGTGTGTGTGTGTGAGGGCTGTGTGTGTGTGTGTGTGTGAGGGCTGTGTGTGGTGGTGTGTGTGTGTGAGGGCTGTGTGTGTGTGTGGTGCTGTGTGTGAGGGCTGTGTGTGTGTGTGTGTGAGGGCTGTGTGTGAGGGTGTGTGTGTGGGGCTGTGTGTGTGTGTGTGTGTGTGAGGCGCTCCCGCACTCCGGGCTGCAGACGGCGTGTGCCTGACGGCTGTGCGCGCCGTTGCTCTGGTAACGCCCCCCCCTCTCCCCCTCTCTCTCTCTCTCTGTCATGGCGTTCAGTGAGGGTGAGGCGGAGGCGGCTGAGGTGGAGCAGGACGAGGGCGCGGGCGGGGAGCCCGACCTGATCGCCAAAGCCAACTCCCTGCAGGCCTTCAGCGAGAGCGACGAGGCGCGGAACCTCCTGGGCGGCATGAGGGCCGCCTGCGCCGCGCCCAGCGCCACCGAGATGGCCTCACAGAAATTCACAGGTAACTGGGCCTGGGGGGGCCGGGCCGGGGGCCTGGGGCCCGGGGGGGGGGGGGGGCGGGGGTCCTAGGGGGGTCTGGGGGCCTCGGGGGGGGGGGCCTGGGTCCTGGGGGGGGGGGGGCTGGGGGGGCCTGGGGGGCCGGGGGGGGGGGGCCTGGGGGCCGGGCCTGGGGGGCCGGGGGGCCGGCTGGGGGGCCTGGGGGCCGGGCTGGGGGCCTGGGGGCCGGGCTGGGGGCCGGGCCGGGGGTAGCGGCCGAGGGGAGATCTTGGGGAGAGGCTCGGGATTGGGACGTCCTCCCGACGTGAATGGTGCTATAGAAATGTTAGTTGTTGTTTTTGTTGGGGGAGGGGTTGGGGGTGAGAGGCTGGTGGTGGGGGGGGGGGGCTGGGGAGAGCTGAGGGGGGAGACAGCTAGGTGGGGCCAGGAGGAGAGCAGCAGGGCGGGGGGGGTGAGAGGCTGGGGGGGGTGAGAGGCTGGGGGGGGGGTGAGAGGCTGGGGGGGGGGCTGGGGAGAGCCTGAGGGGGGGGTGAGAGGCTGGGGGGGGGGTGAGAGGCTGGGGGGGGGGCTGGGGAGAGCCTGAGGGGGGGGTGAGAGGCTGGGGGGGGGTGAGAGGCTGGGGGGGGGCTGGGGGAGAGCCTGAGGGGGGGGGGTGAGAGGCTGGGGGGGGGGGGTGAGAGGCTGGGGGGGGGGTGAGAGGCTGGGGGGGGAGGCTGGGGGGAGGCTGGGGGGGGGTGAGAGGCTGGGGGGGGGCTGGGGGGGGGGTGAGGGCTGGGGGGGAGGCTGGGGGGGGGGTGAGAGGCTGGGGGGGAGGCTGGGGGGGGGTGAGAGGCTGGGGGGGGGGTGAGAGGCTGGGGGGGAGGCTGGGGGGGGTGAGAGGCTGGGGGGGAGGCTGGTGGGGGGGGTGAGAGGCTGGGGGGGAGGCTGGGGGGGAGGCTGAGGGGGGGGGAGATCCGACATCTAATCAGTAAGGAAAGTGTTTTCTTTCCTGGGACTGTTGTGGCTGTTTGGGACCTGAATCAGAGGATACAATGATGTGGGGAGAAAGTTGCACAAAAATGTGTGTTTATTATTTAACACAGAATGTTCTCCTCTCAAAGTCCGCAGTGATTAAAAGCATTGGATGTTAATGCCATCCTGTGAACTCTATCTGCGTCTAGTTATTAACAGTAGTCGTTGAGAACACTCAGCAGGTCGGGCAGCATCTACAAAGAGAGGAAAGTGAGTCGTCGTTTCGAGTCATGGACCCGAAACGCTGACTCACTTTCCTCTCTCCATAGATGCTGCCCGACCTGCTGAGTGTTCCCAGCGACTTCTGTTTTTGTTTCAGATTTCCAGCATCTGTAGTATTTTGCATTTTGTCCAGTTATTAGCTGCTGTTTTCTGTCTTTAACCTCTCCTCCCCCCCCCCCCCCCCCCCCCCCCGACACACACATTAGCCTTGGGCGTTCAGAGAGCAATTGTGAATTTTCACATTTGGCTGAAATCGGAGAATTCAGCCCAGACTTTCTTTTGTGCCCCTGTGGCTCAATGTTGCCCACCTAAACATCGGGAATTAAACTAGAATGTGCCAGAAATATACAGCAGGTTAATCAGGACCTGCAGGATTTTTGTATGGCTCTTCAGATAATCTGAAATATTTACCTGTCTGTCTCTCTCTTTAAATGATGATTTTAAATACTGTACCTTTATAAAAGCTAACTGTTTTTATTCTACATTCATCTGTGCATTTATCGATAGATCCCAACATCTAGGCTGTAGTGAAGGTCCTTTCCTTGCTGGGGCTATTGCAGTTATTTCCAAATTCTATTGAAGTGCAGCAGTTATTTGCCACTTGCCTCGTCAGTGGGACAAAGGGCTGCATTTACTCTTTCGATATGGTGAGGCACCCCATATCATAAACAGTGAATCAGCCATTTTCCAAGCCTTTCTGTAGCTGTCACAAACCGAGAGTGACACGGTGAGTATTGTGTCAGCAGTGTGCTGCCTATGGTGACCTATCTCAAGCTGCCCTCCCCAGTGTTATTGCACTCAAAATGGGAGACACGGGGATACAGGGTGAGGAGCTCTTGTCATTTTTATTTTCCACTTATGATACATCTCACCACAGCGACGTTTCTGAATTCTGATCATTTACGTTCAAATCATTGGAGCAGACTGTTCATCTGTGTTGCATTTCGAGAAGGATGTTTATTTGTACTTCCAAAAAGTTGCTCCCCATCCGCCCCACCCAATCCCCATTTTTAAATTCTTATATTTCTCTGCTTGTCCCTGTGCCACCTTTATTCCAACAAGTGTTGTCAATGTGTTTGTCTGGCTCATTCAGTGACATTCCTGGCTCTGGGGTAGAAGATGGTTGGAGCCTTTTGGTAGGTTGTGAGCTAATAGTCCAGGTTTGCAATTCTGCACAGCAATGAGGGAGTGTTGCTTTGTCAACCTAGGACTTGAACCCATAAGCGTTAAAAGCTGGGGACGTTAATGTCCGTTAGAAACTGCTAGTACTGTTGTGTGTCTGATGTAAGTTTCTTTTATTTCTAGTAATAATGGACAAATACCAGGAACAACCTCATCTCCTGGATCCGCACTTAGGTAAGATTGCATGTTTCTGAAGAAACTTCACAACCTGGGCCTTGCACATTCGATTACCAAACTTGTGTGTTGGTGTGCATGTATGTATATAATATATGTATATAATATATATTATATATAGTAATCCTTGCATTTGATATAGTGCCTTATTACATCTTTGAGACGTCTCAAAGAATGTACTGTATAGTGAATTGTCTGTATATTTTGTGGGTGAAACTCAGCAGCCAATTGCTCACAGCAGTGTCCCACAAACAGTCGTGGATTGAAGTGATCCAATTTATTATANTTTTTGAAGGAATTATTGTCCCTGGAAAAGGGATCCGCCAATCAACTAACAACCATGTTCCTACTTACTGCTAGGTAAACAGAGGTGTATGGAGTTAGGAAACTTGCCCAACATTTCACCCATCCGGGAATCAAACCCAGGTCTCTAACTACTGAGCTGCAGGACTCCATTTAATGCTGTTCAAGAGCTGGTTGCATGATTGGTTCTTTCAACATCAATAGATTGTCCATTGAAAGTTTAATGGACTTTGGAGTGGAACCCAATGTGACTAGAATAAGTTAATACCATGTTTTTAGCTGCACTTGTATGTGACCTATATACCAAGGCCAAAAGCTAAAACTGAAGTAAGGACCGATTGTATTTTAATCTTACCATAACTAGAGGTCTCTATGATCATGAGCAGCAATGGAATAGAGACATTCTTGGGCTTTTTGAAGCTCTATTGGACCCACCCGCAATGTGGCATTGGGTGTTGCCATTGCATGTGGTCGAGCAATGCTGAACTCTGGATCGTATTCGTCAACTGATTACATTGCGTTTATTGGAACTCCTGGTTTGAGATTTAAAAGAAGCTGAATTTGGAATCCTAGAATTTGGTAAAGATCAAAAGAAAGGATGGTACCTAGTTTTCCAGTCTTCTGTTGGATTTCTTTGACCTTTTCCTGGGGCCAAAAGGCCCAATGTAAAGCACTAGTTTGATTATTCAATTTAAAATATGCAAAATTTGAACATGATACAATTAATCAGGTTTTGTTTGAGAGTTTTACATTTTAGATCCTAGGATTTCCTCCTCCTTGTCTCTTCAGATCACACATGAAGACTTTCCTCTTCGACCATGCCTGTGGTCACCTCCCCTCCCTCCCTGGCTCAGCACTCTATCACTGTTAAGCACTCCGAGATGCTACCCCATGTGAAGCAATTTGTTGTTGTAAGATCTCTTGATGTAGTAAGATTACAATCAATCCTAATTTCACCCACAAAATACACAACCAATTCGCTTTGTAGTAAACTAGCTGTACCCATTGCAGCTACACTTGCAACCAAAGGATCCAATATGGAATGTAGATTTCAGTGATGCCACTCACAAACCATTTAACATGCCATAAACACTGTGTGTACACCTTCAGCAAAACTGCCAATCGTGTGTGATGAGTTTGCTTGGGTCATAGCTCATGAAAGATAGACAATCTTATCAAATGGTCATAGCCCATGAACAATAGATCTTATCAAAGCTACACCAACCAAAGGAGTTTGTTGTATGATTTGGCAGGTGCTCGAGTTATTGCAACGCAGCTGTGCTGTTTTTTGTTCTTCAGTTTCATTTAATCAGCCTTCTTCTGGCATTTTTATTTGTACTTGAAAGGCTTGATGTTCGTTTAGGCATCTTTATCTTGTTACCGACGCTTGGCTTCATCTGATTGCATGCGCACAAACGTTCTTGGTGTCGCACAGTGCCACTGTGATTCAGCGCAGCCACGAGATGTAACTGCAGCGCAAAACTGTTGATACAGCTTGTTTAGTTCATAATTCATCAACGATAAGAGATCACCGAAAGAAAATATGCACATGACACTCCCCCGTGCAAGACCTTTCCAGTGAGTTATAAATAATGTCTCTATGTCAGTTGGTTATTGAGATCTTGGCTGACCCACAGAAAGACATTGTCGTTTTATTAGTATATAGAGAAGATAGTAGCAGATAGATTATTAGTATAGAAGATAGGAGAAGAGAAAAGAAGATAGAAGATAGTATGTTCTGTGAAGCGCTTTGAGACGTCTACAAGTATAGTAATAATAATAATTATTATTATTTTGATTATTGTCTTTTGGAATTGTTTGTCCTTGTCACGTGTAACTGAGCAGGCTTGAGTTTGTTTTTCTCGGTTTATAATTTTGTGCTTTCCTGCACTTCAAGAATGGATGTTGAATATGCTGCTGGACCTCGTGCGTGATGAACGTTCCCCTCCATCTCTCCTACATCTCGCCTTCAAATTCCTCTACCTCATCTCAAAGGTGAGATGCTGTATAAAAATCTATACTTATTGAGAACCCACGAATCCTTGGTGGCCTGCACGCCCGTTGGAATCTCCTATCTCCGATCTCTTAATTAATGCTTATTTTTCACGTTTGTCTTTGAACAGTTGTGTAAACAAAATTGTTACCGAGGGATTATTACCCCGGAGAGCGATCTGCCAATCGACTAACAACCGGGCTCCTACTTTCTAGCTAGTTGGTTGGAATTTGCTTTTAGTGCATCCATACGCCTCTGTTTACCTAGCAGTAAGCAGGAACCTGGTTATTAGTCGATTGGTGGATCGCTTTTTCGGGGATAGTAATCCTTCAAAAAAAAATTGGTACTTCAAACCACGACTGTTTGTGGGACACTGCTGTGCGCAATTGTCTGCTGCACTTCGCCCAAAAATATAGTCAATTCCCTTTACAGTATATTCTGTGAAACGCTTTGAGATGTCTCGAAGACGTGAAAAGCGCTATATCATTGCAAGGATTATTATTATCTGTAAAAGTCCAGATTGACTTGTTTCCATTTAGAACTGTATAAGTAACAGTTTTTCCTGATTTGTGATGTGTCTAATCGATTACTAACAGCGGGGTATAATAATAATAATAATCCTTGCATTTGATATAGCGTTTTTCACGTCTTCGACCCGTCTCAAATCGCTTTATATTTGTAGGCAAAATGCGGCAGCCAATCGCTAACAGCAGTGTCCTACAAACAGTCGTGGATTGAAGTGACCAATTTTTTTTTCTGGAGGGATTATTATCAGGCATGTGGAGTAAGGAAACTTACCCAAGGTTTCGCCCTGATCTGCCGGGAATCGAACGCAGGTTTCTCGCTTGCGAGGCAAGTGCTCTACCCCTGAGATACAGGACTCTAAAATTTCCTATGATTTACTCTCATATACTCTCATATGATCATATGGTATGATTTACTCTCATCGCAGGTGCGGGGCTATAAGTATTTCCTGAGGTTGTTCCCTCACGAAGTAGTGGATGTGCAGCCTGTCTTGAACATGCTGACTCAGCAGGACCCAAAGGACTGTGAGGTAAGTGTTAGGTGTGATCAGTTATGTCAGACATCGTGGCTTGGTTCAAGCAAAAGGTGGGATCCACCAGTGGGAACAGACTTTGTGTTCTCAATGCCAACGTGGGACACTCATTGGTTACTTCTAGGGCCAGTCTAGTCTTAAGTCTGCTCCTTCATCGCTTGCTGATCATAACTTGTTAGTTAATATTACCCTACCTCTCCCTTCTAGGTAACTCGACTTCTAGATTTGTGTGAAGGTTACTAGAAAGATGTGTGTCTGGGTGTGCTGTCAATTTCCTTCATTTATCTCCTAGTAACTTCTGAACTGTTGTCTCAATGAATGAAAATGTCTTACCTTAATTTTAAACAGCTTTTGTATACCCTTTCATTGCGCTGAATGCTTGTTACATTTCAAAATGGACGTGTTTTGAGGAATCGTCCGTCCCCTACCCTCAGATCTTGGGCTTGTCCTTGGGATAGCTGGGTGGGTTGAGCACTTGTTCCTCTTTGGTTCACTAAGTGATAGTTATGGATTGACTCACCGAGGTGCATAGTTTTTAGCAAAGAGATTTCCTTAGCCAAAGGCTGGGACTCTGTTCACTTAGGATTTGAACTTCCATCTCCAGAGATTGAGTGCTTTATTATCCTGTTGAATTGTATTTTCCCTTGTGTATTTCAGACCTGGGAGACTCGCTATATCCTTCTCTTGTGGCTGTCCATGACTTGCTTAATCCCATTTGATATGGCACGACTTGATGGCAACATCTCAGGGGAGGCACAAGAGTCTCGGATACCGACCATGGACCGGATTCTAAGTGTAGCAAAGGTGGGCAACTGTTGCCTTATTGGGGTGTAATTGTTTTTTAAATTGACATTGTTGCCGGGGGTCTTTTTGGTACAGAATTTATTTAATCCTTTCAGTTGAAACCAGACAATGAGGATAAAATTACATTATCACTGAGACGAACACTGTGCAGTGGAAGCCGGTTACGCTGGACACATCGGCGACGGCCGTTTTGTCCGTCTTAAGGGGTATCAGAGGTTAACTGAAATACCATTCCTGTCCAGCAGAGGAGGCTACTGATGCCGTATGTAATAATATTGTTTCACTTGAAGCGATGTTAACTAACCAGTTAAACTTCAAATACTCTCATAGAATTCAATAAAATACATTTACCTTTGTTTGGCTGCAAAATACAATATTTTCCCGCCCAGCGTGTTGGCTAGGCAGAGTGAGATCAGTCACAAAAAGAATAGGGTGACTCTAAAGGTCTTGAACAAATATTTTCTGTTCTAACTCGGAAGTGAGTGTTCGTAATTAATTAATTGGCTCAGTTGGCCACACTTTTGGGTCTAGACCAGAAAGTTTGGAGTTCAGACCCGTCTTTGTGATTTAAACTCACAGTCCAGGTTAACACTCCATCGCAGTAGTTAGGGAAGTACTTCACTGTCCCGGGTGCCATGTTTTGGCTGAGAACTTGCACTTGTTTACCTGTTCAGGTGGATTATTTAAGATCCCATGGCACAATTTCAAAAGAAAGAAGTTTCCCTTGTGCCCTGGCCAACAATTGTCTAGATTAATTGATTCTTCACCTCATGGCTGTTTGTGAGATTACGCTAATTGCTGCACGTGCAGCAAGTGTTTTGAAATGCTTCAATGTAATGAAGAGCTGAAATAATTTTGCTTCTGAATTACATGTAATGCAGTAACTTCTGATAAGTTGGTTCTGTACAAAATCTTTCAACTGTAATCTGATCTCCATTACAACGTGGCTTCGGTAAGCCCACTGATTTTGTGATTAGCAGCGAGATGTTCTTTTGTTGTTAGATTGTGTATGTCTCACCTAATGATGTTTGCTTTTGAATTCCAGTCTTACCTGACAGTGAGTGACAAAGCAAGAGATGCAGCTGCTGTTTTAGTATCCAAGTAAGTGCATTAAGGTTAGATGTTGCTTTGTAATATGTGGCTGCTTATTTCCCACAAGTCTATAGATACCCATGGCAGTATTTAGAAAGAGAAGGGAGTTTCTCTTTTTTGGCCAACAATCCCCCAAATAAAATTAGACACTAACTTTGTTAGTAGAATGTAACTTGTAGAATGTTGCAAATTAGCTGTAGCGTTCGCCCTCAAATACACAGTCACTATTCATGGGAACAGGAGGAGGCCAGTCAGCCCCTCAAGCCTGTTCCGTCATTCTGTAAGATCATAACTTCAACTCCAATTATCCTCCCTTGTCCCATATCCTTTGATACCCTTACTGAACAAATATCTATCCAAATTTGAATGGATCCAGCATTCTTTTTTGGGGAGAGAGCTCCAGATTTCACCCTTTGGGTGAAAAACTGCTTTCTGATTTCACTTCTAAATGGTCAAGCTATAAATTTAAGATTATGCCTCCCTGTTCTGGATTCTCTCACCAGAGGAAATAGTTTCTCTGTGTATACCCTATCAGATCCCTTTATTATTTTAGAAACCTCAATTAGATCACCCCACAACCTCCTAAACTCAAGGGAATAGCGACCAAGTTTATGCAAACGGTCTTCATAATTTAACCCTTTAATACTCCCTCTTGGTGACATCATCCGCAGACATGGGGTCAACTTCCACATGTATGCGGTTGACACCCAACTCTAGCTCTACCTATACCCTCAACTCCAGGACCACTGCTGGATGACAGCTAACTTTCTCCAGTTGAACGTCAACAAGACCGAGACCCTCCTGATTGGTTCCTGTCAGTGTCTCCACACCTCAGGCACTGACAGCATCACCATCCTGCTCACTCCACCTTACTAAGCCAGTTCGGAACCTTGGTGTCTTGTTTGACCCTCAACTATCCTTTCTATCCCACATCAGCGCCTTAACCTGCTCTGCCTTCCCCCTCCTCTGCAACATTGCCCAGTTCTGCCTCTCCCCTCAGGTCGCCAAAACCCTCATCCACGCATTTATCACAGCTAGGTTCGACTTCACCCCTGTTGGCTTTCCCAACTCTTCCTTCGACAAGCTGCAGATCATCCGGAACTCTGCAGCTTGTGGCCTCTCCTTGTCCTTGCCTTTAAGGCCTTCCAGGGCCTTGCCCCTTCCTACTTATGTGACACCATATCAACCTGTCCACTCCCTTCACTCAGCAGGCTCTGACCTGCTCCCCATCCTCCGCCTTGCCCGCCCCAACATCGGCGGTCGGGCCTTCAGCCTTTTGGCTCCCATTCTTTGGAACTCCAGCCCACAGCCCTTTTGTCTTGTTCCCTCCCTTGCCTTCTGCAAGGGTCCTCTCAAGACCCTTCACTTCAACTGTGCCTTTGACTACCATCTTACTCTTACCCTCCCTGCCCTCCACCCCCCTGATCCCAACCCCCGCTGAGGTCCAAATCCCTGACTGTTCAGCTCTTTGGGATATTCTCCCAATGTGAGAGGCGCAATACAAATGTAATTTGTTGTTGTTTGTTGTTAAGACCTGGTATTATTTTGGTGAATCTGCACTGCACCCTCTCCAGAGCCAATATATCCTTCTTGAGGTGAGGTGTCCAAAACTGAGAGCAGTCTCCAGATGAGGTCTGACCAAGGCTCTATATAGCTGAAGCATCATGACCAAGGCTCTATATAGTTGAAGCATCATTTACTCTCCTTTATATGCCAGCCCCTTGAGATAAAGGCCAATGTCTCATTAACCTTTTTGATAACGTTTTGTACCTGTGAGCTTGTTTTTAGTGATTTGTGTCTGTGGACACCCAAATCCCTTTGCTCTTCCACAGTTCTTAGTTTCTCACCATTTAGAAAATATTCTGTTTTGCTATTTTTGGATCCATAGTGAATGACCTCACACTTCCCCACATTGAATTCTATCTGCCACAGTTTTGCCCACTCACTTAATCTGCCTAAATCCCTTTGTAAATTCTTGCTCCCATCCACACAATTTATTGTGTCTCCTAACTTTGTGACATCTGCAAATTTTATAAGACTCTCTATTCCTCATACAGTGAAAATCTGAAGCCCCAGTGCAGACCCCTGGGGAACATCACTTGTCATGTCTTGCCAATCAGAGAAAGTTCCTTTTATCCCTACTCTCTATTTCCTGTCTCCCAACCAAATACCAAACCATGTCAAAAGGTTACCTCTGATTCAATCTGCTTTCATTTTTGCTAATAACCTTGTTCGGAACCTTATATGCCTTCTCAAAGGCATAACCACCATGTTATCCACCATGTTATTGAACTCCTCAAAAAATTCAATTAGATTCATCAGACATAAGTTAACATTCACAAATCTTCTGGATTTCCACTTTTTCTTACGTTAATGTAATCCATCTCTTTTAGTTTACCTCGTTTATCGATCGTGGTTCACTTTACAGTATATTCTGTGAAGCGTTTTGAGACGTCTCAAAGACGAGATAAGGCGTTATCAAATGCAAGGATTATTATTATTATGGTGTTGAACTACACAGGAGAAGCTTTTGTGTTTCAGGGGTTTGTACTGGTTTTGTATTGTATTGAAAACTTCTTTGCATACTTCCCACCTCATGTCTGTGGGTTTACCCAATAACAGTTCAGTCCAGTTTACCGTAGTTAATTTATTTCTTATCCCCCATTTCACCATCGGTAGCTGCACTATCAGCCACTACACCCCGAAACTCTGGAACACTAACTCTATCCCTTCGTCTTGCCCCTTCCTTCCCCATCTTCAGGTCGCACCTGAAGACCTTCCTATTTGACCGTGCCTATGGTCACCTCCCCTTCCCCCCGTTTCAGTGTCGTGCTCTGCCACTGTCAAGCTCTCTGGGACTACCCTGTGTGAGTGGTGCTATATAAATGCAGGTTGTTGTTGATGTAGCAACTTATCACGTCTTTGAGACTTCTCAAAGTGCTTCACAGAATATACTGTAATGTAAATTGACTGTATATTTTATTGGCGAAATGTGGCAGCCAAATTGTGCAAAACAGTGTTCCACAAACAGTCGTGGATTGAGTGACCCAANTTTTTTTGAAGGGATTACTACCCCGGAAAATCGATTTGCCCATCGACTAACAACTAGGTTCCTACTTACTGCTAGGTAAACTGAGGCGTGTGGAGCAAGGAAACTTGCCCAACATTTTGCCCTGCCCGGGGATTGAGCCCAGGTCCTCTTGCTTTCGAAGTGCACTTACCATTAAGCTACAGGACTCCACTTCTTTGTACCTAGCCCAACCGATACTTCCGTCTCCTATGCCGGACATTCTATGAGCTCTTTGAAACATGCTCTGTTAAAGCACTATATCAAATACTATTATTATTTAATATAAATGTATATTTGGGAAACTGCTGTGCGCAATTGGCCTCTGTGTTTCACCCACAAAATATACAGTCAATTCACTTTACAGTATACAGCACTACGAAGCACTTTGAGATGACTAGAAGAAATGATAAGGTGCTATATAAAATGCAAGGATTATTATTGTATTTATATGCACATACAACATACATCTGTAAAAATATAAAGCACTCAGAGCTTGATTCAGTTATTTAATGGGCTACATTGCCAAATCAGTTGACCTCCTAGCCTTAGAAGCCGTGGTAAAACTACAATACTGTGGTCAGGTTGCATCTAGGGTACTTTGCATTGGTCATTGTGTACGTAAGTGGGCTGTCCAAGGCCTAGTGGCAATATGGAGGAGAGTAAGGTTGACCTAGTATTAGAGGGATGAACCTAAGATACAATACATTGTACATTTAATTTAAACAGCACCTTTCACCTTGGAAAGGCGTCCAAAGCTGGTTAACAATCCTATCTTAGTATCTGAGCCCCACCAATGGGTGGGGAGAGGATAGTTAATTGAAAGCACAGTCATAGAGGTAGGTCATCGATGGTTTCAGAAGTGAAACTGAATTTGTAAGATTCCCAAAAAGGAAATGTATAATAAATGGAGAAGGAAATGAGTTAATGTTTCAGATCTCTTTCTGTTATCCGCTGGTATCGCCTCTCTGCTCCTGGTTTGGCCTCTTCCTGGGGTGAGGTTCCCCGGGTTCTGGTCCTTCCAAAGTGTCTATTGTTCATTGTGAACCATTGCCTGTAGATGGCGTCATGGCTGAGCCTGACTCACCAGGTTTTATACACACACAACAATGCACGCACACTGTAGACAGATCAGGACTTGCCTGGTTTCTGTTAGTCTCCCTATACAGCCCCAACTGAGATGAGAAAACTCAGCACAATTTGGGATTCAAACCAAGAATCGGGTCCTTATGCTGCAGCTCTATTCACTGCATCTTTCATTTCATTCCTAATCAAATGCATTTTCAGCCTGCCTCAGTTGACAGCATTCTGTACTCTGAGTTAGATGGCTGTGAGTTCAAAGGAATTTCTCCCGTCGGCCTGGTTTACCATCCTCCCAATAAAATTTGTTATTTGCTGTATGCAAATTGGCTGCGTGTTCATCTACAAAACAGACAGTAACTACGCTTTGCAGGCAAGTTTGCGAAGCTCTGTGAGACATCCTGGGAGACTATCCCGTGTGAGGGGCACTATATAAATGCAAGTCGTTGTTCTCCTGATGTAAAACGCACTGTCAATTATAAGGATTATTTTAATTAGGGTTATTTTGTATAGCCCTTCAAGGTGATATGATTGCTACCTTTAAGATTCTAAAGGGGCTAAATAATGTAGATCATGACAGGCTGTTTCAACTAGTCCAGAATACTAAAACCAGAGGACATGGGCTGTGATTGAAGGGGGTAAATTCAGAACAAATCTACGCAAACACTATTTCAGTGAGCGAATAATAAATCTGTGGAACAGGTTCGCTCGGGAGATAATTGAAGCAGGAAATGTTGAATCTTTCAAACACAGATTAGATAGTTTTCTTTTAGGAAATAACACTATAGGATACAGTACATAGGTTCAGGACATATGTGCATGCAACCAACAGGAAGTTGGAAGGCAAACGAGATGGACCCCGGTCTTTTTTTCATCTAGCATTTCTTATGTTCTTGAGTCATTCATCTTACCCAAGGCTGTACCAACATAGCAGCAGTAATAGGGCCTAGTATCTGTTTGTATCCATCTCCCTTCACCTGTAACCACCTGTTCTAGTTCTCTGTTAATGTCTAACTCGGTGTAACCAGGATTTGGATTCAATCTCGTTGTCGCTCTATCTTTGCTGTCAAGTGAGAAAGCGAAGGAATGATAATGTGGTAGCTCGGCATCCATACAGTGAGCAAATACACTCAATACCACTATAGCATCTACAATTTAATGAAAGAATGAAGTTAACGTTTCAGGGCTATTTAGAATAGAATGAAAGAAAGAGAGTGCAATTTTAAAGTGTTTAGTTATGTCAAAATTTCTCAATTGCTTCACAGGTAATTACTGGTCTGTTTTGTAAGCAAACATGGCAGCTACCTGTGCCAGCGCAGTCCCACAAACAGTTATCTGCAGGGCCAATAGAAAATACATTGAATCATAGAATTATACAGCACAGAAAGAGGCCATCGGCTCATCGTGTCTGTGCCGGCTCTTTGAAAAGAGCTACCCAAATCAATCCCATTCCCCTGCTCTCTCCCCATAGCCCTGCAAACTTCTCCTCCCCAAAAAATTATCTGCTTCACTCTTAAAAGTTGTTATCAAATCGGCTCCACCAGCATTTCAGGCAATGCATTCCAGATCCGAACAACTCGCTCTGTGAAAAAATTTCTCCTCACCTTCCCTCTGTTTCTTTTAACAACTATTTTAAGTCAGTGTCCTCGGGTTACCGACCCACCCGTCAGTGGGAATAGTTTCTCCTTGTTCACCCTATCAAATCCCCTCATAATTTTGAAAAGTTCTATTAAGTCTCCCCTTAATCTTCTCTGCTCGAAGGAGAATAATCCGAGCTTCTCTCGCCTCTCCTGATCACTGAAGTCCCTCATTCCTGGTACCATCCTGGTAAGTCTCCTTTGTACCCTCTCCAATGCCTTGACATCCTTCCTAAAGTGTGGGGCCAGAACTGAGCACAGTCTCTCGCTGAGGCCTAACCAGTGTTTTAAAATGGCGGAAATATTTGCTAAAAATTGCGGGGAGATTTGCCAAACTTTGTGAAAAATTGTGGTTAGTTGGTGCTCACATGAGGTATATTTTACTGCCAACCTAAATTTTTTCACTTTATTAATGAAGACTAAAAGTAAGAAATAATACACATTAGATTGTTGAAAAAAAAATTATTAATGCTTTCTTTAACAAAATCCGGGTAGCTCACACAGCGGGAGGTGAGGGGGAAACACCAACGAATGCCGAATGGTCCCTTTTCCCACACTACATTTGAAGGCCAGTGTCTTAACTGTGGGGATGCAGGAGATGACCACCTCCTGCCTCTCGGGGCCTGCCACCCCACACAGACACACCCAGTGGCACACCCAGAAACACTCACAGACAGAGAGTTGCACACTCGCAGAGAGAGAGAGAGACAACTCACAGACACAGAAGCACTCAGACACACACATACACCTACACACACATATACGCAGAGGAGCGAGAGACACACAGGCAATTACAATAGCGGGGCCTCGGAGTGAGTGAAGCGTATTTCCCACTGCACCGCATCCGAGCCGCACTACCCACAGTAACAGCATTGAGCAAACAGCCAGCAGCGGCTCAGAGGCCTCGGTGCCCAAACTTTGTGTGTTTTTACAGGTTGTTGGAGGCCTTTGTAGCAGATTCTGTGGAAAAATTGAGGCGGCACTTTTCTATTGGCCCAGGTCATGATAACCAATTAATCTGGAGGATTGTTGGCCAGGGCACCAGCTCTCAATCCAATAATCTTTCCCTTTTCTTCATTCCAATGGACCTTGTGTTCAATAGGCAACTGGCCAAAATTTATGGATCTGACCTTATAATAATAATAATAATAATCCTTGCATTTGATATAGCGCTTTTCACGTCGGGAGGACGTCCCAAAGCGCTTCACAGAACACACTGTAAAGTGAATTGACTGTATATTTGTGGGCGAACGCGGCAGCCAATTGCGCCAGTGTCCTGCAAACAGTCGTAGATTGAAAATGACCAATTAATTATTGTTTTTGGTTTTTGAAGGGATTATCAATAGGCTCTGTGTGGAGTAAGGAAACTTGCCCAAGGTTTCGCCCTCTGCCTGGAATTGAACTCAGGTCTCTCACTTGCAAAGCGAGTGCTCTAACCACTGAGCTACAGGACTCCACTTTGTGGCATATGTCAACGTCTCAGAGTGTGCCCTCGAACAGGACGCTGCTTGGTATCACGGCCCTTGCTGGAACGTGAGTGAGTAGCACTGCTCCAGCAAGTAATACTTCCCTGGAGGGAAGGAGGGAGCTTGACCACCCCCTGATCCAGATAACAATGCACGGTTTGGGGAGAGTAGTTTTAATAATAGAATCAGCGATTGTAAAATTGCTGCCTCACCTGCCTGATCGTTTAAATGTTTAAATGAAGGCAGACCATTTTCCTGTTCGGCCGCTCTCACTTATTGTGTCTCCACACCTTGTTTTTTCTTTGCACATTGAGTCCGAAGATTAATGTGACATTGCCCCAGGACGCCATTCCACTTGGTGCTTTAGGTCTAACGAGGGTTTTAAAGTAATTAAATATAAATTCTCTGTTTTAAGGATGCACTTTAGCATGTTTTTCCCTTTGATCTGACAGGTTTGTTACTCGCCCTGATGTGAAAGAGAAGCGACTGGCTGGTTTCTTGGACTGGACCCTGGCGATGCTCTCTCAGGCCAATCGAACAATGGAGGGCATGATTATCATGGATGGCATGCTACAGGCTCTGGTTAGTACAAAGCAACTGAAGCTTTCTCCCCTCAGAGGACTCTGAATGCTGAACGTTTGTCATCTGTAAGTACATGGGACATCTCACAGCTATGTTTTGCAGTTTTGATATTATTAAATCACCCTTTTCCTGATTTCCTAAATCAGGAAAAGAAGCAACACCACAAAGGGGAGCAGTAAGAAGGAAGCCGGTTGTTAGTTGGTTGACGGATCGCTTTCAATTCCTTCAACGTAGTCCCTTAATAATCCTTTAAAAAAAAATGATTTTGTCACTCAGTCCACAACTGTTTGTGGGACAAAGCTGTGTGCAATTGGCTGTCGCGTTTTGCTCACAAAATATAGCCAGTTCATTCACTTTACAGTATATTCTGCTAAGCACTTTGAGATGTGATAAGGCGCTATATCAAATGCAATAAGGAAGGCCCCATTTATTGATTGTCCAAGAGAAGGCCTAAATAATTTGATCACAGGTCTTTCTTTTCACATATTTTTTTTTACTGGATATCTCATTATTTAACTGGCCACTATAAGGTAAATGTGACCATACCTTGCCCCAAATGTAGCTGAAACCCTCGACCATGCGTTTGTCACCTCCTGAATCGACTGTAATGTCCTCCTCGCCAGCCTCCCCAGCTCCACCATCCACACAATCTAGTTAATACAGAATTCCATTGCCGCATACTAATCCGCACTAAACTCCGCCCCCCCCCCCTATCACACAGGTTCTTGCCAGGCTCCACTGGCTCACCAAACTAATTGATTTCAAGATCCTCACACTTGTCTTCAAATCCCTTTGCCTCCCTACCTCTCCGACCCGCTTACGCCCCAATCCTTTCCCATCTTCAAGTCGTGCCTGAAGACCTCCCTGTTCGACTGTGCGTAGGGTCACCTCCCCCCACGTCCTGGCTCGGCGTCAGGCTCCATCACTGTCAAGTGCTTTGAGATACGACCCTACGTGAGGGGCACAATAGAAATGCAAGCTGTTGTTGTTGTAGCAGTAGTATCTTGCCCGAACAGTTGTTATGCGTTGTGATAGCAAGTGTCTAGAGGTTATTTGACTGTGTGACGGAGCAGTGGACCTGAGCTGATGGCATACCAACAACCTCCACTGTGGCGAGGGGTCTCTGCCTGATGATCAGGAAAGGGAACCCAGGTTGATTTTCATCTCCTAAACCCAGAGGCACCAAGCCCACTTGTAGCTCCTCCACAACTATCCGTCTGGTCTGTTTTGACTCTGCCAATGGTATTAAGTCCCCTAGGGTTACAGAATCTTGTGTTCCATGCTGCCTGGACAAATTTCAGAATGATGGAAAATGTCTGCGAAATTTAAAAAATTCCTGCCTTTAGAAAACATTTCTTCACAAGTGAACTTAAAATGCCCTGAAGGTTTTTTTTTTGTTGGGGTTGTTTTACCAGAATTATTTCCACATTGTTCAGCAGTACTTAAAAGATTGGAAAATGTAAATAAGCTATTTGGGTTTAGCTGTAGGCGCTCTGAACTCAGCATATTCAGATTACAAGTGATGAAGACGACAACTATCCACACCCCACTTTGTTGCCGGAACGATCCCTTCAGCAAAGCGAATGGGTGGGCTGACAGCGCAGTGCGAGGTACAAGACTATTCTGGGAATATGTAGCAGGTCAGGCAGCATCTATGGAGAGAGGAAAATGAGTTAAAATTTCAGGTCAATGACCTTTCATCAGAACTGAGTTCTGAAACGTTAGGTCAATGTTTGGTCAAAGTCCTTGAGATTTCTGTGTTTATACCAGATTTTCAGCATCTGCCGTACTTTGCCTTTTGTTACAAGACTATATTGTTGTCCAGCATCTTGAGTCCCACGCTATACCAAAGTGTGGAACAATAGTGGTTTCTTAACATCACTTTTCTTCACATAACATCAGGGTGCACTAACATCACTTCCATGTGTGCCAGCTTTCCATTGGCATTCGCACTAAAAGCAAAAGACTGACTTCCAGGATTTCAGGTTGCTGTAGGCGTCACTACCTGGAAGCTGTCCTTTATTTAACAGGAATCTGGCTGATTCATGCACAAAGCCAAAAGGGCAGCTGGCTTATATGTGAACTTTGGCCTATTGGGTGTTGGCTAATTTAAGAAACAAATTGAACTGTAAGGGGAAGACTTTGGTTGGCATTCGGGAAGGATGAGATTAAATGGACCAAGATCCCTTCTTTATCTGAATCTCTCTTGTGAAGCTTTTCCTCTGCTTGTCCAGCTAGGACTACCCTCCCTGTTAAGGCTTTGGCTTGCAGCGTTAACAGGAGCTGAGTGGGACGATTCCTGCCCCTAGTGACTGGTCTACCCTTCCAGGTCTTGCCGATGAGTCAGGCTTGGCTGGGCTATCATCAACAACAAGTGGTAGGAGAGGAAGGAGTGAAGCTGGGAAGCCAAAAGTCTTTCAAGGACCTTGGAAAGAAAAGGGAGGTTGGAGATAGGCCGGTAGTTAGAAAGCAGGAATGGGTCCAGAGAAGGTTTTATCCAGGATGGGGGTGATTATTGGAGGAGTCAGTTGGTGGTGGAGAATAGAAGCCTGGGGTTGTCCTTCGCCTCCAAGATTATCTTGGAGTAGAAGGATGATTTGGTGGAGGCGAGAGTGGAGTGGTACGTTTTGATGTGGTCCAGCCAGATCTGCCGGTGGATCAGATTTGAGCCAGGTGCGTATGTTGGCATGCACCTGACTCTTGAGAGAGCGGAGTTGGCTGAGGAGGCAGTTCGGGAGGTAAGGGGCGCAAGGGCATCAAGAGTGGAGGAAAGGGAATTGTGGAGGCGAGTGAGCGAGGAGGATGAATCAGTGCAGGTAGGCCAGAGTGGGATGAGTTCAGATGACTCCAGGGCAGCGGGGAGATCAGCAGTGCCCTGGAGTACTGCGGACCTGCCTGGCTCAGGAACCGGCCTAGGCAACAACAAAATTACATTCATAAAGCGCCTTTCATGTCGGGAGGACATTCCAAAGCGCTGAACAGTCAGGGGTAGGGACCCGAGCATGGGGGAGGGGTAGGGGTGAGGGAAGGCAGAGAGATGGGAGGGAGACCGAACAACAACAACAAAATTCCATTTATTGAGCTTCTTTCACGTCGGGAGGACGTCCCAGGGGCTGCACAGTTGGGTCAGGACCCGAGCAGGGGGAAATGGTCAGGGTGAGGGGAGGGAAGGGAGGGAGCGAGGAGGGGGGAAATGGTCAGGGTGAGGGGAGGGAAGGGAGGGAGCGAGGAGGGGGAAGAGAGTCGAGAGGGGAGCTGAAGGCTCGGTCAAAGAGAAAGGTTTTGAGACCGGCCTTGAAGGAGGAGAGGGAGGAAGCGGCGAAGGCACTGGGGGATGGAGTTCCAGAGCCTAGGGGCTGAGAGGCTGAAGGCCCGACCACCGATGGTAGGGCGATTGGGGCGAGGGACGTGGAGCAGACCGGAGCCAGAGGAACGGAGGGTACGGGCAGGTAGGTAGGGGGATAGTAGGTCAGAGAGGTAGGAGGGAGCGAAGCCGTGAATGGCCTTATAGGTGAGGATGAGGATCTTGAAATCAATCCCCTGGGGGATGGGGAGCCAGTGGAGGCGAGCGAGGGTGGGTGTGATGTGGTCCCGAAGCCTGGTGCGGGACAGTACACGAGCTGCAGAGTTCTGAATGACCTGCAGCTTGTGGAGGGAGGTGGCGGGAAGGCCGGCGAGGAGAGAGTTCCCATAGTCCAGCCTTGAGGTGACAAAGGCGTGGACCAGGGTTTCAGCAGCGTGAGGGGTGAGGTAGTGCCGTAGTCTGGCGATGTTCCGGAGGTGATGGAAGGCGGTGCCAGTTGTGGTGCGGATGTGAGGGAGAAAGGACAGCTCAGGGTCGAACAAAACGCCGAGGTTCCTGACTGGCTTTGAGAGGTGGAGAGTGCAGCCTTGGATGCTGATGGTGTCGGCGCCTGAGGTGCGGAGGCGCTGACGTGAGCCAATCAGGAGGGCCTCGGTTTTTCGCACGTTGAGCTGAAGAAAGTTGTCTCTCGTCCAGGACTCGATGTCGGACAGGCAGCTGTCAGGACATCGGTGGTCGTGGAGTTGAGAGTAGAGGAGGAAAGGTAGAGTTGGGTGTCATCCGCATACATGTGGAAGTTAACCCATGTCTGCGGATGATGTCACCAAGGGGGAGCATATAGAGGGTGAAGAGGAGGGGACCGAGGACAGAGCCCTGAGGGACACCACATGAGACAGTGCGGGGGGTGGAGGAGAAGCCATTCGTCGAGACAAAGTGAAGACGGTGAGAAAGGTACGACCTAAACCATTCAAGGACAGTGCCTTGAAGGTTGAGGTGGGAGGACAAGCGGTGGAGTAGGATAGCGTGGTCGACCGTATCGAATGCTGCCGATAGGTCGAGGAGGACGAGGAGGCAGAGGGAGCCCTGGTCACAGATGGTCAGGATATCATTGGTGACCTTGACCAGGGCAGTTTCTGTGCTATGGGCAGCACGGAAACCTGACTGAAGGGGTTCGAAAAGAGAATGGGTGGAAAGGAAAGAGCGCAGTTGGGAGGCGACAACTCTTTCCAGGACCTTGGAGAGAAAGGGGAGGTTGGAGATGGGCCGGTAGCTTGATAGCTGCGACGCATCAAGGGAGGGTTTTTTCAGGGTGGGCGTGATGGTGGCAGTTTTTAAGGGAATGGGGACAGAGCCAGAGGAGAGGGACAGGTTGATGATGTCGGTGATATGTGGGGCAAGAAAGTGGAGCTGGGAGATAAGGAGTGGAGTGGGGATGGGGTCAAGGGAGCAGGTGGTTGGTTTTAGGGATAGGATGAGTTTGGTGACAGAGGGTGGGGAAACGGGTACGAAAGTGAGTAGGGGAGGATGGGTAGGAGTCGGAGTGTGGGAGGGAGGGGGTGGGGGTGGTGGATGTTGGAGGGGAAGTGACCGCGGAGCGGATTCCCTTGATCTTGGATTCAAGGAAATCCAGCATCTCCTCGCAGTGAAGGTTGGAGGAGATGACCTGCGCGGGGTGGCGGGGGGGACGGAGGAGTCG